TTCTCAAGTCAAAGCAATCGCCGCTGTTGACGCTGTTAACGCTGTCAAGTGGGGGCCTTGATATGCCATCGTGAAAACGTGATAAACTCGGGATGAAGCGAGATATATATACCGGTGCTATCTGTCTGTGGTGGAAGCTAAGCTCGGAACGGCTGCTAAAGTTCATACGGGGCTCAAGCTCGATAAGGACTTTACTGCCTTTGGTAAGCTGCGAGAAAGAATCTTGACGGAATTGTTTCTCAATAGCATCTTCCCCGCCACGTTCGGCTGACCGTGAGGGGAAGACTCCACTCTGAGACAGCCAGCCTTCTTATCAGCGATCTATAATTCGTGCTCCATAATTCAAGTTTGGCATCGCAAATATGTTTGTACCTAGTTGATGAGATACTTGTGTCATTCTAGATATTTCAACCTTGATGGGCTGGATTGCACAGCTGGAATATTGTTGGAAAACAGGAAGAGGCCATGTTGTAGGGCTGAAGAAGATCTTGAGATCGTTACGGAATGCACCGCCGGGCATAACACGTAATCACTAGCAGTAGAGTTTTGTTCTAGCAGTGTTGGTGGTTTGCCCTGATTAGATGCGTGTAACCTCCACGAATAACTACAAATAGTGTAGCTAATATTAAACTGTGGGTGCGGCTCCCCGCGTGAGGCGATTTATGTACCTTGAGGGGTGGATGTCTTAGAAATACGACTGTCAGATTACATCAATGTCTTGCAAGCCATTGAGGCGAATGTATATAAAGCAGCCTCTGCTTCGTTGGCGCGGTTTGCGTTTCATTCCCCTCAATCCTCAATAACACAGTACCCTACACAAAATGACTTCTACATTCAAGGTGTCTCTGCCCAACGAGCTCAACTACGATCAGCCTACAGGGCTCTTCATTGACAATGAATACGTCCCCGCCAACGGCGAAAAGTTTACCGTCTATAACCCTACGTAAGGCACTCCGGCCGCCTTTCCATGTCAAAAGTGATTATTTGAACAACGAGAGTTTGCTGACTGGACCAATAGCAATGATGAGGAGATTGTAACTTTACAAGGCGCATCAGAGCAAGACGTAGACAAAGCCGTCGCCGCTGCCCGCCGCGCTTTTGAGGGAGAATGGTCTGAGCTCGAGGCCGTTGAGCGAGGCGCTTTGATATATAAGCTAGCCGAATTAATTAAGAGAGATCAGAAGCTCCTGGCAAGTATCGATTCGTTCGATAACGGCAAGTCATTCTCCGACGCATATGGAGGAGATTTGCTCGAGAGCTACAACGTCTTTCGGTACTATGCAGGTGCCGCGGACAAGATCACTGGCAAAACTATTGAGACTGGACCCAATAAGCTGGCCTATGTCATACAGGAACCTCTCGGTGTCTGTGGTCAGATTATTCCCTGGTAAGGGATTCCCCAAAATTTGAAAGGGCGTATTGGAGCGACTAACTTGAGCGCCAGGAATTATCCGTTCATGATGCTTGCATGGAAGGTCGCGCCAGCTCTGGCTTGCGGAAACACCATTGTCTTGAAGCCCGCAGAGCAAACTCCTCTCTCGGCCCTATACTTTGGTAAGCTCATTGCTGAGGCTGGCTTCCCACCTGGCGTAGTCAACATTATTCCCGGTCTTGGATATATCTCTGGCAAAGCTCTTGCGGAGCACATGGACGTGGACAAGATTGCCTTCACCGGCAGCACAGCCACTGGAAGGTCCATCATGAAGTCTGCTGCAAGCAACCTGAAGAACATTACTCTGGAATGCGGCGGCAAGAGCCCTAGCATTGTTTTTGACGATGCAGACCTTGACCAGGCTGTGAAGTGGTGTCACAGTGGAATCATGGACAACATGGGTCAAGTAAGTTTCGCCAATGAGCGCTTTTTTAAGCCTTCTTTCATGATCTAATAGCTATACTCAGGTGTGCACATCGACATCTCGAATCTATGTACAAGATACCATTTACGACGAGTTTCTCACCAAATTCACAGCCAAAACCAAGGATAACGCAACAAAGATTGGCGACCCTTTCAATGAGGACACCTACCAAGGCCCTCAAGTTTCCAAGGCGCAATTTGAAAAGGTCTTGGGCTACATCGATGAGGGCAAGAAGTCTGGCGCTCGCGTCCTCCACGGCGGTGCCAAGCATGGCGACAAAGGATACTTTATCCAGCCCACCGTTTTTGCGGATGTATGATCCCTTCCCTGTTTATTATCCGTTTCTCCATTATGGATCACTAACAATGTTTTAATCTTAGACTACTGAAGACATGAAGATTGTCAAGGAGGAGATTTTTGGCCCCGTCGTTGCAATCTCCAAGTTCAGCACCGAGGCGGAAGTCATTGCAAAGGCCAACGATACATCGTACGGCCTGGCAGCCGCGGTGTTTACTGAAAAGGTGACAAAGGCACACAAAGTCGCTCGCAAGATTCAAGCTGGTATGGTTTTCATCAATTCATCGGGCGACTCACATTTCGGCATTCCGTTTGGAGGCTACAAGTCGTCGGGTATTGGAAGAGAGCTGGGTCAGTACGCGTTGGACGCATATACGCAGTCCAAGGCGGTGCACGTAAATCTGGGAACCGAGTTGTAATTCTTGTCTGTAAATTGGGCGTCTACGGGAGTAGTAGACAAAAAATTAAAAGTACTTCTTTAACAATCTCAAGTAAAGTCTTATTTGTTTAAAATACCTACATCTCTATAGCAACCAATTCAAACTGTGACAATATTCAGTAACGGTACTGCGCTTACACGTGCAAGTACGATATCGGAGTGATGATGGCTTCCCGCTGGCCCGCCCGCCTATACCCGCACTATTTTAGCTATGTAATACTCCATAGAATGCAAAACAATGGCTCGATCCAGGCAATAACTCGCAAATCCCAACACGTGAGACGGCTCTTCTCTCTAGCTCCTTAGCTCGGCACACGCCTCCAGCTCCTTAGTAGCTTATCAACCTCCGACCCAGCCATTCTCCATCCTCCCCATCGCAACCCCTCATTTTGCCTGACGGCTGAGGGGTAGCGATTAGATATGGTAATAGCCCAGTGCGGTTGGGTTGCCAATTGGGGCAAGACGTTCCCCGGAGTCGCGAGGCCGGTATCTCCCATGATTTGGTTCCGAGGCCGTTATAAGCCGGCCACGTTCCTTCTTGTCGCCACAGCTGATGAACCATCTTTCTTCTTTCATTAATCAGAGACTTGATACACAATACACAGTGGATTTCATTTGTTAATTACACTTGCACGGTTGATTCAATAAGGGATATTACATAAGGCATCATGGGTGACGCTCAGCAAATCACAATTTGGCAAGACAAAGTCTCGTTAGCCAGAGCCCGGCGCGATGCTGGCCTGGCCAAGGTCGAGCCCAAGCTGGAGGGCATCCCCGATGTCCTGCCCCTGAGTTCACAAGATCTGCCAAAGTCCGTGCTGACGGCGCGAGAACTCGAAATCACCGAAAAGTATTCCGTCACAGAACTGCTCAAGATCCTCCGGGAAAAGAAGATCTCCGTCGAGGAGGTGACGCGGGCCTTTTTGCGCAGAGCTGCGCTAGCCCAAGCTGCTGTATGTCCTCATATATCTCCCACAACACCATGCATTACTTCCATAACCACCACAGAATAAGCACAATTGCTAACAGATTTAGACGAATTGCCTTACTGAGCTGTTGTGGGACGAGGCCATCGCTCGTGCAAAGCACCTCGATTCCCTGCCGGAGCCCAAGGGTGCCTTCTTTGGCCTCCCCATCTCAACCAAGGAGCACCATGGCATGGTTGGCAAGAACATTAAAACCTCTGCCTCTTACGCTGCTTGGGTTGAGACAGAGCACACCTCCAATCTGCTTTACGACATTCTGTACAGCGAAGGGTGTGTCTTTTACGCCAGAACAACTCAGCCGCAAACTATCATGCACTTGGAGACCGAGAGCAATGTCTATGGACGGACGGTTAACCCATACAACCGGGATCTGACACCCGGCGGTAGCTCTGGTGGCGAATCTGCTTTGGTTGGTATTCGTGGTAGTATTCTTGTAAGTGATACGAGTGACGATGCTTGTGGTTTGCGAGTATGAGACTGATAAATTGCACAGGGCGTTGGTGGCGATATCGGAGGCAGTGTTCGGTGCCCCTCAGCTCATGTTGGCATCTACGGCTTCAAGTAATTCTATCAACCCTACCATGTCACTGGTTCAGTGTGAGTTAATATGTTTCCAGGCCATCTTCCAAGCGCATTTCAGTTGCCGGACAAAAGGCCAACATGGCTGGCAAGGAGACAATCCTCTCCACCCCAGGACCGATGACTGTAGAGCGTGACGCAGTCGAGCTGTTCATGAAGGTTGCCATTGCCAACGAGCCGTGGCGCCTTGACCCATCACTTACAGCCAAACCGTGGACGCCGTACACCTTCACGAAGCCGCTTAAAATTGCCGTCCAATGGTGGGATGGTGTTGTCCAGCTACATCCCCCCATGAGGCGCGCGTTAGAAGAAGTTGCCGCCGCCTGCCGAAAGGCCGGCCACGAGGTGGTTGACTGGAATTGCGAGTCACTTGGCCATGATGAGGCCTGGGACATTATCTCAGGGCTCTACTGGCCTGATGGCGGCGAAGAAGTCATGAATCTGATGAACTCAACCGGGGAACCCATCTTGCCTTTGACGAAATTCATTATTGAAGAGCAGCCTAGCGTCAAGAAGATGACCGTACCCGAACTTTGGGATGTAAGTGCTTTCTCTCCCCATCACTTAAGTCACAGCAGTTAACACTTGTGTCAAGATTTGTGCTCGACGAGATGCGTACCGAGCAAGATATGCCAAGGCCTGGACAGCCACCGCAGCCAACGGCGAAAGAGAAGTAGACGTCATTCTGTGTCCTCCATCCTTCGGCGCTGCTGCTCCCCATGAGCAGTCTCGGTACTGGGGCTACACTTCGCAATGGAACCTCCTGGATTACCCGGCTGTTGTCTTCCCCGTTACCACCGTCGATCAGGTCAAGGATGTCAAGGACCCCAACTACGTACCGAAGAACGAGAAGGACCGATTTGTGTATCAGATGTACAGCCCAGAGAAGTATGTTAATGCACCGGTGAGTCTGCAGATTGTTGGAAGACGGCAGTACGACGAAAAGGTCCTCGCAGCACTGAAAGAGATTGAGCGTGCCATGGGAAGGCCATGATCTAATATCCTTGGTTGATAAACTATGGTACTTGTAGATATAGAAAAGAGCAAGGTGTATTATAGCCCCGGATTATGCCAAAAAATTCTTCATCTGCCTTAAACATGCCATCTAAGCGTATAATTCGGCCTGTCTCTCAAGCACGATCGGATACTTCACGGATCCCGGCTTAAGATGGGCAAAGTCCAAGTCAATGCCTTCTTCCACATCAGGGAACGGCCCCAAGGGAGTAATTGCTAACGGATTGATCTTTGCATGACTCTTTGTGTACTGTCGCAAAGTTAGTTTCGGACAAGTTTGGCTTGTTCAAAGGCTTACTCACGTTCTCTTTGACGTGTTTAAAATCCGTCGTCTCTTTAAATCCCTTCACGTTCCAGTAGAGATTCTTCAGCCATTCGTGAATAACGGGGTAATTTGCGCGAATCGTCCCTAGATTGCATTTGAAGTGCTGAACATAGACAGCGTCGAATCTGATGATTGTGGCGTACGCCCTAATGTCGAGTTCAGTGAGGTGTTTGCCTAGGATGTAAGGTCCTCCGTTGCGATGGATCAGGGTTTCAAGGTGATTCAAGGCCGCGAAAACAGTAATCACACCCTCATTGTAGGCTTCCTGGGTCTCCGCAAATCCAGCTTTGTACACTCCCGAGTTTAGATCTCTCTGCATCCACTCAGTAATTTCATCAATCTCGCTTCTCAAATGCGTCGGATAGAGATCAGGTTCAGACTTTTGTCCATCCTGTGGTAGTACATCGTTAAACGCATTTGGAAGCCAGCGCAGCAACTCGGCGCTTTCATTGTTCACAATGGTCCCGGTTTTCGTATCCCACAGGACCGGGACGCTGTATCGTCCTTTGTAATCGGCATCTGATTTGAAGTAGACGTCATGCATGTACTCGGACTGAAACAGTTTGTCCACTGTCGCTCCGGGGTACTCGTCGTTTGAAGCAGGAAATCGCCAGCCCGGCCATCCATTGTCGTCACCCTTTGGATACGGCTTCACAACCGACACATCGATGAGAGATTCCAATCCCTTGAGGGATCTCACTAGGAGCGCGCGATGCGCAAATGGGCAAAAGAGTCCAACGTAGAGATGATAGCGGCCAGCTTCGGGAGGGAACTGGCTACCAGACTTGATTTCCCCATGCCAGGAGTCGTTGGGACCTGCGTGTACGACAGCCATGTTGTTGAGTTTAACAGATTCAAACAACAAATATGATGTTGGTGTTTGACGTGATATATTTTTCACAACTGGGGGAATATAAACGTGCTGCTACATATTTGGAGGCTAGGGCATTAATAATCCAGAGTAGCCATGGATGCTATCCGATGGACTCAAGATGGAATCTTCCGTTCGGGCCCCGCATCCGAAGACAGCGTCGTGGGGGCAATTTGACGCTACTATTTCCATATTTGCTGACAATTGCTGAGACATTCGCAGTGATGCAATTTTCGAATAAACGTCTCCATGCGAATATGCGTTTGTAGAGTGTGGTGGCGAATAATCTAGCATTGCAAACGATCAAATGTCTTCACATTGACTGAAGAGCGTCGACACGGCATAATATTGAAGACAATGGCTGCGGCAGATCCCGAGATTATCAAGACAAAAACCACCACGTTGAACAAAGTATTCCAATCGACATTTGAAACTATGCAAAAGAGCCTCAATTAAGAAACATCAAACTCCATTTTGTATTTCCTTTCCCACCACCATTACACGGGGTATTTTACCAAAACCTAACTTAAACCATCACATGCAATCATCAAAAAACTCATGTCCCTTCTCCCTTCAGGACTTGGGCGGGTTTTCCACAGTCTCCTCCACCGCAACTTCACCCTGCTCTGACTCGGGAACGTTCTCGTCCGCCTGCTTGTTCTTGACATCCGCCAGGCCGTAAATCACAATGCTGATGATACCGATGATGGCAGACAGAATGGAAAACACAAGCGCAACGATTCCTCGCGCCGTGAATCCATCGGGAATCCAGCCCGGCTGCGCAGCTTGGTTCTTGAGATCGAGGAAGTTTGCTGTGTCAGCCGCGGCGTTTCCATTGGTGAGAATTCCAGCGGCCTTGCAAACGTCGAGGTGATCCTGGGGAATCTTGATGCGCTCCTGCATCTGCTGAGGAGCCTCGATCAGGATCATGGCCAGACCGGAAGCAAGATGCCAATCAATGTGGCAGTGGAAGAGCCAAACGCCGGGGTTGTCGGCAACGAAACGCATGACAAAGTAGCCTTGGGGCGGCAGAACGAACGTGTCTCTGCGGGCCGGGATCTTGGGGAACGCGGTGTGGTTGCTTGGGTCGTAGTAGACAGGATCTCCGTTCAAGTAGTCGTAAAAGTGCTCGCCATATGGCGGCGCACGATCAATGACCTGGAAGTTGTGGCCGTGGAGATGGAACGGGTGCGAACCACCGTCGGCGTTATTTACCACGATCTGCACGACATCGTTGTGGTTGAGGACCATGGGGTGCGTGAATTCGCCGTAGATCTCGTTGTTGGCCACCAAATCTCCAGCCGACAGTGCGGTGAGGAGAGATGGCACCTTGGGCTTGGTGTAAGAGATGTTGTTCAGGAATGCGTAGCTGAATCCGGTGTTCAGGTTGTTCATGATGACCGTCACGTTAATCTCCAGATCAGGCTCGGGGAGAAGCTCCATCTTGTCTACGGGCACCAGTGTGATATCGTCAAAGGGAACGAGCTCCGTGGCGTCAGTGACATTGATTGTGGCCTGTGGGTGGTCGGCATTCTTGTTGTACTCCAGCCAGTTGGTGTTGTTCAGTTGAAGATCGTCGGGGATGTCATCAAGCAAGGCAGAGTCCGCCACGGTGACAATGGGATAGTTCGTGGTCGTCTCGTTCTTGGTCGTCAGGAGGATCGCATATCTCTGAGCGACAGCAATGTAGAGAGTGTCAGCCTCGGTAGGCTCCGTGTACACACCGTCGATTTCCACAATCTTAAAGGTGTGGCCTTCGATGTAAAAGTACTGCGCAACAAAGGCACTGATGTTGATGAGTCGGATCAGATATGTCTTGTTCGGCTCGACAGGGAGGCTGGTGTTCATGGTATCGTTGAAGAGGAAAGATGATGGAATAGGTTCCGCGCCGGTAGGGTTGTACACAGACATGAACTCTGCCGACAAAATGCCATCAACCATCTCGTGGTACCAGTCAGACAAGGTAACTGTAAACTCTCCATCAAACTTGAATGGCGCATGCTCGTCGTGCACGATGAGCGCCTGGCGGTAACCATCGGGGTAGCAGTAGTCTGTGTGGCAGTGATACCAGTAGGTGCCGTTCTGGTTCACGGTGAAGTTGTAAGTCATGCTCTGTCCAGGAGGAACGGGGCACTGCGTGACCATGGAAGCGCCGTCCATGTGGTTTGTGGTGTTTTGGAATATGCCGTGCCAGTGGATTGAGCACGGCCTGTCTCCAAGGCCATTGTGCATGTTGACGACGAGCTGATCGCCCTTGTCAACCTCAATCAGAGGCAGCGGCCATTGGTTATTGATTCCAACGACTTTGCGCTCCGCCAATCCATCGGGGTTGGCCGTGACCCAGGTGACATTGAAGTCGTATGTGACCGTCTTGGCCTGGCAGCCAAGGGCCGCGAGAGCCAGAACCAAAAAGCGCTTCATCTTGGACACAACTGACTTTGGCTTCTCCTCTGCCACTTTCAGGTGAGTGTGGGTGTGTCAAGGTTGATATCTATTTCGGCACCGACACAAGGGCACCACAGAGACTAGGTCAACTTCCTCTTCTCCCCAACACATTCCGAGGTCAATTGCCAATCAATCAGATAATCAATCCCTACCCACGACAACGAAACGGAGAAGAAGAAGAAAAAAACTAAGTAATCCCCGCAGGCTAGATGAAAATTTCTACAGCAGTTGTGCCGACCATCGCAGCACTAGATCCTTGTTCTCACGACCCGAAAACGAATTAAGGCCCGTTTAGACTCACAGCGAACCCCCCGAAGCGTTCAATAGCTCTGCCGAGTTGCCGTTTGGCGTGATCAGATAACTATGTTTCGGCCCTGTAGTTGAGCCATTTTCCCTGATCAGATTATTTTTGCCCACGATCAGATAACCCAAACGTCCCAAAAAGGCGGTTGGCGATGGTGGGCCACGGTGCCGTCTTAGCCGAAGCGCCGGAGCTGGAGATGCATCAACAGCTTCTGACTGGACGATTCTGTTATCTGATCATATCTGATCATCTGATTTGGCTTGAGCCATGTTCAGCCCCGTTTCTCTGGTTGCTTCCGACCGGTGTCGAAATGATCCGTCGGGGAGCCAATTCGAGTTTCCATTACAAGTTGCCCTTGCGGTTCCGGCTCAGGTCGGTTGGGGACAGACGGGGAATAAAATTTTCCCAACCTTAACCAGTTCAATTCGTATAACGTGTGCCCCATATAGCCATCAATGGCTAAATATACTTAGATTGCCCATCGCCGTACCAATTGAACCAGCTCGTTTCTCTTCCCTCCATCTTTCAGCTCACCCAGTTTGTCTCTCTTGGCCTTGGGTGCCATCCGGTAGACACAATGGCGAAGAACGTGTTTGCAGTCCAGATTTTCTTCATGTAGGTTTACTTTTCAACACCTTATGTTTAACCTAGTACTAATGATTGTTGAAAAGTGTGTTTCGAGAATGTTTGGAAGCGGTCATCATCATCTCCGTGCTGTTGTCCTTCCTCAAACAATCTCTCGGAGGACCAGACCAGGATCAAGCCATCTATAAACGCCTGGTCAGGCAAGTATGGCTCGGCTCGTTCGCAGGTATCATCATCTGTCTTATCATTGGCGGTGGCTTCATCGGAGCGTTTTATGGCCTCGGCAAGGATATCTGGTCAAAGTCTGAGGATCTGTGGGAGGGCATATTTTACCTGATTGCCACCATCATCATCTCCTTCATGGGACTTGCACTCTTGAGAATCAACAAGATGAAAGACAAGTGGCGTGTCAAGATCGCACAGGCCCTGGCCGAGAAGTCAGCCGAGTCAACCAAGAAAACCACTTGGCTCGGTGACTGGTCAAGAAGACATGTCATGTTCATCCTGCCTTTCATCACGACCCTGAGAGAGGGTGTTGAAGCTGTTGTGTTTGTCGGTGGTGTCTCTCTTAGCTTGCCTGCCACCGCTTTCCCTCTACCTGTTGTTTGCGGGATCATTGCTGGTCTCGCTGTCGGCTTCTTTATCTACCGTGGTGGTAACCTCATGTCGATTCAAATCTTCCTCATTGCTTCCACTAGCGTTTTGTATCTGATTGCCGCTGGCATGTTCTCCAAATCTGTTTGGAGTCTTCAATACCACACGTTTGCCCAGCGTGTGGGCTCAGATGTGGCAGAAGTTGGGTCGGGCCCAGGAAGTTACGACATTACCGAAACGGTGTGGCACATTAATTGCTGCAACCCTGAAACCGATAACGGCTGGGACATTTTTAACTCTATTCTCGGCTGGCAAAATACTGCTACTTATGGCTCTGTTATTGCCTATAACGTCTACTGGGTATTCTTGGTCCTGACTGTTTCTTTTCTTATATATGAGGAGAAGACAGGATCAATACCTTTAAAAAGCCAACTCTTAAGCGTTATATCTAAGGTTCCGGGGCTTAGATGTATTGCTAAGAAACGCGCAAAACAGAACGCTGTTAATGAGCAGAATGTTCTAGTGAATATATCAAATTACATTAGCCCCCAAGGCCTTGAAGGAAGAGAAGGGAGTTGATCTACTCGGTCTTGTACGCGAGCTCTGGATTGGATAAATTCAAGCTACAACCAGATATACCCGCTGATCGGGCACTAAGTCGGGTGTACACCAATATTCATATGGAGGAAGATAGAAATCTTTATTCTTCACTGCTGTCGTCGCAAACGCGTTCCGTTCGGTCACGAGTGGAATCATTTATGTTACCTGATTATGTGTGATTAGAGCTAAGAGATAAACTGCGTAGTGAGCTCTCAAAAACGTAACACAGAGTGATGATATGGTCATTTGACTGCCGGCCTTCATGAACCAGCCCCCGTGTGCTGACAACGTGGGATACGGACGGGTGTAGTCGTCGAGAAAACGAACATGTTTACATGCAATCTAAACGATGTTGCCATTTTCAGCGCCCACAGAGTGTATGTTTTGAACTGAGTAAGGTGAAAAGGCTCATCTATTGCTCAATATAGACAGAAATCTTCTTAATGTCTATGTCTAAAGCGTCAACTCCACTTCCTACCTCTTGTACATATTTGCCAGCCAGAACTTTGGCTATACAGCGTCTTGTGTCACACAGTCAGCAGGTCTTACTTTGATTACAATAGCAGCGGGTTATAGGAAAGGGGAGAGGTAATAGCAGACACCTGGAAGAACCAGACACTCAGCTAGTAGTCGCTGGGAAGCTGGATATATACAAACTTAGGCTACCGACCAGTCACTCCCTTTACTGATTCAACTCCAAAACATCCTATCCTACTACTAACATTAAAGGCGCATGTCCATTAAATAGATCCATTGTCCTTTTGCGCAAGTTCCAGCACTCTCTTTGCGACCTGAATCCGTAATTTTGCTTCCCGTTCTCGTAATTCCTTTGTGAAACCATCGCCCAACTCTTCCACACATCCAATCCGTCGAACAACAATCTCCCCTGATTGCATCGGAATCTTCTTAGCCCAGCTGAGAGCCTCTTCCGCATCCTTGGTTTGGACAATCCACCAGCCACAGATGTGAGTTTCCGTAGCGACGTTAAAAGGTCCTGGAATAACTTCCGGTGGATTGTCAGTGGAGTACGTCAATCGATAGCTATCAACAGAAGTTGGTCGGAGGCCTTGAGCGTCAAGTAAGATTCCGGCATCGTTCAGTTCTTCGTTGTACTTGCACATTGACTCGAAGATTTCTGGGGGGATTTCTGCTGGTGGGGCTTCAGCCATGACATTGGCCTTCATGAGAAAGATAAAGGAAGGCATTGTGAAGTATGAGGATTAAGTGTAGATAGAAAATGAGGATCTTGATTGCAAAGCTGCTTGTGTCGTCACAACTAAACACAGCTTCACATAGCCAGAGTATATGTGCATTATATCATGCGTTATCATGGGGGCAAAGTTTTGCATCCGCTAAAATACTATGCAGGCAGCAACCCCTCATGCCCAGGCAAGATGCGCCAGAGGCGTTCATCTAGAGCGAGAATGACGACAGGTCGGTGTGTGTAGTTCATTCTAATTCACCGTACAATAATTCACGTTTCTTAGCATACAGTTAGCTTGAACGTTAAAGATTGCTTAGTTGCGTTGTCAATTGCAGAAGCTGCTATTAAAAGTCATCACAGTATGGTTGACACATGGCGTGTCTATCAAAATTGTGAAGTTCTTGATGATGTAAACAAACTTTTTGTCTCTATCTAAATAGCTATTGTAATGTAGGCAAATGTTCACCGCGCTGATTTCTAGAGAACCACGAATGCAAACCTATACCAAACTAACATTTTCTCTACCAACGTGCTTTTTTTCACGGCCAAATCCTTCTCTTTAGCAGCTACATGCGGTATCAAGACGATACTCAAAGGCGAAATCGAAATCAGACGAATCGTCAACGATGGTAATCTTCTTAGCTCCTGTTGAAATGTTAGAGCCCCTGTGCTTCAAGTTACGAAGTCATATGTCCCTACCTCTAGGAATCTTGAATGATCCCCAAAACCCATCGTTCGCAATACTTCGTAGAGCGCCGGCAGCTCCAGATCCCACATCAACCATACGGATATTGGATCTCTTGTACTTTTCGTCTCCTAGAGTGAGCCTGCCATGGGTAGAGCCAAGCTTCACGCCGTCGGCGAAAACAGTGTATTGCTCGGAAGTCGTCTCAGTATCGGCAATGGTAAGAACCAAGTCTTCATCATATTGGCCAATATAGATCTCTCCATCTTGTCCTAGTCGTTTATGCGAAACACCTCTAGTCCAAGGAACGACTTTTCTTCCCAAACACGGGGTATAGGTAGAGCACGATCCGTAGAAGTGAATCATGGCACCAGTTTCAGACTTGTACCAAACATCATCAGCGGCAGTTCCTAATGACACCCGTCAGTAACACAGTAATTGGGCTTCATTGGGCCTAATTTTGCCAAGCTTAGAATGATGGCTCACCAGCAGGGATAAAAAAGTCAAGACCTGAGTCATGCGATTCGATCTGTTCGCCGTTGATGTAAAGTGTGAATTGTCCACCGGCAAGCTTTGTCACCCACATATCGAATGGATATACGTAATTGGGGATTGATTGGTTTGGGTTAGGTAGAATCAATTTTTCACGACCTGTTGGGGCCAACTTTTTGGGGGCATTATTATTCTCCAAAGCGAGCCATTTGCAGGGCGAATTATCCTGAGGACAATTCCACCATTCCCTAGAGGGACTGAAAGGTGATTGGCGCCCCTGGACCAGGAGTGAATCCTTCTTGTCTTGATGAATCTTTTCAAAAAGGTTGATTCCAGTCTCGAGAGAATTTATTTGATACTTGATGAATGAATCCAGATGTATCTCATCGTGGGGGAAACATTCTGAAAAGGCTTGACGGAGAAGAGTCTCCAGTTCGGCAGACCTTAGGATTTGTGCACAAGTGGGAGATTTGCAGAATCCAGTAGGAAGAGGACCTAGAGATGATGTAAGTTACCGCTAACACTCATTTGACAATTATCTACTCACACTCTGGTTCAGGTGATACGCATTCACCATTTTTAAGCTCATGGCCCTTTAAGCAACAAACCCATTCACCTGTATCTTTATCATGGTGAATAGTGGCTATATCCTCACTGGGACTGCATATATCTGAGATTTGGACACATTTCCAGACTCCTTTCACCAGCTGGGCAAATTGACCTTTTCCAGTGTTAATGCAGCTATAGCCTTCTGCGGTGGGCTGACATACCTTTTTGACGGCAGTATTCGTCCTAAATTGAAAACATTGTCAGTGCTATGGCATGATTAATGGTAATAGTGACTCACAATTGCTGCGGGTGGCGATGCTTTGGCTGAAATTGCTGTTGGAAATAGGGCAATGGCCCCGAGCATAAGTGAAGCCTTCATAACTAATACTTGGACTTGAGCAAGTTGAACAAAAGTGTGGCAGAGATTGTCTTGCAGAGACTTCAAATTCTTTATATATCAGTCTCAATGCAAGGGAGATAGGAGGGCTTCGCCACCTTTCCTTCAAGAGGCTCATGCCAGGCATATCCCAAGTTGCGCAACATCCGATATCGCCGGATGAGCCTCAATGCAGCCTGCAACTATGATGTGAAACATTTGCAGCCCAAATCTCCATAGTAATGGCAACATAATGAATGCGAAAGTGCTTTCGTGGGATAGTGGAGTGCTATATCCCATGTGTCCAGTTGTTAATGGCCCATTGTCATATAATTCAAGGGATGAAATACACTAGAGCAGCCTTCTCAGCCTGAGCGACCATGTCACCGGCTGGAGTCCATAGGTAATGGGACTCAACTGGGTGCCACAACATCACCGAAGAGGTTTTAAGATGCCACAGATTACTTGCCACGTCTAGAGGGTCAGCTCCCGCAGAGCCTCAGCGTGGCCACGATATGTCTGTCCCACTTCACGTGGGTATCCACAACCAGGTCATTGTGTCTCGGAAGAGGTGTAACCCTGCGTCAGGCAGCCATGGCATTTTATTATAGCAGTCGTGTGACGCAGTAAGAGGATCAAAGGTGTAATTTCTTCGGATACCTATTAATAGATTTCCCCCACGAGGAGTATCGTGCTCTTTGTTGAGATTATCTCTATAGGTCAGCTATAGTCACACGGACGAATTATGCTCGTATCCCTTAAGCCACTTAATTAATATTCTCTTTAGGATATAAATCCTTCTCTGCGAGTCATTAGTTTTCTTGATAGGTAAGCAATTTATTTCGGCAGGACCAGCTGGTCTTTGTTAGCTATACTGGTTTACTGACTTGTCAAATCCATTATATCAAAAGCTGTACTCACATCCTGCATTTATTATCGTCTCCGCCAGATGCGATGATACAAGGATCGACCGGACTCCATGCGGCATAGTTTGTTCGTTCAGGATAGTGGCCGTGTTCGAGCCCTGCAAGAGTTCCCGAATTCAGATCCCAGATGCTTATATAACCGTCTATTTGTTTTGTGAGCTCTTATTTGCAGTCAGAAAAATTACTTGATAGTGACTTACTTTCTTCAGCCCTCAAGAGAAATGTATCATTTTCTCCCCCTACGGACCCTTGAAGCAGGAAATCGGTGTTGCTGATTCCAGGACGTTGTTGAATGACTTCACCGCTCGGGAGAAGCCGAATATCGAACCCCCCATCAACGTATCCCATAAGAATGAGGCCGAGGCCGTCGCTGATAGAAACCCAAGACGGGCGCTCTGACAGAGAGATTTTGGTTACTAGCTCCGCAGCCGCAACTTGAAAGATGAGCAGCTCTTTTGTATATGTTACTGCCACAAGCCACTTTCCATCCCTTGACATGGCACTAGATTGGACGCGAAGACCTTGAACTTCGATCCATGGGCGATAATGACCATCGGATATCTCCATAGTCACGATACCAAGTGTGTCACTCAAGGAAGTCAAGATGACATATCTGCCGTCAAGTGACCAATGACATCCCATTCCGGCTTCATGATGCAGGGGTAGAATTTTGACCAATTCTCCGCTCTAGCAAATTTGTCAGTTTGAAAGCAGCCATAAAGAGATTTAGGGTAAATAATCTTGCCTCGGAATCCCATAGCCTTGGCTTACCATCAAGGCTGAGGGTCACAATCAACGAGTCATCCGGACTCCAGGACGCTTTAGTAACGGGCTTTTCGTGGTCCAAGGTGCTTTGTAATTCGTCTTTTTGGAGGTCGAAGATCAGAGCCTTATTGGAGGAAAGGCAAAGAGCTAGTCTTGAGCCGTCTTGTGAGAATATGCACGCCCACACTTCTCCATCGGTAGCTATTTCTTTGATGACGGTGAATGGAATCTGGCGCATCTCGGAGGTTTGACGAGAAACTTCTGGTATCATTGATGCAGACGCTAGAACCGCGTGTAACCCCAAATGGGTGCTCCATTCGAAGTTGGTTCGCCCATAGAGATCCATGTGGTCCAGGTCAAAGTTACCCCGATCAAGTATCATCTTAATGATGGTAGTGTTTTTACCCAATAGGGCACAAGTTAGAAGGTCCCATCCATGACTCTCTTGTATATCTGTCTCAATGCCATCTTGAGCAAACAAATACTTAAAAAAGTCTTCATCACCGTGTATCGCTGCTAGGAGCAGCGGTGTCTTCCCATCACGATCTTTCGCATTTAATTGAACTTGAGGTTCTGCTTGGAGTATTTTCCATACAGCGATGCGATTTTCTGTATTGGTTCGGGATGATGGTGGCTTTTGTGAGCCACGTTCCAGAACAGAGATCTTGTTGGTCATTTGGTCAACGACGGTTTGCACAATGCCTGACACGGGGGAGAATTGAAGCTGTTTATCGGAATCAAACGTTATTGTAGACGTTTTGACTTGAATGTCCATTGGCTGGTTGAAGTCCAGAGTTGCTCTCAGTAAAATGTCGTATGGAGCATCTAAATTGCAACTGAGGAGCAAATTGATGAGGCTGCAGTCTGCAAAAGCAACTGCTGAGTAAAATTGAGAATATGTCGACAAACTATGTGCCCCCATATTGATAAAGTGGCGAATAAATTGCGAAACATCCTCTGGAATACGCTGTGAATTTAGGAATGCACGCTCAAGAGCTACCGAAATGGCATACCCGTACTCTTGAAGGTAAAAGGCGATGAAGGAGGCGAGCAGACTCTCGCCATCGTCGCCCTTGGCGAAAAATACTTCAGGTTCTTTAGCATGTTCCCATACTGAAAAGCACGCATAGAGGAGAAGAGGACAGTCTCTCAGTTCCCGATTCTCTCTTGCTGCAATGTCGAAGGCTCGCATGTAAGCGAAACTGCACTTTAAAACAAACCAATGACATTCGCTCAATATCAACTTGAAATACGAAGGCTCGACCTGGTTTGATTGAAGATACTCTTTAACTGAGAAATGAGAGAACGAGACGATGCTGTTGTGCGGCCGGGGGTCCGTTTCAGATAGTTGCGTGCTTGTGACGAGACCGGAAAGAATGTTCAAGACTTCCGATGCCGAGGTAAAGCGATTTTGGTATACGCAAGATAATTCGTACTCGCTAGAAGAAGGCAACAGGTTCGCTTCATCGCTTTCTTCCACGTCGAAAACCGCAAGCTCCGCAATCTCGGCGAGATTCAGAGGTCTCGTTGAACATGCGAGCCATCTGAGAACAGCCATGGCCTCGAGTTTGTAGTTGTTCAGATCAATGCGCTGAAGGATGCGGCTATAAGTCTCGCCCAAGTCGCGAGGAAGTCGTTTCAACGCTCGGTTAACGTCAATCTCTCGCGTTTTACCCCTCAATCCCTGTATTTGGAGATCTGCCCAGCGGAAGACGCCGTCGGCATTCTGGACAAGGTGCTCTATTACTCTTTCCTTAAGAGCATGAGACCAACCTTTGAATGAATCCTCTTCTCTCATCAGGGCTCGTAAATGCTTGCGTATGTCCCGGTCAACATCTGTAGCGTGGAGAGCCACCGAAGTTGTCGGAATAGATATTTGTGATATTTTTGTCTCAATATCGACTTCTAAGCGACTTGTGATGAGAATATGAAGCTTCGATTTGACCTTTCCGAGCAAGCTGGCCAAGAAAGTAATAGCTTCACCTCTAACAAACTCAGAGTCGCATTCATCCAACGCATCGATTATAAGAAATGTTTCCTCGGATAGATCGATGACCTCTATTAGTACAGAGTCCAACTCTTCCACTGGAGGGGTCTTGGATGGGAAATGAGTGTCATAAAGGCTTCGAAAAGCTCGAGGAATGAAGAACTTGTTCTCGTTATCGGGATGAGGAACAGAAAGCCCCTTTAGAATCTGTACCAAAATGGCACATTTCATATTGCGAAGACTTTGAGAGTCCTTGTTCCGAAACGAAAAGTAATAATATGCAAGCATACTATCATTCATACTCTCGAGATACTCGATAACTTTGGACGTCATAATTGTCTTTCCCGATCCCGCTGCGTCTGCTTTCAGCCATAGCTTTGAAAGGTATATGCACCTATTCATATGGATTCTTACCTTTTCCATGCAACCAAAGTAAAGACCTTTCTTTTATCCATGGGACAATGTGTCTATTCACAAACCAGCTGCCTGTACTAGCACTAGGTTTCCTTGCGCTTCGGGATTCGGTGTAAAAGCGTTGCTGGTCAATGTATGGGAGCCACCCCAGGAGGCGATCTCTCGTCTCTTTAGAAAAGTGATCTGGTGTATACACACGTTAATAATAAACAGCGGACATGAGGGGACATAGCTCGCCTTTTAAAATGTCTGAGGAAGAAGAAGAAGTCAGCATTGGGCCCATCTATGGGAGCGAGCTGTATAAATTAGAGGCCTAACCTTGCTCATTAATTGCACACCGAAGACGAGCAAATGCATTATCCTGCCCTTCTCCATAAATGAGCGGTATATAGACACCAAAGATGCCCAGAAGGGAGTAGGCCTTATCTTCGGGATAAGTTGTGGAACGTTTTTCTGACCATGCCATCCGCTTGTCGATACTAATCTGAGACAGCCGGCGTCCTCGAAGCACATCGATTGGGATTTCAGTAATCTCATAAATTTCCCTCTCCAATGACTCTTTGGTTCCAAGATGTGCGCATTCAGACGAAAAGAATTCCACCGTCGCGGGGGCTAAGAGTTCTTGTAAAGTCCAACCCCGAGTGAACCACCGACTTTTGCGAAAGGAAGACTCCCAACTCGGTGCAGGTGAGGACTCGACCTGGTTAATGTCTCTGTGTTTTGTTACATCAGACAGATATACGTAGCACTTGGCAGCGTTTTTGTAGAGTCGGAACATGGAGTTGATCTCCCTTTGAAGCTCTGTACTATTCGACTTGTCAATACAACAAGTATCTATCCAGAAGTAGGATAGCCCATCTGAAGCTGCTTGTCTGGCACAAAATTGTATTTTACGGTACCCCGGCTTATCTGGGCCTTTACCAGCAGTAATGTCGCTAAAGGTGACTTCATCATCGTCACCACCCCAGGTATGGGAGAGAATCGCATATGGTGGAGGTTCGTCGATGAGATCCTTGGTGCACGCCAGGCGGTTACCATTGAAGCTGAGAAGTCGCATAATTCGATCCCATTGATGCTTTGACACTTGGTGTTGGTTGACCTGCTATGTTCTGAATTACCGTCAATAAGTATGTTGGTCGCTATATATACCTCGCGAAAGACGAAACATCCGTAAAATTGCCTGCTTGTGCCAAGAGCGTACCAGCTGCAATCAGCAATTAGGCAGACTTGTGGTTCATATATGCGTGGTGACAAATTCAGCCCAATCGGAGCGATTATTAACACCCAGGAGCCACTTCTCCGCTCAATCTCCAATGTCATCCAAGTTGCTACTTTCGTAGACTTGACGCGAGAATCACTGTGTCATACCTTCGAAATGGCTACAGAAGTAAAACTATCACTCCCAAATGCTCGTCCATACGGATTTACCTTTCCTCTTGCTACCACAGCGTTCATCGTGATTGACATGCAACGGGATTTTCTAGATCCAGATGGTTTCGGATCCATTGTATGCGGCAACCCCGCCATCTTCTCGTCCGTCCGCAAAATCGTACCAAATGTCCAGAGAGCTTTAGAAGCGGCACGTTCCATGGGCTTGCATGTTATGTATACCAGAGAAGGCCATCTTTCGAATCTCTCGGATTTACCTGCTGCGAAAAGATTTAGACAAGTAAGTGCGCCAAATGGCAGCCAATCGATGGGCATTGGCGACGAGGGGCCAATGGGAAAACTCTTGGTGAGAGGAGAGAGGGGTCATAATATTATCAACCAGCTAAAGCCGAATCCTGGTGAACCAATTATTGACAAGCCAGGAAAAGGAAGCTTTTGGGGTACCGGATTTCATAGGCTGTTGCTTGCTAGAGGGATTACACATTTGATACTCACTGGCGTCACTACAGAGTACGTCTAGAGAAAGCAGTGACCTTTGGCTGCGCACACGACTAACAGTGATTCTAGATGTTGTGTTACGAGCACGTTACGAGAGTGTAACGATAGAGGTTATGAATGCTGCGTCCTCTCTGACTGTACCGAAGGATTCGATCCAGCCCTGGTGGCAGCATCATTAGAGACCATCGTCTGTCAAAATGGCCTTTTCGGATACGTTGGACATAGCAGCGAGCTCATTGCACAGGTATATCAATCACGCGCTTTTAATCCGAGTCTTACTGCAAATCTCGATGCTACAGCGCTTCCCTCTATCAGTGAGCTCAGAAGCCAATACAGAGACGGTCTACTGGATCCAGAAGCCGTCATACGATCAGTGTTCAGTCGAATATCGAAATATGAGAGCATTGATCCATCTTTGTGGATATCTAAAGAATCTCTAGAGAGTACATTGGCAGCTGTCAAACGACTATGTACGGCGTATGCGGGCAAGGCGCTTCCTCCTCTCTTTGGCATTCCATTCGCCGTGAAGGATAATATCGACGTGACCGGGGTGATCACTACAGTTGCATGCGACAGCTTCGCCTACACTGCGACTTCAACTGCCCCGGCAATTCAACATTTACTTGACGCCGGGGCAATATATATAGGGAAACTGAACCTCGACCAATTTGCCACTGGTTTAACAGGATGCCGGTCACCTTATGGCACTCCTCATAGTTACCACAGCAAGAGGCACATCACTGGCGGTTCATCTTCTGCACCAGCTGTTGCCGTCGCCGCTGGACTTGTGTCTTTTGCCATTGGGACCGACACCGCCGGAAGCATTCGGGGTCCAGCAGCATTCAACGGAATCGTCGGCTTCAAACCCACTAAGGGTACCATCTCGGCAAGAGGCGCGGTACCCGCATGTCAGAGTCTTGATACACTTGGTGTCCTGGCACCTTCTCTAGACGATGCAAGACAGGTTTGGTATGTAATGGATCAGTACGACCATTTAGATCCATACGCCAAACCACCATCGAGTCTTCCTACCTGGATGGTGGATTATCGAGGATTCAGACAGGGAGGGTTCACTTTTGGCATACCTCCGGATTCCTTTCTAGATTTGTGTTCTGAAAAGTACCAACAGTTATTCAAAATAGCTGTTGCCAAATTACAATCGTGCGGAGGAACGCTGGTCGATATTGACTACATGCCATTTGTCAAGGCGGGCGGTCTAATCTACGGTGCATCTCTTATCCATGAACGTCTTGCTTCAATCGGACACGACTTCATCACAGAAAATATCGACACATTTCATCCCGTCACAAAAAAGATCTTTGAAGGCGTTTTATCATCTGACGTTAAAGCCTGGGAAGTGTTTCGGGATCAAGCCACGCAGATGCAGTGCATCGCAGCGGCACGCCGAACATTCAACAAACTGGAAGATGGCATTGACGTTTTAGTTGTGCCAAGCATGCCCTGTCATCCTACTATACAAGAGATATTGGATGACCCGATAGCTCTAGGTTCAAAACTTGGACTATTCACGTATGCCGCGAATGTTGTAGATCTATGCGGTGTCAGCATTAACGCCGGATGGATAGAGGATGAGGAAGCACGGCTGCCATTTGGTATCACGTTTCTGGGGGACAGTGGATATGATGCAAAGGTTCTGGACATTGCAGCTATTTTTGAAGACTTTATGAAAGAGTGTTAAGTTAATAGCTCTGATGCCGACACAAGAGCCGTCCCCACTAGGACAGCATCCGGAGCCCACTGCCGATGCGGGGATTTCGGAAGACGGATGGAGGTTTTCTAAAAACAGTTATTTGGCAGATGGTTAAATCCAGACTATTTAATTCCATATATTTATTAGAACGAAAGCTCATCAATTCAACACCAACTATTAAGTGTTTAGCTGAATTTACATAATTCCTTGCCGGATAATCACCAGTCGCAGAATCTCAAACATGAGCTCATCAATACATATACCGACCACCCAAACCGCAGCCGTCATCGAAAACCCTGGGCCAAATGGAACCGTTCGAATTAACAATTCACATCCCGTTGAGGCTCCCGGCAAACATGAAGTCCTTGTCAAGTTGGAATACAGCGGCATCTGGTAAAGACTTTGACCATGCTCTTCACATGCAACCGTTTATTATGGGCGATACTAACATCTTTGTAAGTGGATCAGAGGTTCGGGCGATGCTTGGCTGGGGAAATTACAGGCCCGTCATAGGCCACGAAGGAGTCGGCATAGTTGTCACAACAGGCGAGAACGTCTCGGAGTCGATACTCGGCCAAAGGGTGGGCGTGAAATGGCTTCACAGCGCATGCGGCCTTTGTGCGGGATGCAAAACCGGATCTTCAAATCATTGTGCAAACCCCGTCTTTACTGGTCTTCATGTTCAAGGAACCCTGCAACAATATGTAATCGCCGACTCGCGATACTTGACGAGAATTCCGGATGGCTTACGTTCAGAGTTGGCCTCTCCCTTGCTGTGTGCAGGATTGACCATGGCAGGCGGGATAGGAAAACTCGATAATCATATACCTAGTGATGGATGGGTGGTGGTTCAAGGCTCTGGCGGTGGTCTGGGACACATAGGAATCCAAATTGCCACCAAGTTGAGAGGCTACAAAGTCATTGCAGTCGATTCCGGTGCGTCCAAACGCGAGCTCAGTCTACAATGCGGTGCTCAATTCTTCATCGACTTTGCCACTGAGAATGTCGAAGAGAGGGTGAAAGAGATAACCGGAGAAGGAGCTCACGCGTGTCTTATTGTATCGGGAGCCGAGGCCGCGTTTGAGCTTGCTCCAAAGTTGGTTCGGAACGGGGGATTGTTGGCCATCATCGGCTTACCCCCGGCCACATTCACTGTCCCCATGACAGCCAGTTTATTCGCAGTAAAAGGTACGATAGCACTCATTTATTAATTGTACCGTTGCTAATTGTGTTACCCTGATAGCGCTCACTGTCACTGGTGTTATGGTAGGGACTGAGCAGCAGATGGTGGAGCTTCTGGAACAAGCTGCTGCAGGCATCATCAATCCCATGGTTCAAGTCGAAGACTTTTCAGAAACCCCAAGAATTTTCGAGAAGCTCAAAAATAACGAAGTGACGGGACGCATTGTGGTGAGGATTCCTGCGTAAGACAGAAGAGAGTTTGACGCTACTGTTTTGATCACTGTAGCTACTGTGTTGGACAAAGACTCAATTCATCTAAGGCAAAATAGAAGGCACTCACGATTAGATTGGCAAGGTATTTCACAGAGTTGTAGACATATGAATAGAATAAACTTTGACTTTTTTACTTTCCAACATCATAACATCAGCATCTCCACCAAAATTCCACCTTGTCCGCAGATCGCCATTCCCACGTCCAGGCCTCTCTCACGTGATGGCCTCCTTGCTCTGACGTCTGCGGTCGCAAAGCTTCAAAGTTTACACAATTCAAAAACACATACATAACAGACACTCATATTCAGGGGACGTTCAATTGTCTACGTTGTTACAATTGTGGTACAAGATGCCGTCTCCAATCCTGACTGCGACGCTTCAGGCGGCCGCCCTTTCAACAGCGTCCAATCTTTGTGCTCAGTTCATTGAGACATACTGGAACAAGGTGAGATTCCTTAGCATAATATGCATCATATTCCTGTTGTCTCTATTCTACTGTGTCAATGCTTTATACTAATCATCTTAACGACAGACCACTTTCCATCTGGACGATATCCAACTCTTCCGCTTCATAGTCCTCTCTCTCATCACCGCCCCGCCAAACTACCTTTGGCAGCAGTTTCTCGAAAAGTCCTTCCCAGCATATCTTCTCATAACAAAATTCCGAGATGGAGGTAAGGATATTGAACTCAAAGCGATGGAAGAAGCAGCCGCCGGGGCTTCCATTGGCGAGGGATCTCAATTACAGTCTGAAGCAGCGACTCGTCCCAAGTTCAGCATCCGAAACACTCTGATCAAATGGTTCATTGATTGCATCACTGCTGGGGCAATCATGAATACTGTTGCGTTCTTGGTCATCATGGGAGTGTTGAAGGGTCAACCAATGGCTCAGATATCTTCTAATATTAAAGCCGTGAGTTCTCAGCGTTAACCCTCCACTTGGAGAGATGATGGCAACTAATCTTGTGGAGCAGGAAACAATACCTATTATTATAGCAGGATACAAGATTTGGCCAATCGCATCGATTGTCAGTTTCAGCTTCGTCCCTGTTCACCGCCGCATCGTGTTTCTGAGTTTCATTGGCCTTCTGTGGGGAATTTAATTGAGTCTGGTCGCGGCGAGGGTTTAGTTTAGTCTCTCTATTTCACTCAAAGAAAGTTTATGAGACATTGGCAGCATGGGATTTGTATAAACAAGCACTCCATATATAGAGTATTCACATTTATGTATATGCCTTCACAAGGCGTATAAAGCTATGTACACCGAAAAGTAGCCGTTTCTGCAAGACAGATGGCTTATTCACATTATCGTCCACCATGATTCGTTTAGCACTTCTGGGGCCTCCAGTTTGGGATGATGTATCCGCCGTTGGGGTCGTTGATGTCGAAGGTGTCCTCGCCCCTCCAAGCGTGGAGGAACCAGCCAACGTTGTTGGACTTGAAGTAGGCGCAGTTGTTGTCAAAGGTCTTCCAGTAGTTGGTGTACTGAGTGCGGCCCAGATCAGTGTGTCCGGGGTAGTGGTCAGTAGGACCCCAAGCCCACTGAGTCTCGGTGACCCAGACGGGCAGGCCAACGTTGGTCTTGACCCAGTTGATCTGAGACTGGATGTAGCTCCAGGCCTGGGACTCGGCCTGGTTGAAGTGGTAGAAGGGCATGGGGTGGATGTGAGCAACATCAGAGTTGGCCTTGACACCGGCACCGATGGAGCCGAGTCCCTGGCCGTTGTTGCCGCTCATGGTACCGGGTCTGTCCCAATCCTCGCTGATTCCGACCAAAATTCCCTTCTGGTTGAGAGTAGCGCGGAACTTGCCAAGGTCGTTGACAAAGTTGCCCTGATCCATACCGTCACCAACGGGCTCAGAGCCGAACTCAGCCCAGTGAACGACGTAAGGGGCAATGGCCGAAACCGAGGGGTCGTTGATGGCGTTGTAGATGGCCTGCTGGGACTGCTGCCAGACGGTCTAGATATGAATGTTAGAACACTGCTGCTATTGACATGGAGAATGTATACTTACGCCACCACCAAAGTTGGTCCAGACCTGGACAATCAGGCCCATGTTGTTGGTATAAGCGGCCTTGATAGCGTTGATGAAGACGCTAGACTGAGTGCACGTAGGGTAGTACATGCGCACAATGCTGGCACCGAAATCCTTCTTCATCTGAGCAAAGTCCTTGTTCATCTGAGCATAGCTGTTGGAGGAGTCTCCGCAGTTGCTGTCCTCCAGAGGGTAAGAGAAACCCAGGAAGCCATAGTAGTCCTGCTGAGGGCACCACCACTGGCTGAGGGGAGTGCTGGGAGCAACAAAGTTACCAGGCAGAGTGGCATTGCCAACAGGGAAACAGCTGCCTCCAGTTGGAGGAGGGGGAGGAGGAGGAGAGCTTCCTCCAGTGCTTCCACCGCAGATGCCGCTGATGCAAGGGAAGGGATCAGAGCAGTCGTCGTCGGTGCTGCAAGTAGCACCCTGGCAGTGGCCCTCCCATGAGCACGTATCGGGAAAGGGAGAGGCAAGAGCGGGAACAGCCGCCAGAGCGGCGACCAAGAGCGAGGAGATCATGGCTGAGGATCTGTCTCTTTGAGAGTTGATGATAGAGAGATGGTATCGGCCGAGAAGAAAGTAGATGCCAAGCCGGGCTATTAATACTTCCTGAGATCTCCCTGAGGCTGATTCTACCAACAAGCTCAGAGCCGCTCCTGATCCGCCTTGTTCGGAAAAGCCATTGCCCAGCGGCAGGGCCTACCATCATTCAGGGGGGCATTTCCGGCCCCTCGCTATTCATGTTCGTCACGACCAGTATACAGCCTCTCCCATGAAGAGTAAGGAGTAGCTCCTCTAAGGGGTCCAAAAAGAGCAGCTGAAGTCGCCATGGTCAAGGCCTCCCCACAAAAGCTACGAGCAAGCCGGCTCATCCCCTGTTCTCGAACGCCTGACAGATGATCTAATGGACGGACAAATATAGACCGCCAAAAACCGAACGACGAGGCCATTCGCTGTTTTGCACAGCTGGCAAGGAAAAGGCCCGACTGAAGCTGTCGAACTGCCTCCGCCGGCAATTACGGCAGTGTAGCGGCATGACAAACATCAAATCGGCAAACGTTCCATCGAGCTTATTCGCCATGGCTGTTGCCCTATCCGGTTGTAGCAAGTGAAATGAACGGGGTAGCATGTTTAAAACCCAGCTTCCCAGATGAGAATCGAGGAAGCTGTTAAGCTCAGCCTAGCAGGGGGGTCTGACGCACTAACTTTGGACAAGACCCAGCCGTGAATCGCGCTTCTGTCATGGTCTTCGTATTTTTTCTCTTAACTCCTCTACAAATTGAGTTGGTCATGCGTTTCTCAACTCCCAATATGGGCTGCGGACCCAAGAGTTCGGCCGGTCCGCACAATACGGGGACTTGTGTCAATTGTGGCTGTTAAGTAATAGTAACAACCACCGACAACTTCTGGTGGAGAACAGGAGTTAGGAAGGCGAGAAAGTGCTTATACACTTATACACATGCTTAACCCCCAGTCGCCGATCTAGCCTCTGGTGAGCTTGGCACGAGGCCTGTCTAGCCCATGATTCTGCGCGTGGACGGAGCAAAAAGGGTGCTAGGATCTAAGTTTAAGGTTACTCCGCGTTCTGCTAGCACACAAAATTAAGGAATACGAGTGTAACCTTAGCATGTTGCATGTTGAGTACAGCTTCCTCCCCCGGCCGCTTACTCAGGTCCCTCGACTGAAAGGGGAAACAAAACAATTCGACAATCATGCCCTATGTAGAAGCTGCTTCTAGAAGTAACTCATTCAAGTGCCACATTGACGTAAATTACTTCTTTACTGGTTCTAGGCTAACGAAACACACCGCAGCTGCTGCGACCGTCCAAGTATCTGTTTCAAAGCTCCACCTTGTCCATAAGCATGCTCATAACAGAGGACCCCAGAACGCTCAGGAAACGAGCACGAGCTGGCTTACTACTCAATCCCACACGACCGTGAAGGGATGAAATACAGCAGGGGATTGGATTCAACGCGGTAGTGATATCATGGAAGTTGTGCAACATTCGGCTAAGGCTGAAGAAATTACCATTCCTTTACTAGTGGTGGTACGACCCTGAAGAGAAGGAGCCAGATTGGAATTCCACTGTTACCACCGAGATCCTGTAGCGCTTATGAGTTAGCTCATTCTGCCCCCTTTGCCTAGACTTGATCATGGCGGATTACTGCTAGCTGATAAAAGTGGCGCGGAAGCAATAATATCCACCGCTCCGAAAGGTAATACAAAGCCACGGCTAACAGACGGGAGGAAGCAATTGCTTGCAAGTAGTATTGACATGGACTGGATCTATGGCAGGCAAAGCCTTCGAATAAGGATATGCAGCAGAACCCTGTAAATTGCAGACCAGATTCCTTTTACAATTCTACCAGCTGCTTGAGGCCAAGTGATTGTGGATTAGTCGTGCTCGTATATCCGTCAAAAGGATTGCTGACTACATGCCGTATTGTCAGCAACCACTTCTATCCTACCACTATCCTATTAAGGCACAAGTTTCATAACCTCTCGGTTGTAATTTACCATCAGCCTCTTCATATTTTCTTCTGCCCCTTTCATCTGCCCAGGTAAGGACATGGTGAAGCAGATTCAAAGGTTCTAGTAATGCAAAGCGCCTACTAACCCGCAGCTTACGACACGCGATCAAGCAACTAATACCATGAGCATACGAGTGAGATATATTGACATACCGCATCAACTGTTCGATTTTGAATATGAACTATCAAGAAATCCTCAGAGACTGCAATAAACCGACTTACCTCGCGATTATTCCCAGATTCCTAATAATAATACCAAACTGAGCCGTTATCGTTTAACGCGCATCGGTTGCCTCATTGGTAACAGCATCGATGTCAGCGTCTCTTGCGCTATCCCCGTTAGACTCAGCTGCCATTAAGGGTAATTGCAGGGTCCAGACTCCTATGACTTCTTGTAAGTCGGAAAATCGCTTGATTTACTCCGTAACAACTGCGGTTCTATCATTCCAAGAGGATGGCTGTCGGCGTCGTTTTGGTTCGGCATGTGAAGCCCGTGTGAGTTCTCTATAAGAAACAACAGCCGCTCCTCTTTATATACACGGTAGTCCTTGGCAGAAGGGTTCTCAGCATATTTGCTGCCTCTTAGTTTGTCATTTATGCAGCGCACCGTGCCGAAGGACGACAGAATTATGTAGGGTACTCTCGGAAGTACCCAAGTTGCTGTTTTCTGGCATCTCAATCCTCTCTGATTGCCTGTGTTCAGAGCGGAGGCGACGGATTGCACTTAAGATGTACCCAGTCTGCGATCCGCTCTATAAGAACACCAAGGGTAGGAATGTCTGTTATACTAGAAACAGATGACAAACTCGTGGGTTCTGACAACGTGAATTTTGTGAGCCACGCGAGACAGGGCTGGTGAGTTGATTTAGACTGTGTAAGACAGAAAGTATTAGGCCTTTTGAATATAATCGTCTGTATTATCACCCTTAGACATATCATTGATGTGATATCAAGGTATGTATAGCGATAGATGGATATTGATAAGCACTGGCTTTATGCTCTCAAAGAACAGATAATTCACCACTTTAGCTGGACAATGTGTCAATGAATCAACGAGAAACTCCTCTTCACAAAATATTTGCTTTGCCCTGCTTTGCCCTGCTTTGCCCTATGAAGTCTGCGTGTGGCTTGTTTGGGCTAAATTCGACTATGGTTTCTATAAATCCAAGCTTCAGATATAGAAAGGGCAAGGCCGTTGCAACGGCACAAGGGTGGTATGAGGCGTTTCAATAAATGGTAATTAATTTAATTCAATAACATTAAATGTTTGTTTCGTACATGTAACTACATAGCAACAGTGCGGCCTAGATCGCTTGCATGTAGGTAGCTATAGTGTTTACTACCTACTAGGTAGGTACTTCTAATAGGTACATTTCTGTGGTCTGCACGTAAATTGATGAAGCTCATCGTATGTCCCGTCTCTATGTATCGTAGGTATATATTAGAAGGCTAGAAAATGTAAAGATACTCTTATAATTGGCGTATTCTACTTCATGCGGACTGCAGTAGTGCTATTGGCTGTTGAGATACTTCAAGGCGCAGGCAAGGCGAACCACAGCCTTGGCTCACGCATCCCAGAACCATATAGAATCCTTCGCGAGGAGCAACCTAACTACGTTAACATCTGTGCGATTATACTGAAGGCGCAATAGTATGCAACTAATATTGCTGCCTGTTCCCTCGCAAATTGCGTAAAGGGCTCTATCTCTCTTCGATTTTACAGCTCCCAAAAGTGCGAGCGCCTTTCAGCGATCAATCTCACGTTTTCATTGAGTTTATACCCTCAGAGTAAGAATATCCGTCTAATTAATACCAGAACGCTGGAGTTCACCTGGTTTCCTAAACTTCCACCTCCATATGCAATCCTCTCCCACACCTGGGGCCCTGAGGAGGTGACTTTTGCGGATCTCACCAATCCGTCTACGAGAGCAACAAGATCGGACTTCGCCAAGATCAAACAGACATGTGAAAAAGCCCTCAAAGGTGGCTTTAGCTACGCGTGGATAGATACGTGTTGTATTAACAAAGAAAGCAGCTCCGAGCTGAGCGAGGCTATCAATTCCATGTTTAGGTGGTATCGCGACGCTGCCATGTGCTATGCTTATCTCGAAGACGCTTCCGAGGACATAAAGCCACCGATAACAAGCTCTTCGTCGATTGAACACTGCAGATGGTTTACCCGGGGCTGGACATTGCAGGAATTGCTTGCGCCGAAGGAAATTGTATTTTTTGGAGCCAAATGGACCACAATCGGCCGAAAGACGGATCTTGGAGAGATTCTGGAACAGATCACTCGAGTTCCCTGCAACATTCTTACTAGGGACATGCGGTTAGACCAGACCAGCGTTGCAAACCGCATGAACTAGGCTGCAAAACGAGAGACGACTCGTGCAGAAGACATTGCATGGGAATATTCGATGTCAACATGCCCATGATATACGGCGAGGGGAGGAATGCTTTCACTCGCTTGCAGGAGGAGATTGTAAAGCAAACTCAGGACGATTCCTTGTTTGCCTGGCGGGTCAGTGAAGAGTCTGCATCCGAAGGCCCGTATCGCGGCTTATTTGCCTCATCGCCGAAAGAATTGGCCAGTGAGGTGAGGTGACTACCACTCCGTTTTTCACCAGCACGGCCGGTGCGTCAACTCTACTCGGCAATGGGTGAATATCACTTAGCTGCGCTCTATACCAGGACGGCTTCATTGGCCTCAAGTGCTTTCAGGACACGGAACTCTCAACAGTTGTGGGCATCCAAGCCATCAATACAGGAAGCAATCACTATGTACGGTCCAACCCCTTGCAGTTGGTGTTGAAATCTCATCAATATCCTGTTTCTTTTCAAACGGTGGTATTTGACAAGTTTGTCAAGATGAAGGAGCCGAGGTCATTGAGCGACATTTATCAGCACAATGAGTTCACTCTAGCTCTGCCTCCAGAAATAAGTTTGGTGGCGGTGTATCCCAAAGAATACACAGGATTCCAGGAGAAGATGAGGCTGCCGATAACGCCTCTTGTCGGGGAAAAGGTTGTCTTTCATATGCAAGTCGACAGGGAAGCGTCGGGTGCTAATGTGTTTCAAGAAATTGGATGGTGTGACAAGGGCACGGCAGTTCTCCTTGTCCTTTAGGCTGAACAACTAAGCACAAGATCGTTTACTTACTATTTTGATCTACTGGCCGTCAATGCTGGGGATGTCGAGTCAGAATTTATAGATGCCGAAAGGCCTCCAGAAGCGCTCTGGGGAAAAGAAACAGCCATTGCGTGGTCTACTATTTGTGCTACCGGAACGCATACGATAGTGAGCGGGCACCAAATATTTAGTCTTCAGTTAAGTGTTTCTGCAAATGCGGATGTTAAGAATTCAGCAATAGATGTTCAAAAAGAAATGGAGAAGGCTGAGAAAGTGAGGGAAGAGGCTGAAATGGAAAGGGAAATGGAAAGGGAAATGGAAAGGGAAATGGAAAGGGAAAGGGAAAGGGAAAGGGAGAGGGAGAGGGAGAGGGAGAGGGATGCTGAGAGTGATCGTGAGTTTAAGAAAGGTATTGGACAGGCACTGGCTTTTTTGGTGGCTTTGATACTTGGACTGGCCTTTAGTGTAGCTTTTGGAATAGTCCCGTTCATGCATGCCCAGCGTTAATGTTAAACAACTCATTCTTACAAAGGGGTCGAGATGTGGCAGGTTCACCCGTCTCTAGTGTACAAGAACCTAGTACCAAGCAGAATGGTCAAGGCAAATTGGCTACCTAAAAAGTGATAAGCAGTACACAGCACATGACACGCCAACATGAGTCGAAAAGAGTCTACGACCTTTTCAAAACAGAACAAGGTCAGTCGATTTTAGACAAGCTATAAGATGATATATATATACACGTGCTCTCTCAAAAACACTCATGCCCGATACTCCAACCTCGACCAATTTTCTTCATACATGTTTCATTTCAACGTTAGTTTTCATTCTTTAGCTGCTCTCGGCCTGCTTCAGGAGACCCTCGAGGTTGATGCTCTTGGGGCGCTCAATGGGGAGACCCAGGGCGCGGTCCCAGATGAGCTGGGCAAGGGGACCCAGACCACGCGAGACACCAAAGGTGGCGGTGTAGTATAGGGTCTCGTGGAAGCCGTAGTGGTGGAACAGGACGCCGGAGCTGCTGTCGACGTTGGGGTAAGGGTTCTTGGTCTTGCCGTGCTTCTTGAGGACCTCGGGAGCGATGCGGCTGTTCTTCTCAACCAGCTGGAAGACGGGGTCCTTGGCAATGGTGGGGCGGGAAGCGGCGTAGTCCATGAGAGCCTCAAATCGAGGATCAGGCTTACGCAGAACGGCGTGGCCGTAACCAGGCACGACACGGCCGGAGTTGAGGGTAGACCAGAGGTAGTCGTGGACATCCTGCTCAGTGTAGTTGGCGGGGATGGCCTCCTTCATCTGGAGAATCCAGCGAAGAACCTCCTGGGCGGCAAGACTAGAGTAAAGGTTGTTAGTGTATACAGTTCGACTTCGTAAGTGGGCCATAGAGGACGAAGAAAACATACCCGTGAAGAGGACCGGCCAGACCCTGGAGACCAGCACTGTAAGAGAGGAAGGGGTCGCTGAGAGCACTGCCGACCAGGTGAGTGGCGTGAGCAGACACGTTGCCGCCCTCGTGGTCACCGTGGAGAGCAAGGTAGAGTCGGAGGAGGTCCTGGAAGTCCTCGTTCTCCTTGCCGCCCTTGCCGAGCATGGCAGCAAAGTTGTAAGACCAATCCTGCTCAAGGTCCACCTCGGCAGGGAGAGCACCGCCGCCTCTGTAGGCGTTCTGGTAGATCTTGGCAGCAATGGTGGGCAGCTTGGCGAGCAGAGAAATGCAGTCGTCAAAGGTAGGCTCCCAGTAGTCAGCCTTGTTGAGACCCTGCTCGTAGGCCTTGGCGAACTTGGACTCGTAGTTGAGGGCCGAGACGGCAATGGCAAACTGGGTCATGGGGTGCAGATCCTTGGGGAACTCGTCGAGCATCTTGTTGACAAAGGCAGGGATCTGGGCCTTGGAGGCGAGCTCACGGGAGAACTCGCGGACCTGGTTGACGGAGGGGACCTGGCCAGTCAGGAGCAGCCAGAACATGGACTCGGGGAGCATCTCAGTTCCAGTCTTGCCCTTGGGGAGCTCCTTTTGGCAGTCCTTGATGGTGCGGCCGTGGAAGCGAATGCCCTCGTTGGCATCGAGGACGGATCCCTCCCAGACCATGGCCTTGAGGCCACGCATGCCGCCGAGGGTGTTCTCGACCTTGACCTCGCCAATGACCTTGTTGCCATGGGCCTTGACCTTCTTGAGCAGCTCGCGCTTGGCGGGAATGACCTCTTTGAGGGTCGTCTTGAGATCGGGCTCAGCGGTAGAGTAGCATCGCGCGGCGTTGGCAAGGAGAGCAGCACGAGTGTAGGGCTGTGGATTTGAATAGCTGAGTGTCAATTGAGCTGCTACCAGAATCAATCGATGGCGAATTCACTGACCTTGAAGGAGCGCAGGGCTCGAGCCGACGTGGTGAGGTTGAGAGCCATTGTGATGATGATTGAGCCGAGCTGCTGATGGCGGGGCAGAAGCAGCTGGTGGTTAGCTACAAGTACAAGTACCCAAGGTAGAGCCCATTGATGCTATCGCTGATAAGATTAGGGGGGAACTTACAGTGGACGATTCGTTTCCTTTCTTGCACGCAACGATGATAAGAGGAGGGAAAGAAGAAGAAAAAAGACAAGAAAAAAAAGAACCGAGATATCTTGGACCACAACAAAAAAGTTCCTTTAACGTCTCATCTTACACCCAAAAAGCAGCCAAGCCCGAGACAGTCCAGCTCCAGCCCAGCAAAACGGCAGCCCGCCTTCCGTCACCGCTTTCAAAACAGCCGAAGAAAGCCGCCCGGTCGGTCCGTCGGTAGCCCCGCGCCGCGTGATTGGCCAATCTGCGTCAGCCGCGCCTGTATCGGCCCTCTTTTGGCTTGAGCCGAGCATCAAAGCTGGGCTGCTTGGAAATGAGGAAAATCGATGCGGCAAACATGTCCTAAAGTGGCCAACGGGCGAGTAAGTGGCCAGGGATATAAAGCAGAAACGACATCGAAATCCGCGAACGCATCTTTGCCTCGGTAATCGAATTATCGGCATCAGTTCTGTCTTGTCTGTTTCGATATCTCGATAGTGACAGTGACAGTACCTTATCGAAAGATGATGCGAATAGCTTCACGAGCTCCCCAGCGGGCGTGCTCTCTGGCCTCCTCCTCTGCGTCCGCCGCTCTTCGTCGATCCATCCCGCGCTCTGTTGCCATCCGCGCCATTGCAACAACCGCTCACATGGCTGCTCCCACTCAGACCATCGCTCACGCAGCGCCAGCCGACGCCTATCAGCTGCTGCCCGAGGCGCAAAAGGCCGGCCAGGCGGAGGATGCGCTCTATGAGGCCCAGGTCAAGGAGATTGAAGAGTGGTGGGCATCGCCTCGTTATGCCGGCATTCGACGCCCGTACAGCGCCGCAGATGTCGCCTCCAAGCGCGGCACCCAGTTGATCAAGTACCCCAGCTCCGTCATGGCCACCAAGCTGTTTAACCTGATCCGCGAGCGCGAGGCCAAGGGCGAACCTATTCACACAAGTAAGTCATACTATCACGGACTATCATGATCACAAAGACAATCACTAACTTCTGCTTTCTTCAACCAGTGGGCGCCATCGATCCCGTCCAAATGACCCAGCAGGCCCCTCACCAGGAAGTCCTCTACATCTCCGGCTGGGCTTGCTCCTCCGTCCTGACCAGCACCAACGAAGTGTCTCCCGACTTTGGCGACTACCCCTACAACACCGTCCCCAACCAGGTCCAGCGCCTCGCCAAGGCCCAGTCCATGCACGACCGCAAGCAGTGGGACACCCGCCGCAAGTTGACCGCCGAGGAGCGGGCCAAGACTCCCTATACCGACTACCTCCGCCCCATCATCGCCGATGGTGACACCGGCCACGGAGGTCTCTCTGCCGTGCTTAAGCTGGCCAAGCTGTTTGCCGAGAATGGCGCGGCTGCGGTACACTTTGAGGACCAGCTTCACGGCGGCAAGAAGTGCGGCCACTTGGCGGGCAAAGTCCTGGTGCCCACGGGCGAGCACATCAACCGTCTCAACGCCGCCCGCTTCCAGTGGGACGTCATGGGCTCTGAGAACCTGGTCATTGCCCGTACCGACTCGGAATCCGGCCGTCTCATCTCGTCAGCCATCGACGTTCGTGATCACGAGTTCATCCTCGGAATTGCTGACCCCACCATCGAGCCCCTCGCCGAAACGCTGCAGGCGATGGAGGCCAAGGGGGCCACAGGCGCCGAGATTGATGTCTATGAGGCCAAGTGGGTGAAGAACAGCAGGCTGGTGACTTTTGACGAAGCTGCTGTCGAGCACATGCAAAAGGAGGGCGTCGCCCAGGCAAAGATTGACGCATATCTCTCTGCCGTAGCTGAGGATCGCGACATGGGCATCTCTCGCCGCCGCCATCTCGCTTCCGAGTACACCAAGACTCCCGTCTACTTCAACTGGGACGTGCCTCGCACTCGTGAGGGCTACTACCACTTCCGTGCCGGCATGGAGGCTGCTACTAAGCGTGCCCTGGCCTTTGCCCCCTACGCTGATCTCCTCTGGGTTGAAACTGGCGACCCCAATGTCGAAGTCGCCGCCAAGCTGGGCCGCACCGTGCGTGCCGCCAACCCCGGCAAGTCTCTCGTCTACAACCTGTCTCCCTCGTTCAACTGGATGGCCCACGGCTTCACTGACGAGAAGCTCAAGTCGTTCATCTGGGACATTGCCAAGGAGGGCTTTACGCTGCAGCTCATCTCGCTGGCCGGTCTCCACTCGACGGCCACCATCACCAACGAGCTGGCCAAGAAGTTTAAGACGGACGGCATGAAGGCGTATGTGGAGATTGTGCAGAGGCGAGAGAAGGAGCTGGGCTGTGATGTTTTGACGCACCAGAAGTGGAGTGGAGCGAGCTACATTGATGGCATCTTGGGTGCTATTCAGAGCGGCAGCTCCAGCAGCAAGAGCATGGGTGAGGGCAACACGGAAGGCCAGTTTGACTAAGTAAAAAGGGATATAAAAAAGAAATTGTTAAAAAATGGAAAATAAAAGAAATAACAGAAAGAGTAGCATTATGCATATGTAAATATATAGGAGGCATTTGGACGGAGTTGGGTACATATTTCGAGTATTTCTTCTTGGATATACAATTTACAACACATGAATGTGATTCATCATGATACTTGACACTAATTCTATTACTTGCATTCTTTTGTCTCTTTTTATTTATTTTCGTCAACTAATCATACAAATCCATCCATCACTCCAGAGAAGACTTCAGGGCGTTGTTGGTGGGCGCCGGTGCCGCAGGTCCCTCAGCAGTGACATACGCCTTGCTCATACCACCATCCACGACAAAGTCGCTGCCGTTGACGAAGCTAGCCTCATCACTAGCCAAAAACACAACAGCGTGAGCCTGCTCAACAGCCTCGCCAAAACGACCCGTGGGAAAGTGCACCTCGCGGCGCTGTCTCTTAGCCTTGTCGTCGCCCAGCCAGTCCTGCAGCAGCGGGGTGTTGAGCGGCGCGGGACACAGACTATTGAAGCGGAATCCCTCGCGAGCATGCACCATGGCGAGTTCGCGAGTCAGAGCGAGGACAGCGCCCTTGGAGGCCGTGTAGGCGAGCTGCGGGGTGGCTGCGCCGACGAGGGCGACGACGGAGGCGGTGTTGATGATGGAACCTTTGGTCTTTTTGTTGCGGCGGAGTGCGAGGACGGCGTGCTTGCAGCCGAACCAGACGCCCTTAACGTTGATGTTGTGGGTGAGGTCCCAGATGGCCTCGGGGGTGTTGATGGCGTCGTCGTCGTTGGCGTGCATGATGCCGGCGTTGTTGAAGATGACGTCGAGGCCGCCCCAGCTGTCGAGGGACTCGATCATGGCCTGGACGTCAGCCTCCTTGGAGACGTCGCATTTCTGTACATGGATATGAGCCCCGGGTTCATGTGGTGAATGTAGAATGAAAATAAACATACGCGAGTCTCTAGGCGAGTGGCAGCGGGGACGAGCTCCTTGACCTTGGCCACGGCCTTTTCCAGCGCGGGCTCGGAGATGTCGGCCAGGAGGACGTTGGCGCCCTCCTTGGCGAAGAGGATTGCCGTCTCAAGACCAATGCCTCTGTTTTCATGAGTCATTGTTAGCAGCTGTTGAGTTGGGCTCACTTTGGCTCTCACGCGATATAGACGGATAGAGGTTGGATAGGAAGGAAAGGGGAACAAGAGGATGGATATTCAACGCAAAACTCACCCCGCAGCACCGGTGATGATGGCGTTTTTGCCAGCTAGACGTCCGACCATGATGATGATGATTTAGTTATCGACGAGAGATGAGTTGAATGAACAAAAGAAAAAGCGGTGGTGAGATGAGGTTCGAGGTTGGGTTTTATGCTTGGGCAACAAGACTCAAGGCCAGACGCAAGGGATGGAGATGGAGGGGCAGTTTGACACAATTCCGTAATCTGTACTCCCGTACCCGGTACTCTGTCGGTACCTGATTGACCATGGCGGGGTCTCCTCGTGATGGGCAGAAAGAGACTCGGTCAGTCAAATCGCAGGTTCCACAAGCAAAACTGGTCCATCAAACAGACCAGACGCCCTCTGTGTAATCCGTAGCAGCACGGGCCCCATTGTACCAGAAAATTACCTAAAACAAGAGATATCGTCTGGCGCTATCTGCCCCTAGCTAGTAGTTGTCTCCATGTGAGAGGCACGAGACGGGCTGCTTTAGTGGCTTAGAGCTGGGAATTGACATATGCGGATCCATCAGATTGGAGGGGAGGACCCTAGATTGCAGCTCCGACAGCGGTGGCCGAGGTACCATACAAGTACTGTACTGTGCTGTGTTGTTCTGTGTGAGGCAAAGGCTTGCGATGGAGAGAGCTGTCCTACAATATGATGGCATCTTTCTTGTTTTCTGTAATGGCTGCATCTGTAGAAGAAATTAATTATAGCAGTCCCTTATCATATCTACTAATCTATCTAATACTACACAATCCTTCCACCCCATCTCAATCTCAATCCATCCATTATCATTCTCACCACCACCACTACAAGCCAAACCCCAACTGATAACGAACGATAGCCCGTCCAACCCCTCCATTGGCTCCCCCCCTGGCCCTGAGCCGCGGCCCCCGCAGCGTCCAACGTGCCATCCACTGTAGCAATTAATGCCAATCCCCCTCCATCTCCATCTTCCATCTCCATATTGCATGTGCATCGCCAATCTCCAAGTCGTCTGTCTCCTACGTAATCTGCTCGTGACGGTCCTTCTAGAACAAGCGCCGATTTGATTTGGATTATTCCTATCTGGGTATTTAATCTGCGGGGTGTCTCGTCTCGTCTCGTCTCGTCCTCACGCGCCCTCATCGTCTTCGTCTTCGTCTTCGTCTTCTAGCTTCCCATCACGATAACGGCATGACTCGCTGATCTGCTTTTATTGCGCTTGGACCTCCAACACCCCACCTGTTTGCCGCTCCAACCTCTCTCTCGACTTACAACGAACGTCATTCTTTACGACTACAACAACAACAACAACAACGACATTCGTTACAGCAGGATACCCTAAGCAAAACACCAGATCATCGCCTCTTTTTGCTCTCTACCTACCTCACGCAACTCCCAGCTCCTCCACCCACCATGGCCGTCACCAAACCCATCACCGCCGCCTCCCTCGAGGCCCTGCTCGAGCACGACACCAAAGTCAAACTCGCCGGCCTCGACGTCGACGGAATCCTCCGCGGCAAGCTCGTCTCTAAGAAAAAGTTCCTCTCCATCGCCACCGCCGGCTTTGGTTTCTGCTCCGTCATCTTTGGCTGGGACATGCACGACCAGACGTACCTGCGCGAGCTCAAAATCTCAAACGCCGAGAACGGATACCGCGATCTGCTCGCCATCCCCGACCTCAACAGCTTCCGCAGGATACCCTGGGAGAACAACATCCCCTTCTTCCTCATCACCTTCCACGACCCAGACACAAAGCTGCCCATTTGCGCATGCCCGCGCGGGCTGCTAAAGACGCAGCTGGACCGCCTGCGCAGCAAAGGCTATGGCGCCATGGCCGGTGGTGAGCTCTCACTTCTTTTTGCTTCCTTTGACAAGACGAGATATGGTATACTGACAACCTCTGTTCTGTTTCCTCTAGCTGAATACGAATTCTACACTTTCCAGACCCCCGACGACTCATCATCTCCCGCCAGCTTCCTCCAGAACAACCCCCCGCACCAGCTCCCCTCGCTCACAGAGGGCATGTTTGGATACTCCCTCACACGACCCGTCCACAACAGGGACTGGTACTACGAAATATTTGACACCTGCACCGCGTTTGACTGCGATGTCGAGGGTTGGCACACCGAGTCCGGCCCGGGTGTGTTTGAGGCCGCCCTCGAGTTTGGCGAAGTCGCCGAGATGGCGGACCGCGCCAGCTTGTTCAAGTACGTCGTCAAGAGCGTTGGCGCAAAGCATCGCATCACCCCGTGCTTCATGGCCAAGCCCAAACAGGGCCTCCCTGGAAACAGCGGTCACATGCACGTGTCCATCGTCGATGAGAATGGCAAGAACCTGCTGGCGAGAGAGACTGTTGACGAGAATGCGCCGTGGAAGGATGTCGCAGGACTGTCAGACCTAGGACGTCATTTCCTGGCCGGTGTCTTGGAGGGTCTCCCTGACATCATGCCTCTGCTTGCGCCCACAATCAACTCGTACAAGCGCCTGGTCGAGAACTTCTGGGCCCCGGTGACCGTCTCGTGGGGTCTCGAGCACCGTGCCGCTTCTATCCGCCTTATTGCGCCGCCCACTTCCAAGGCTTCGGCCACACGATTCGAGATCCGTGTGCCCGGCGCCGATACCAATCCCCACTTTGTCCTTGCCGCCGTCCTGGGCTGCGGCTGGCGCGGAGTCGAGAAGAAGCTCGAGATTCCGTGCCCGCCACTGGCCATGGGCGAGAACGTCGGCGGTTCTTCCGACAAGGGGGCGCGATTGGCCAAGAGCCTGCGGGAGGCTACGGCGAGATTCATGGCCAAGGACAGCATCGCCAGAGAGGTGCTGGGCGACGATTTCGTGGACCACTTTGGTGGCACCCGAGAGAATGAGATTAGACTGTATGACGAAGCCGTAACAGATTGGTAAGTCTTAAGCACTCCAGAACCAGATAACGTCGCCCTTTACTGACTAATTGTGTCCAGGGAAATGAAGCGGTATATTGAGGCCGTGTAAGAACGCAGACGGACTGGCGCAAGAGGCGGTTGAATCTTTGAAGCGTTGCGTAAATGGCTTATGATTATGAACATTGTAAGATGCGTAGAATACCAGCGACGGAGACGGTTTTTTGGCTAGACCTTTTTCTTGTTTCTTGGGCATCGGTAGTGGAATAGCAGTGGCAGAGTGTCTTTTCTGCGTGCTTTGTCGTTATTTCCCTTGCCCCCTTTTTCTCTATCTGCGCTCTTATTTTGCCGAGAATCGCTCGAGAGATCAAAGGGGTATATATATATATATATATCGTCTGGATGCTTCTTGATTCGCAGAGGCCGTTCATTGTGTCTTTTCCACGGTCCTCGCTTTGGTACTTTTGCCGCCGGGCTTTCTCGCCGATATAAATGTTCTATCATGAAAGTGTCAGCATCATGCAAAGACAGCAGCAATACGATATACATACACTTTGATACAACTCCTCAGGAGCGGGTCGTCATATTCTTTCATCACCCTGGCCAGCAGCTCGCGCGTCTTTGCTTCCTCCCAGCCAGCGAGGCCAAACATTCTCAGCGTCCAATGATTACATCCTAAAGGAATATTACAGCGTCAGAAGAGTTCAAAAGTGGCCCATCGCAAGAGGAACAACATGAACTCACCCGTCTCGAGCATCTTGTATAGAATCTCGCCCTTCTTCCTCACCACAGGATCCCGAGCCCAGTTCCGCACCGGCATCCAGTCGGACCGCTCGCGCACGCTCTCGGCGCCCAGCTCGCGCAGCCACGGCCTCACCTTTGGCGTAGGGTCAAAGTCGATGCCCTGAGCGGCGGCAATCTCGGCGAAGACGGCGCCGTACTCGATCGTCGCCGCGCCGAGGGCCGCCCGGGGCCGCTGCTCCGTGTCCGCCTGCTCTTCTCTCTCGGCGTCGGTGCCGGCATCGTCGGACGACTCGGACGTAGGGTCCGGATCGACGCCGAAGAAGAGCGGCGTGACCTCTGTGAACTCGAGCTGGCCCCCCGGCTTGAGGTGGTCAAACGCCTGGACGATGAGGCGGCGCCAGTCACGAATACCGCCTCCCACGAGGTTGCGCAGATGAATAAAGTCGTAGAGGCGCGGCGGCCAGTCCTCGGCGGCGTCGGCAATCTCAAACGTCAGATTGGGCGGCACCTCCTTGGGCAGGTTTGCGCTGCTCAGCTCGATGCCCAGCACGTCGACCAGCGGGTTGCTCTGGGCCATCTCCATGCCCCAGTGGCCTCCGCCGCAACCGACATCAAGGATATGGAAGCGCGGGCTGTCCGGGCTCAGGTGCTCGAGGGGCAGCTTGGTAAAGGTCAGGGCGCCGCCGAGGCATAGCGTGAAGAGCTCGTGCTGATAGGCCTGGCGCTGGTTCTCGCACGGGTCGTTGGGCGTCACCATGCGGCCCGAGCCGTGGTAGACGTGGCCGTACTCGTGGATCGGGGGGAGGGCGTCTTCCGAGGCGGACGAGTAGTTGGAGTTGGAGTCGCTGGCCGTTGCGTCGTCTTCGTCGTCGTGGTCTGCTTCTTCAACTCCGTCCTCGTCTTCGTCTTCCTCGCCATGCTCGTGCTCTTCTTCTTCATCTGTCTCTTCTGTCTCTCCATTGTCGGCATCATGATCATTGTGCTTTTCACCTTGCTCATGGTCATCGTCTATGATGACAGACTCGCCGGCAGGCGGCATACTTTCCACCGCCATTATCAACCACCTAGGCAGTCGTTGGAACTAACTGATATCGCAAGTTGCGGGTGTTGTCAACCAGACTCAATGCTTTCCAGCCGTTTTCTCCAGAATCGTAATCCGAGGCCACTGCTCCTAATGGGTTTTCGCCCTGGCTCGCTTCTTTCTTTTTAGCTTTTTGCCCCTTTGGGTTGTTTATGCCGTCTTCAATGTAGAACCGGCTGGACGTAAACTGAGCTGCAATTAGAGTCGTATTGATGTGGACCGCCGCGGCGTCGCTTCCACCCATCCTAATTTAGACAAAACCTGGAGCCGCGAGCCGTCTAACAAGTGTCATGTGTCATTTGTTCTTTAATCCTTCTGTCGGTTTCTTTTTCTCCCGTGATTTTCGTTCCTGCAGATGAAATTCCGGTGATTGCTAAACGGCAATAAAAACGCCCCCCTCTCTTTGGGAGATATGAAAAGAAGGAGAACGGCCCCCACGTGGCAAACAGCTAGACTCTGGACTGAATGAAAAAGGCCGTCAGGTGATGTGATTGATTGTCAAGCGAGCTGAGAAGAAAGTACAGTAGTTCCAAGGCCCAATCCCTGTACTGCTGTCGAACTTGTACAACCAGGGCCTGGAGCGAGGCCGGAATTTCCGGTGTAAATTGGAACGGGCACTTCTTTCTTCCCGTTCTTCTTTTCTTTTTCTTCTTTCTTATTGGATTGAAAGTTATTAAAATGAAACGAAATGAAGAAATGCCAGCCACTAATTTCCAAACAGTGCGGCAGGTGTTGGGCTAAGAATAGAATAGAATCGACGGGTTTGATTAGCAATTGAAAAGCTGCGAGATGGGCTGGAAGAAACAGGAGCGTGGGATTGATTGGATTGGTCTGGAAGGTTTAATAGAAGGAACTCCACGTGGCCAATCGCCGTTGACGCCAAGAAGGGGGGGCAGAGACGGCTATCGAATTTGCCCAAAATGTGATGAATCGAATTCACATGAGTCGGGGGACACGGGAAGAAGAGGAGATGGTGGAGGAAGAAGGATTGGCTGGCTGATAAGTAAAGTAGAAGATCAATGCTAATGAAAGACGAGCCAGTCAGTCAATGATATCGTCATAGTAGAAGAAGGAGGAAATCCAACACAATTGGAAAGAAAGGAAGAAAAGAAAGAAAAAAAGAGTAAGACGATAAAAGAAATCAATCGATAAAAAACCCAATCAATCCCAAGTCTCTCAATTCCGAGCTCATAATCCAGCCGACAGGGGGGAGAAAAAAAGGCCCGTCACGGTCACCTATCAGCATCGGGATATGATCCAATGGGAAAAAAGATGCAGGCAGAATTGGCCAAGCAACAGCCTCACCAACGGCAGACACACCCAACACACATACGCAGCTTGCAGAAAGAAAGACGAACGGCCCGCAGCTTGCAGATTGACAGCCCTCCGTGTGGTCGCCGGAAAACTGCCTATTTCGTCCATGTCTCTCTTCGTTTGTTATTTTTAGCTGTCTCTACGTAACCTTTGTCTTTTTTTTCTCCCCTTGTTCAGCTGAATGGATGAATTAATAATGGTTAATAATTTGTCAAGGTTGCGTGTTGCATTGCGGCTATTCGTGCTCATAAGCGCCCAGACTCTCACACGATGCGATTACACGCAACCCAACAACAAACATACTCAACACACAGACTCTCGACACAACCTTTGTTCGTCAACCCCATCATCATCGTCCCCTTTTCTCTTTCTTCTCACCACAATACTCGTATGCCGAGACTCGCCGCATCTTGCCTAAATCGCCAGTCCCCCGATGCACAACTAGATCCACCCCCCTGGTTCATTCTCTGCCTCGTGTCTTGTCTTCAAACCAACGAACTCCATCGTGCTGCATCGTCATCACACTTGATCCATCCATCTGAATCCTTCCCGCGCCTTAGTCACAAATCTGTCACGACACTTGTCGCATAGGCGGCATAACCGGTGGATCTGTCATATACCAAAAAGGAAAAAGATAGAGTTGGAAAATAACAGCCAACAATGAAAATTGATTCCATTCGTTGAACCTCTCCCTACCAGTTGGTTCATCTCGCAATCCCAAAGAGCCAAGCACTTGCTAATGCATCCAACATCTGATATACCTGTACTCACAGAATCCTCCACCAAAGTCTCTATGCTTCCAGCCAATGCCAAGGCGGCCCTAACTTACATGCAGCCAACTCTCTGTAATCGACACATGCAAGCACAAACCTCATATCACACCTCATCCTCTTAGCTGTCCTTCGCACTTCTCTATCCGCTACCCCGTCTGTACATCCAAAACATGCATGGAGACAACATGTGATATGCCCGCAGCACATGTAGTCAGGGGCCCTGCATCTCGTCTTACTGTTGGTACTGCAGCAAAGAATGAAGGCTTCACTTGTCTAAGCTGCTGCATACATATCCAGCCAAGCCAAAAGAAGCACCTCGCCAAACAACGGCATTGACATATCCGCTTATACGCCTCAAACGATGTAACACTGAGCATTCATTCGCAAAGCAAATAGTCATAGACCCCATCTACACAAGTGTAAGCCCATTCGAGAAGAAAAAAAATCTCCGTTAGCTCCAAAAATCCTCCAGACTCACGATATTCCATACGCTCTCCACACGGCACTAAACAACAGCAAACCCACTCGCCCTCTCAATCAAGAAGCTCGCAAAAAAAAAAAAAAAAAGAGCCGAGTGAAAGACAGACATTATGCACATAAGACAGAACTGCGATCACGAGTACATAAAACAAAAGGCCGGAAAGGAAGAGGAGAAAAACAAAAATACTACCATGCACTGCTTCCATGCATTGGTCTTGGTCTCTGTCCAGGCACCCGTTTTCCATACCCCTACACTGTAACCTAACGGAATATTACCAAAGGAAAGCAAATACTACTAGTACAAACAAAGAAAGAAAGAAAATCGTCAATGTCGATTATCTACTCTTCTTGAGCTAATATGATTCGTTAAACCCAACTATCCTAGGAACGCATTGGCACTTGTCCGATACTCCCCTCCGTCTCCATCTCCATGCAACGACGACACAAACAACCCCAATGGCGATCCTCCTCACACTTCAAAACATAAGCAAGAGAATGCAATGCCACATCACATACATACTCACGCCAACGCAAGTCCGGATACGCCGCCTTGGCATCAAACCTCACGCATGACATGACTGACACCTACATGTGCATAACAGCGTCGAATAATCACCGTCAGATCAGCCTCGACGTCAAACCACAAAAGCCCAAGTCAAAGCGGTGGATTGTTACATGGAGAAATGGATTTTCCGTCAGTGCTCTGCTCAACACGAAACAGTCCGAGTCTGATGCCACGCAACCTTGACATCTAGTCTCGCCCTTGTTGCGTCCACATGACCACACACACTGTTGCAACATCAGCAATCCGTCATCACATCACAGACAAAGAGAGACAGACACACACACGACCATCGCCAATCAGAATCAACAGTTGTTGCAATTATTAAGTTTTCCGCCTGCATTGACCCCAAAAAACGCCGGTGCTATGACGTATCATAATATCCATATCAAAAGAATCTTAAGCCTCCACCAAGTCGCCCACCGCAGTGTACACCACCCAAAGACTCCACTAAACCAGATGAAGAAGAAACAGTTGAGGGAGGAAAAAGGGAACAAGGAGAAAGGAGAAAGGAGATAACTAGAAAAAAAGAAGAAAGAAAGAAAAAGAGAAAACGCTGATACAAACAACAGACCTTGACGACTCATAAAACCCTGTTGCAACTGGGTAAAATGCTCAACACAAACTTCAGCCTGTCTCTGGCTCTCATCTTCTGTGTCAACCTCGGTGAGTCGCTCACCATTAAGAAATGCGTTTAGCAGACAAAGCTGAGCCCAATGAGTAAGCGGGGAAAAGACACCATGCCGGCCAAAACAATGCAAAGAAGCATATCAATCCTCGCAATAAAACGCACGCCTTCCGCCCATGTAGACGAAGGCGATGAGAAAAAACCATGACGTTCAACCCACCCAAGGTTCTTCGGGTTATTCACCACATCAATCTCTCTTTCCTTCTCTCTTCAGCTCATCACCTTCAGCTATACATCAGAGGACGTGGACACACTTGGTCCCTCTATCGGGTTATCATGACTGGTTTCACGAGTTGCTCCTCGCCTTTGCGCGACCACCACGCCTCTCCCACTGCTCCTCATCCGGAACGTACTCTTCGGGATGAAAGTCGGGATTTCCGTAGTGTGCTCTGTTCCATACGCTGTTCTTGAACGTGGTGCTCTGCGTCGTTTGAAAGACAGGCTCCCGGATACCAGTGCGGTTGCTCTCTTCATACTCCAGCTGGACGGGGCTGAACCGTATGTGGTATCCCGACGGGGAAGCTACAGGCTGTGCCGGAGGGTTCGAAGGGAGAAGACTGCTAATACTGCTACTCCTCGTGGTAGGGCTGGGTGTCATTGAGGCGCTCGGAGTCATGGGGCTAACCGCCACCGCGGAAGAGGGAGGAAGCGTGGACGGCGGTGGCTGCTGTTGTGACACCTCGGGATACTGTGGCTCCCAGGAACCGGACTGCTGCGACGGCACAAAGGGTTCGCCAACGGGGCTGGCCGCTGGCGGCGGTGACGTCAAAGGGGACATGCCGCTCACGCTCAACTCACCCAATCCGCCCACGCTCAGTTGACCCAGCGAGTTCAGCGAGTTCATGCCGAAGCCTGGCAGCGTGGCAAGCATATTCATGTTACCCATGAAACCCGTTGGGTTGATGGTGAGGTTGTTCGTGAAGCCGTCCACCCGGTGTATCTGTATATCGGCAGAGCTAGAAGGCGCAGGAACGGAGACTGGTATGGCTGGCGGAGCGGGAGCCTGGACGGGCGGTGCTCGATAGAGAATGTCGTAGTGGTCGGGACGGTAGAGCAGATACAGCGTGGGCCCGAGAACCGTGTCTTGCTGGTTGGCCTCTTCCGGAAACCGGTAGCGGTTGACTTGGTTTCCGGGGCTGCGGTCTAGGTATGCGATTTCTAAGACAAAGTCGATTGGCTTGAGCAACAGGTTGGCCAGGCCAATGATGCCGAGGTGCTCAATCTCGCGGTTAACGATGTCGATGGCCTGCGAGCAGTAGTTTGCAATGCCGCCGAAATCAGCAGCAAAGTCATCGTAGGTGGCTGCATTCGCCTTGAGGGAGGTGGCCGCCAGTATGCGGAAATAGTAGATGATGTTGGCCTCGATGGTGCTGTCGTTGAAGCGCTGGAGCAAAATCACTCGAGCCAAGCCCGGGTTGGCTATGTTGGCGGCAATGTCCCGCAGCAAGTTGTGCGCCTCTTCGGCGAAATCTTCGTGATATTCGTAGCGGCCGATGTTGGAGATCATGTGGCCGAGGCTCATGAGACGAGCCACCTCGCCCTCGATCTGGCCTTGATCTCCGAGATCAATGAGCTTTTCGTAGTATGCAAAGGCAATTGCTGCAGAGACAATGGCCCGTCGTTAGCTTTGCTCATGTCGTAGAGCCCGAGACTGGTGCAGACAACTTACCGCGCCATCCGCAGTTTCCATCGCCCTTGATCTGGCGGTAGTGGGAGTATGTCTGTGGTAGAGCCTGCGGCGGGGAAAGAAGCTGGTCAGCATCGATGCTCAACGTTTCCTCTTTCTGTTTCTTATTCTTCTTTTTCCCAGGTCATGTTTCCATAGCTCGCCATGTATCTATTCTATCGGAGGGGAGGGGGGGACAAACGATGGTCTTTTCGATATAGACAGGGTCGGCCTTTGCGTATTCCTGGGTGATGGCATCGCTTGGGGTCTTTTCGCCGACGAACGGTCCCTGTTGACAGCATCAAAAGCGTTAGTTGCGCCCTTTTGTCTTATAAAGCGCGGAGAAACGACAGAAGAAAGAGACAAGAGGAGAGCAAACTCCGTTGGGATTGGGAAGCGCTGGCTATCATCCATCTTGTGTGCCAGGCCAGCAGAGAGAGAGAAACGCACCTCGAGACCCGGCTGGAATCGCTCGGCCGCCGCCTGTTGCGCGGCCATGTCGTGCAGCCCCGAGTCCTGCTCCTCCATCTTGATGATTGGACTGCCGGATCGATTGAGTCGCCGCCGCTGGGGCAGAGGCTGATGGTGGTGGTGCTGCAACTGTGAATGCGGAGACGGGGAGCTGTATGGATTGTAGAGAGCACCGCAAGATGCTGGCCCGAGAGCGCTTCCAGGGCCAGCTCCAGCTCCAACTCCAGCTGAAGCTCCAACTCCTCCAGCTGCTCCAACTCCTCCAGCTGCTATGCTGCCTGCTCCGCCCGTGGGGAACAAAAAGTCGAGGCTGTGGGCGGCGCCTAAGCCATACGGATAGGAAGCAAAGGACGAGGCGGAGTAGGGCGTGGGTTGAGGCTGAAACATTGCCTCCGGAGTGGGCAAGTTGTGTGAGAAAAAAGAATGGGGGAGAGCAGAGGTCGATGGCGAGACGAATTTCGATGGTTGAATGGCGAGCTGCTGGACTGCTGTTGGCGGCAACTCAGCACAACGGCACAGCGGGTTAGCGACAGCTTCAGCGCAACCTGTTAGTGGGCGACAGGGCGCCGTAGGATGCTGGAACTAGAGAAGCGAGAGGGAAGCCGAAGGAGAAGAAAAAGGGAACTGGAAAGGCGCAACACCGAGCTAATAATCTTTTTCTCTTCTTTCTCTTTTCCTTCCTTCTTCTTTGTCCTCTCTACTATTATTATGGACGGATCAAATGGATGTATTTTTTCCAGTTAGCGGCGGTAGCAGCGGTTAGATATTAGCACTGGAGAAGATGAGTGCAGCGACACTTGGTCAAGTGCAAGTGCAAGTGCAGGCCAGGGCAAGGGGACCAGACCAGTGCATGTACATGTATGCGGGCACCTGGTCGAGCGGGCGTCCATGTACCGGTACCTGAGCTGCGTGCAGGTGCTGGACAAGGCCAGGCGTGGTACCTGCTGTGTGCTGTGCGGTACCTGTGCGGTGCGCTGGCGGAGGGTGGGCCGCTGTTTTGGGGCCCTGCTTAGCGCTCTGGCACGCTGCTGCTGGGGCTCTCCGGGGGCGGGTTCTCAGCAGTCCAGGCCGGCAGATTAGCGAGCTTCGGCTGTCCCGTTTTTGCAGGGACTGGAAGTCTGGGTTCGAGGCTTTGATGATTTGATGTGATGCTGTCAACAAAGAGCGTTGCGAACCAACAACCAACGACTAGACGCAAGATGGATGCAGAGCGAGAGGATTTGTTGTTGATTAGGTGAGCAAATAACGAGGGCTCAGAGAGACAAATAGAGAGATGGTGAGAAACAAAAGGTTGGGGAAAAGCAGAAAAGAGGTGCGGAGCGGTGGGTAGAAATTCAAAGAGAGCCCAGACAACGATTGAAGTGAGGCTCAAGCAGGGAGCGGGGAAGGCCTCGATTCAATTTAACCAAAAACAGACGGCTCTTTGTTCCTATCCGCTGCCTTGTTCTTCTCTGTCTGGGTGTTTTAATATCGAGCGAGCCTGTGCTTCTGGCAAGTGGCTGTGTGCAATTGAGTCTCAATGGGAAAAAAAGAAGGCGAGCCAACAAATGATGTCAACGGACGGAGAGTGATGCTTCGTTTGTGATGGTGCTGTGGACTGGACTGGGATGTTCAAGTTCGGCCACCGACCAACTGCATGTGTCTTGTCCCGCTTCGGCGGAGTGAGCCTTGCTGTATCTATCTCGTCAAGATATCAAATGTCAACTGGCGATCAAATGTGTTGATAGATTGGATGTTCTTAGCCGTGCTTAGGCATCCGTGAGCTAGGGAGTTGGCGGCGGGAAAAGGAAACACGACAAAGGAATATCACAGCGATACCCGGGCTTATAAGTACATAATGGAACATGTTGCAGAACGCAGACGGGTTGCGACGTTGAAGCGCGTCGGGCCCCCTGGCCTGGCATTGGAAGCTCAAGCTGGGAGGCGATCACACAGCGGGCGACAACCCCCGGGGCCCGCGGGAACAGGGCTTGAGGGCTGAGAATATGGAGGCGAGCTTTACTGAAATCCGTACTCCGTACAATGAAGGTTCAATGTTGCTACGTGTGTGTGTCTTCTCTTCGCAAAGACTACCTGTTGTCTATCCCATGTAAGTCCTGTCGGCGTCGGAGTAAAACGAGAACATGGGATGGGCAAAGAGGCTGTTCGAGTTCGGGCAAATACAGGTACAATGGACATAGGCAGGCAGGGTTCGGGATGACCCAAGGGCATGAATCAAACCTACATTGAACATGGAACTCAAAGCGATGTGATGGGGGTCAAATCAAGTCTAGGGCTTCATGGAGCCTTGTGTGCGTGTGTACATGTGTGTATGCGCGTGTGAGTGATTCACCCAGGCCTGTACGAGGCCTGGGTGCCCTATGCAAACGGGGACCAAGCCAAGGCATAGAATGTTCGTCCTTGCAAGACACAGGCACAGCGGTTGACGGAGACGCGGCCCAGGCCAGGCTTATTGGTGCGTGTCAGGGCTGCAGGAACAGAACTGGAGAGTTACATACAAGCGGGAAAATCACTAAGGTAGCAGTTTGTCCAACTCCCGAGCCCATCCCATCACCAGACTGGAGGCAAAAAAGAGACTTTCTTGGCTCCCGGGGCTGGGAGGGCGATCTGGTCCCGGAGTGGACAAGGTGAAGGGCCACCCAGGGCACCCATGCTTGCCCGCTGTAGCCCAAAGGACGGTGAGAAAAGGGCATGGCGTTTGACGGAGAATCAGTTGAGCGCGGACCGAAGGCTCCCAACCAAGTTTATGATTTTGCACCTACTGTAGGCCTGGGGACAAGGGCCAAGAAAGAGTCCAGGCAAGAGACTTGCGGGTAGGCTAGGCGTGATGCGTGCTAGCAGCCAGAGGTGGCGATGCTCGTCTTGCGGGACAATCCCTGGCATCGTGGTTGGAGGCACTCATAGTACGGGTACGGCAGCATGAGATGGAGGGAATATCCTGGGAAGCCCAGCCGTCAGGTGGCTGGCTGGAGGCACAGGTCCCTTGCAAGTCGAGCTTTCAATGCTGCTACTCGTACTCGTACATACATGCCCGTAATGCATACATGTACATGCTTGTGCCAATACATGCCCATATTACGCCGGACGTCGAGAAGGAAGGTCTGTATGGCAGACAGGTACCATGTGGTGCTCCGTGCAAAGGAACCCAACGCAGGAGAGAGGCTCCATATTCATTGAAGGAGGGGAGAAGAGGTTCCGGAGCGGTTGAATTTAGTAGCATCTGTACCCTGGCCCGGCAGGCTAGCAAACAAGATTGAAATTGATGAAAAAGGCTGAAGACAGCCAGCATGAAGAAAGAAGAGGAAGGAAAGAAACATGAACATGGCCCAGCAGAGCAGTGGGACTTGTATGATCCGCTCGGGTTCGACTCCGTAGTGCCGCTGCAGGCATATGCATGTCTTGGTCTTGGCTGGGCATGTCCAGGTAGCAGCAGAAGAAAGATCGAGTATGTCTGGTCAATGTCTCGTGTGTGACGAGGCTTTGCGACGACGATGATACCCCGGTCTGCTGCAGCATCCAAGGCCATGGTGCTTGTACTTGTGCTGTACTGTGCTGGTGTACTGTAAAGTGTGTGAATGTTCTCCATGCCAGGGCTCTTACATACTCGTACAGCATTGATATTGAGATTACATGTAGAGAGAGGATGAAGTTGAGAACTAACTGACTGGCTGGCTGGCTGGCTGGCTGGAGTAGAAATGGAGCCATTGAACCTTGGCGAGGTACCTGCAACAACCACGAGTCCTGTCCTGCCAACGTCGGAAAGGAGGCCACAGGGCTGGGGAAAGGCAAGGAAGGGTACAGTGCATGTACCCGTACCTGGCAATGACACCATGTCGCGGTGATCCATGGATGCCCGGCAGGTACACCGTAGTACTCGTACTCTGACTCTGCGTGCCCCCATTCATCAATATTTGGGGCAATTGGGGGTACTGCTGGATCCCAGCTACAAGGAGTACGAATACACGCCGAACGATTACAGTATTGACATGTTGGTACATGAAGACATGATTTCACTCAATGGGCCAATTTTAAAGGGCTACAGGACGAGTAACAAGAGAGAGGGGGAGGGGGGGAAGAAGCGGCAAGACGCAGAACGCCGTCACAAGCACGGACAGATGCATGATGCCGCCTCTGTTTGTTTGTTTGCACTATTCCGGCATTGATCTGTCTGTCTGTCTGTCTGGCTCTTGTTTCTTGCTGAGACAGATATGAGGCAGTTCTTTGTGCTGTGGTACTACTGACATGTAGGAATATGTACCGTCACATTGGCTGGATACTACTAGACATGTGCAAGATGACTGCGCACTGCACGAGCAAGGAACAGGCTTCGAAGTGCCTGGTGAGCTGGCAGTTGCTCTACTCGTACAAGTATGGACTGGAGGTATTGACAGCTGTCCAATTGGTACCCGAGGGAAGTAAGCAGCGCAAAAACGAACAAGAGGAAGAAGGGAATAGGGAACCGATTGTAAGAATTGCAACGTACATGAAGCTTACACGAAACCAACGAGGCACAGTTGCTCCGTCTCAGAAAATCATCATTGAATTGCAACTCCATGTACATGGCATTTACCCCAGGGCTGGGCTGTCGAGATCAAATGTTGGGGGCCGTTTTGTCACCGACAGACAAGCCTTGAACCCACACAAAAAAAAAAGAAAATTAAAAAAGAAAAAATATTGTTGGCTCCGTCGTTCTTCGGGAACCACTTGCGGCAATGCCGGTCACGAACCAGGATCTGCTGGTCCTACTGCTGCTGCTACCAGGTACATGTCACCGTTGCTTTCGTGCTCCGTAGAGGGTGATGTGGTGAGCCAAGGACTGAACCAACCAACGCTCGGTACTTGCTACTATCCAGGCATAGTGAAGAAAATAGTACGAGTAAGGTATTAGGGCGTGGTAAGAGGATAGACAGAACAGACAGACAAGACTCAAAGTCGGCAGCTAAACAGCGAATGACATGCGCGTCCGGCGTGGTAGGCCCGAGGCGGATGGATGATGCAGTGGGAAGCTGGGCGTATCGGGAAAAGAGGCCCGCAAGGTTCGATGATGGATCAAATGTGAATGTGAATGTGATTCAAGCACGTCTACGGCCTTAGACTAGCATGTTGCCCGGAGAGCTGGGTCTGTACAGTACGATACAGTACGAGTACAGGCTCGCGTATATTGATTCTCTCGCGATGGATACTGTATAAGTGTGAATCCCCCCCCCATGCCATGTGCGACCATGCTTTTGCACACCTCTCGCAGCATCCAATGCTCTTGAAGAAGAGCCCAGCACATGTACTCGTACAGGTATAGTACGTAATACTGTATGTATATCTGCTGCTTCTGCATGTCTCAGCGCCCGCTACAGTACAGCATTTCGACGGAGTCGAGCCTCAAGATCATTTCTAAGAAATAGCCTCAGCTGCACGGGCACTCGTAGCGTCCCTGCTCACCCGCCGTGCTCGTACCGACCCGTGCGGCCCAAGCGTGTTAATATATAGGGTCCCCCATGTGGTGCTTGCATACAGATAGATTGCTAGTACTCGTACTTTTGTAGTTGGGTGCTGTACATACGTAATTGCAGCAGGGAAACGGGGGTGGAAGGGAGGGACAGCCGTCGGTGATGGGACTGTCAGGTTCACGGCCACTCCCCGGTCTGGCTTCGCCTGGTCTCTTTTCGCCCTGTGTCCAATGCAATGCCAGCCAACGGCCACCGAAGTGCTGCATGTGCTTGCATACGTTGACGTCTCAGGGCACACGGCATGCATACATACCGTAGACTACAACTGACCTGAACAATACATGTACACACATGCAACTTGCAAGTAGCGCCAATGCGCCATTAGCATCCATGACCTTGTGCTGGCCTGGCATTGATGACATGGGTCCGTCAATCAATTGGCCTTGGAGATCAAATGTCGGGTACGAGCACTCAATACTCGTCCCAGTTTCCCGTCAAAAAAAAACGAGAGAGAAACACCCACAATGCTTGTCGTTCATTCACCAGCACACATCATACAGTGGCCTCCTTACAGGCATTCAATGGTTCTTCCCACTCCTCCTCCTCCTCCTTTTACCTCGTCTAACCAGGATCTTCCAACGTTCCAATATCAATCGCACTTTGAAAAGCTCCCTCTCTGCTCTCTATTAAAGTTCGCCGACACAACTGCAAACCCCCACCGCTCTTCAACTTTAGCCCGGCCACTTGCACGGTTCTGGTACAGCTCGTTCGCCCTCGCCGGTATTTTTGCATGCTTCCCTACAGTTTATGTCGTCGGTTGATTCTTGTATCCCGATTGCGTCTCGGGCTGATGTCCCTCTTTCGTCCTGTCTGTCTCCAGCAGCAAAGCACCTTGTTCCTTGGCATCGTCTTTTTGTTCATCTTGATCTCTTCTCATTGGCATACTCGTACAAGTACAAGTACATGGGTCCAGCAGTCACAACATCCGGCTTCTTCTAGAGTACTCGTAAATCACCTTTCCAGGACCAAGAAGCCAGGCAAGGTACCCTTCAGGTACATCTACCCGAGCCCACCGACTCCATCAACCTCACGATGCATGTGTTCTCAGCGCTTCCAGTGCGCCTCGTCCCCCCTTGTTAGCGCCCTGAGAACGGGCTTGATCGCCTGGCGCATGTCACGACGCGTACGGGTAATACTTAGGAGTACCCAGGCCTGGCCCTGCTGCCGCTCATCAAAAATGTTACAGGTCAAGTAGCATCAAGTTTTGACTGCCGGATGGTTGCATCTGCTCGTTCAAAGAACTTGGACGAGTACCCGTACGGAGTACATTGACATGGTATCCGCGGCCCGCTAATAAGCATTTTGTTCGGGTTCGCCTCATATAGCTCCCGCTGTCGATCTCTTGTCCTTTTCATATATTATTATGGCTCTCATTACAAATAAATACCTATTAGTGGGAGCTCCGGTCCAAGAACTTGCTCGGCCACTAAAATGAAAGGACGGGTGGCGTCGGCCGGAGATGGATCGATGGGCTTTAAAGATGGTGTTAGTCTGGGTGACAAGATAAAGTCAAATTGATGGCACCAAGCATGCAGGTGCATATTGGTGCATGTAGTTGTCAAAGTAAGATGGTAGCTACATGTAAGATTCAGCAGCACGATTCAAGAAGTCTATACACTGCCCTACCCGATATACACTATCCGGACATAGGCACATCATTGCCGAGGCCGGGAGAATATCGTCGGAGAAAAAGGAAGAGACAATAAAACACACTTTGATACTGCATGCATCTGGTGAGCCAAGGCCGAGGTGGTGAGATGAAAATGCTCACCTGCCTTACAAGATGCTTCGACTAGCCTCTCAATAACACGCATACAAGCAAAGTCATTCACGCGCGTAGCCTGCCGATTGGCCGCGTCCTCCCGTGTGCCTCCGAGACTTCATGTTTTTGTAAGCCATCAGAGGCCATTGTAAGCCATCCGAGCTATTGTAAGCACACTACTGCCGCTGTCCAAGTTGCTGCGAGGGCTATTCGCACAAACAACAGGTTTTGCGTGAGAAACAAGCCATCGTGCTGCCAATCAGAGGATCCCGGTGGCTTGAGACATACATGTACATACATTACATGCACGTTTTAGCCTCCGGGTGCAAGTACACGCATATGCCGGTGCTACAAGGAGATTGAGTGGCTGGCCTGCCTTGGTTCCGTGGTACAGGTGCGGATGATGTCTGCAGAGACGGGATTTCATCTGACCTGACCTGGACGACCGGAGCAATCGTCGATGCCCGCTCCAAGTGCCGCTCGAGCACATGATGCCGCCTCTATACAGGCAAAACTAAAAGCTCACCTACTATCCTATTTACTATGCGTTGCTTATTACTACAGATACCGAAGCAACAGCCATTGCCAGCCGGAAATACCCTCTTCCTCGTTCTCCCTCACACAGTATTAGTTAGACTACCGCCTCAGCTGGTTGTTCCTCCTGCAGCCTCAGCCGTTACCATCGCCAAAACCTGCCGTTTTTTGCGGCTATGGGCTGGGGGTCGCATCTTTGGCCTCTGCATGGCGACAGGCTTTTCCGAGTGTGACCTTCCGACCCTTGGAATGGCGTCGATAGCATTGCCGCATGCCTGTCTGCTACTTGTAAGTGTTTTGTTCTAGTACACCATCTACGTCGGTTTTCACTAACATGGCTTCACTTCAGCACAAATATACATGACATGTGTATTGAATTACATGGACTCAAAGTTATCCATTACACAGACGATTTGTTTACAGTGCCAATGCTGTAAATCACCTCGTACAAGCTGAACCAACAACATGAGATATACTGCAATATGACTCTGCATGCAGAAGGTTTGACGAGTACCTGATCACATACAGGAGATATACTTTGTACATCCTCCGAGACAGGACACCGGGCTTACACCAACTTGCAGTGCCTTAATTACGGAAACTCCGTTGTTACATGCAGCCTTGCACATCCCACGCTCATACTCAAACCCACGACTCAAAAACTTGAACACTGAAACCCGTGCCTGCTTGTACGCACAGATACAGGAGATGTCGACCCCTAGTCGAGAGTCTGATTCCACATCTGCGTACGAGTACTTCGGCAAAGATGGGATTCTTTCTCTCTCTCTCTCTTATCCTAATTTCCAGCTGTAGATCTGTCTTCAATGTTCTGTCCTCCTCTCTACTTATTGCTTCTCCTCGTATACCGGTCCGGTAAGCCTACCTAGAATAACTTCTGAGTAAAGCTCCTTCGAGACCCCCTACCTTGCTCCCAAACAAGATAGTAGTAACCCGCTTACCAGCAAAGAATGCCTCCCGGTTTCATTGCCCATGTAATATGCTAGTGTCTGGGCTACACAGCACCGCATCATCTTCATCAGCATCATCTTCATCATCGGCGACTTGCCTCCCCACCTGAGCTTCCCCCCGTGCCACTACGACTAGTACGAGTAATATCAGATGCTTTGACGCTTCTTCAGCTCCTGCACATACCCATCCGCGATACCACCACCCCCTGTAAAGGCAAACAATGGATCCCACAGTTGGAACCCCCACTGTCCGAACTGTATCGATGCGTGGGCTTGCTCTTGTGGCAATCAATCAACAAAGCCATTTGCCGGTGCTACCATGATGACTGGACTTTGTAAATTACTCGCACAACTAGGACGGAAAACACACGCACGCTCCCGTCCGCGTGGTATTATTCTTTCTGTATATCCATCCGTCTGCGTAATCTTACAAAGTGCGTGCAGAAAGGGCTCGTATGTGCGTCAGGTGATGGCAACCTGAACCCTTCCTCATCACATCACCACCCTCCTTTTTGCTACCATCCCCAGGCGACAGGAATCAACCTTTCAGCTGTGAACTTGTAGATGTTCCGAATTGCTCAATTCCAATCACCGCGCCAAGCTGCACTCACGCACACGCACGGACAGCTTCTGCCTACATGTGTCCTCGTATACAGAGATACACACATACATGCATTCACCACATACATGTACACATACGCAGTGCTACTGCTACAAGTACGACTACGACCATGCTCAGAGAATTGTTCCGTCGGCAAACGAGGCCTGGGTCTGCAATCACACGAAAAGTCCGGACGCGTCTCGGGTCCAATTACACGGGCATACTTACCTGTAGATGCTGATACCACCTCGGTGGTTTTTCTCTCCCACGTCTCCCACCCACCCCCTTCTCAGCACCGCACAAAGCACGAGTAGCAAGTAAGAGCCCTGGTATATATGCCTGTCGAGTAACGCGCATACAACGAAAATAGAGAAAAAAGAAAGCATTGAATTGGCATTCCACTCCCCAGCGGACCGAAATAACGTGCTGCAGCTTCTCTCTCTCTCTCCCAGGGGTCTGAATGGACTGGACAAGGACTTACATGCACCCGCTGTCGTTCTCCACCCTTTTTTTTTTTGTCACGATGCCCTGTTATACACGGCCCTTGTGCTACCCGTGGTGGCTTGTACTCGTACAGTAGCAGCATGAAGCATGTTCCCGCCGTGTGTTTGCTTTTGCTTTGCTTCATCAATCCCTGTGCGGGGTCATCGAGAAAGATCCCGATCATGGAAGTTGAAGCACACATCCGGCGCCTTCTTCCAGCCCCCAATATGGGCGCCCCCCGGTCCACAAAGGGCATCAAATCATCTCCATCAGATTTCCTCAGAGACATGCAGATAGATTGCTGGAGGCAGATAGTATACACAGCCAGCAAAGAATGACACAAGAACAAAAAAAAAAAAAAAACCCCCCAGCGGAAAAGTTGTCAGGTGGTCCCCCCCAAGACTGAAGCCAGATATATTGCATCCCGTCAAACTACTAGTTCCAATGCTTCTTTGCTATTGAACTGACTCCCCCCCCCCCCTTCCGCCCTTTTTCATACGGCCAATCAAAACCTCTCGGGCCCAGGCTCCGCGGCGAATCATTCGGCTTCGCTGGGGCTTCACACAGATGCTGTGTTACACTGTCTTGCCCTTTTTCCTTCTTCTTGCTTCTTTTTTCTTTTTTTAAAACCAAGCCATAATCTCTTTAGCACCGTCCCCCGGATCTGGAGGTGGTGTGTGTGTGTGTGCGTCTCACGAAAATTGAGAACGACGGACATGGGCTCCCATTATGGAGTACAGGTGGTGAGAGGTGCAGGCAACACACATGACTTACAGGGACAAGCAGCATATCGACTGAAGCAACCCACGCGGACAGCACTAGTAAGCTGCAGTGCCGGGAATATCCCTCAGGCGGCGGCTCTCGCAATGATCGATTGACGGAAGAGTGTGTGTGAGAGGTGAGAGCAAAGAGTGAGAAAGAGAAGGCCTAGCTTCATGTTGCCGTTTTGCTCTTGGCGTGTGACGGCCCGCGGGATGTGGGCAGATTTGACTTGATCGCAGCACGATTACATCACAACGGGCCGTAAAGTTAGTAGAGCTGGACATAATTCGTTTATACCACTTCTCCATGCTCCGTACATCTCCGTGCTTCGGAGCGGGTGTCACCGCATCATCGCCGTTGAATGTCTTGATTTCCAGTCTTTTGCCCTACCCTACATTCCTACAGCTGCATTCAGTCTTCACGGTGCTACTGTTTACTCCATGTCGTCAAACACGACAAACAACAAACACTGTCCATGCACATAGCCGACTTACATAAAGTCGTGGCAGAGCAAACAAAGTCCCTTATCCACCACGTAGAAACAAGAAAAAAAGACTCGGCGTTGCTTGAAAACCACGCCTTACAAAAGACCTTCGGCCCTCCTTTTCCCGCGCCCCCCTGCGCAAATCTCCATTTATATGTCAGATGGCAAATTCGTTGTTGGACAAGGGGCCTTCAATGCCTCCGAGCACATACATACACGTACATACACATACNNNCATCGCGTGAAAAACGAGGACACACCCGACCCTTGTCTAGAGGACCCAGCTGCGCGGTGTAACACTCCCAGCCTTTTTTTTTTTTTTTTACTTTCTCTCTCCTATTCTTTATTTATTTTATTTGGTCCATGTAGGTAAAGTAAATCTTATTCGCTTGCTCTATTTCCCGATTTTTGGGCGGCAAGATGGGCTTTTTTGGCTTTCGGGGTTTGTTTGTCCGGCCTTGTTGCATTGGGTTATGGGCCGACTGCGGACTAATACAACGTTATCTGGATCAAGCCGGAGGCTTATATGCCGAGCTCTGACGAGGGACGGAATCTTGTAGGCTTTGGCTGGATAGAGTCCACTCGCTGGTCTGGGCGATTCCGATCATCAGATGGCAATTTCCGTACGCAGTAGATACAAGTATATAGATGAGACTGGATATTTAGTAGGCAGGTATTAGATAGGTAAACATCTAACGTTTACTAAACGCCTAGCTTGACGATGCTTACCTACATGTAGGTACTGGCATGCTAGATTACTAGTTATGAGCATTATGTCTATTTGTGCTGCTTGTATGCGAATCCCGTCTCGTTTAAAGCTATGTCCAAGAGCTTCATGCAAAGAGTTGGAGAAAACTCACCTAAGCGACATTGTATCTCTCGGGCCTATAATTGTAGACCGGATGTAAAGTTCCTTGATAATATGAGTGAGTCTACGACAACACAGTCGCAGCATCGATGGAAACCTCGCGTAGTTGCTTGCAACATGCACATTGCCGTCGAGCCAGTCGGATGCCATCCATATCCTGGATGCTTCTGTATCAAAAGTCCTTGATATGCACATCGTCTCAGTTCGTCTACAGAGTGCTACCAAGAATACATGTAGTCATGTATGTAAGAGGGCCTTCTTTCGTCTCAGCAAAACAAGTGTCATCCTGACTCTCACTCTATCCCCATGATCCCTGCCCGCTGCCGTCTCCTCATCGCAACGTGGCATCCCCGCCAAGAGCAGGCATACAGCTCCTCTTCGTCTTCCATGTAGGTATACCCGTCTTGGCTATCTTGCCGCGGAGCCTGTATGAGTATGTCCGTAAGATGAATATTATCGTCCCGTAAGAAAATGTCCGGGCCTAGAAACCTTGTTGTTCCCACGGAGGGTATGGATTTTTTGTAATTCTGTCCCTGAGTTTTTTTTTTTAAAAAAAGTTGGAAGCTATTATTACCTTTGCTACCTTAAATAACGCTGGAAAACAGGCGACGGGTCATCATCACAAAGGTGTCGTTAATGCGGATTTGCCCCTACCAGTCCTGTGAAGTTGACGTTGCCCCTGTCGCGCCCCAGACTTGACAAGATTGGTCAGCCCTTGGACATCGAGTCCGGCTGCAGCATCCTCAAAGGACGAGTGTTCGTTTCGATAGCCCTCGCCCTCTCTAAAGACGGCTCCGAATAACTCATGAATCGACGTTGTCAGGACATCGAGCGCCTTGGTTCTGGCAATATCGGCATCGGAGGCTATTTCCAAAGTGCCTGCCTGCTGATTGACCGATCCTTTAATCTTGCCATCAATAATGAGGAAGCTGAGAATGTCTTGCACCTCGGGTTCTGATATTCTCAGCTGGTTGGCGATCCAAGAGAGCTTCATCCGTGTGTATGGCGCAATGAGCTTGAGCACGCCCTTTGTCCTCATGTTGCGAGTGACCTCGTCAATGTTCTCGGCGATGAACGGATCTGCGAGGATATCTTGGTTGTTGCGTAGCGCCTTTTCGTATGCATGGACATCGTCCCGCTGGTAGGCGTCCACAAGCTCGGTCATGGCAGAGATACGAGGGTCCGTCTTATAGGGCTTCGTCTCCTGCGAGTCGAAAGGATTGATGTTGGACTTCATCAGCATGGTGGTGAGAAGGAGATACTTGAGAACTTGGATCCGTTGCAGCGATCCAGCCTCGTCGTAGTTGCGGAATGACTCGAAAAAGTCGCTCTGGGCTTCCTTCCAATTCTCCTCACTCATGTGCATCTTGCCGCCGCATTCACGGATGATGCCCATGATGCGGGGATGCGGTACGGCAGACTTGACCTTGAGTGCTCGGTTGTAGAGCGTCTTGAGCTGCTTGTTGTTTCGAGTCTCTGCTAGCATCTGAATCTCCAGCGCGTAAATCTCAAGCGAGTAGGTTCCCTTGCCAGGGTCGTCGGTGCCATCCTCGCGCTGACAGGCCCGGTGTAGCTCCCTGAGTTTCTTAGACACTGCAGAGTACTCCTTGCGATCCAGCAAGAGCTTGGCCAGCTTGATGTTCGTCTTCAGCCACAGCCGCTCGTTATTTGTGCTCTGGAAGCTCTGAAGGGTGAGAGAGTAAAACTTTTCCATGCTCTGGACAGCCGCTGACACGTCGGCACCCTTTTCAATGTAGTCGAGCATGTTGTTGATGGACTTTTCCGAGTAATTTCTCGTCACGGCCGACTTGACGTAGGTGAGCAGCTCGGCGAAGTGGTCGGCTGCCTGGGGAATTGCACACAGATTGTTAGAGAGCCGAGCCCAAAGACGAACCGAATAACCTCGTTTCCCAACGGTCATGCCAGATCCTACTCACATCGTCGTATTTCCCCAGCTTAAATTCCAGCTTGATGGCCTGCTTCAAGCCTTTGAACCCCCACTCTCCCTTCTCCGGCTCGAGAGGCGGAATCCCCAGAAACTCGGCAATCGCATCCTGAGGGTCGCTGAGCTTCAGCTGCTTCGCGTTGTAGTATTTGTTCTCGATGTCGACATCGCCCGCCTCTTCCTCATCGTCCTCTTCGTACTCAAAGTCATATCTGCTAGGCGTCAGCGCAGCCGCGAATCCATTTCCTCCAGCACTGACTGTTCCTCATCGGACTCTTGCATGAAATCCTCGTCGTCGGACATTGCGGCTCGGTGGTATGACGACGCGATGTGGGAAATGGATGAAGATGATGATGAGTAAAAGAGGTGATAAAAGAGATGGAGATGTCGATAAAGTCGTCACTCTGCTTTGGTTCGTTTGGTTGTATGTTGAATCGAAGCTCCAGTGGAGTCTTCTTGGAGGTGACAACCCGCGGGGCTTATCGATAGGGATGCGCTAGCATTATTCCGCTCCGCTAAGTTTCGATGCATTGATGAAGAGAGTAGGTATTGAAGACTGGCTGATATACGGAGTACTGTCAAACAAATATAAACTTTAAGGAAATATAATTTTATAATTTGCATCAATTACTCGCCTCAGATTAGTATTATACATAAAAAATTACATAAAAAAGAAAACGAGTGTCAATCCATATGGAGCCAACAACGCCTCGTTCTGCGCCAATCCCAGCCCATAACTCCCTAAGCTCAAGCTTCTTGTCTAACTTCGCGTCCTGCGCTTGTTCCAATACTTTCTATGGCTCTAGTTTATAATTTCTAGCCATGTATACCGTCTATCCCCTGGAGCCCTGAGCAAACCCGGCCGGGATTCTAACGAGATAAATCGCCACCATAACACACACACCGAGTAGAGTTGTCGCAAGATAAGGCAATCCCATCCAAAAACCTCCCAACTCCATGCCGCGGCTCAGGAGCCATCCCATGACTGGTGAGCCTATAAAGCCCATCAGCGTCTCCATGGTGGACATGGTGGTGTTGAGAGTGGCAATGGTATGCGGCTCAACCACTGCGTTGAGCAAGGCTCGGCAGAGGGTGCCCATGCCCTGGCCAAGGTTGGTAATGACCATGGAGCAGATGAAGAGCCACGGAACGCCAGCAACAGCGGTAAGAGCGCTGCCAATGATGAAAACGACAATGGAGATGCGAGCCAGAAGAAGATCTCGTCTGATGGCGTTGTAGTGGAAATATGTGGTCAGAATGTTGGATGCTACAGGCAGTACCACGAGCAAGGTGAATACGGCCGTTAGGCTGCTGATTGTGTTGATATACGTTGCCGTTGACCACTCCCAGTTGAAGCGGCGGGTCATGTACTGCAAAATGTCCAGAACAAAGGCCAGCTTGATGAGGTAAAATGGCCCATAAGCCAAAAGGAGCAGCACGACACTCTTGGAGGCGAAGATGAAGTGCCATACGTGGGACACATCGTTCTTGACGGAGAACCACGCACGACGAGCCAAGTCCCTTGCAGCAGGAATCTTTCGTGTTGACGGCTCCGATTCATCTTCGACGGGAGGCGGGGCGTCTTGACCACGGCGCTTGTTATCGGCCGCCTGGCGAAGTTTCAGCGTCTCTGGGATGAGGGCAGACGACAGCATGCCAACGACTAGGATTCCGTTGCCAATCCACATTGCAAGCCAAGGATCTACGCTGAGGAGCCATCCGGCGAGAGGGTTGACAGCAACAGAGATGATGAGGTTCATGGCATAGACTTTGTAAAAGACACTGGTTCTCTCGGCAACGGGGATTACGTCGGCGATGATGGTCCATACCATGGCGACAACCATCTGGCCGCCTCCGCCAATCAGGTAGAAAACGCTGCCATAGAGCATGCTCCAGATGGAGAATGTATCAGGGAAGAGCACTGAGTATATCGTTAGTAAGGACCTCTAGATTAGGTTATATAAGACATGGTATGACGTACAAACAATCGTTACCCAAGCTTGCTGGAGAAGGGCGCCAAGGAGAGCGAGGAACATGACGAGACGACGGCCATACTTGTCAGCAACGACACCATACGAAATCTGGACAAAAAGGGCTGTTCGATAAATCAACGGTTAGCACACATGATACACGTACCTGCATGTATAGTTGAAAAGCACAAAAAGCGAGCACTTACGAAACAGCATCTCCCCAGACATGGACCAGGACCGCACCATGGCCAGCGTCTTTTGCACGTCCGTCTCCTTGCATCGGTTATCGTGCACCGACAGAGCATGGTCCGGATGATAACGCCGGCAGATGACGTCCTCCATGATCTGCTCCATGGCGGGGGTGAGGATGTACTGGCTGACCTCGATGATGAAGAGGAACAGCACGCACATGCCCAGCACAAAGCGGCGAAAGGACTTGGACGGCGCGATATCAGCGGGCAGGTCGGCATCATGAAGCAGCGCCGTGCCCTCGTCGGCTTCGTAGACGGACTCGGCGTCGTCCAGGCTGCGGCGACGCTGCGCATTGGGATCGATGCCGGAGCCCATGCCGGAGGGCTCGGCGTCTATCGCCTCGGTGCCGTAGAGTGTCATTACTTTGGTGTATCTCCAGGCTCTCTCGAGGCCTTGTTGGTGTCTCCAGTGACGATGAGAAGCCAAGAGTTGATAATAAAAGAAAGATTGCCACTGGAGATCCTGGGGTACAAGTACACGAGATTAGAAGGGTAAGATTAAGGCAAGGAGGTTATTAGAATAAGAACATGAACAATCCAGCGGCCGGCTCCCAGCCCAAGATGACGACACCACATGCGAGACACGTCGACGGCGTACGAGGCATCCCAATCGCCCGCCCAACTCGAGGGATCAAGATAAGGTTCGCGCGAACCATTTCCCTTTATCCAAACTTCAAGGTCCCGGGCGCCGATGATTGGCATGGTCCAGGAACTTTTTTCGGTGGGGTACAGTATCCGGAACGCGCACGCAATTACCAAGTCAGCAATTTCGTATCCATCGTATAGGTATTAGATCGGAGCGTGCCCTTTTGCGACGACTAATGCTTGTTTCTGACGTCTTGGACATGGAATGAGAGGGTCCCTTTGTAATGTTTCAGATGAATTGCTTTGTGTCTCTGCAGGATGTCATGGATACCCTCCCGAGTTGGGCTTCAACGCTTTGTCGAGATCTTCAAAGTCAATTGCGAACTCTAACATGAAGGTCCTGAGAGCCAGTGGCAATTGTACCCGTGCTGACGACTGGCCATTATTAGTTCCCGCCCAGATCAACTAGGACGAGTTCGGGCATGAGGACGCAACAGGAGCTGCGATGATGTCGTCAGTATGAAGGAAGCGATGTGGCCGTCGTTGGTTGTTTGTTCTCATGACAGGTTTCGATCTGCACGCATGTCATTGATATCGGAAACTTGAAGCCCATCAAATGGATGATGGAGTGATGAAAGAGGTTCAAGGTTCAAATGGTCCATGTTGTGTGTGTGTTATGGAGAAATCCATTTCCCCAGTGCAGCCTCAGGTCTAATTGAAGCTCCAAATTCAGATGGAGGTTCCATTCTTCGTGGCGCTGGCGGGTTCCTGACAGGCCTAAACTGACTCGCTATAGCGCCCGCAAAACAGCCCTGGAGCCCTGGAGGCTGCAATCAATAGCGACCCCGCCATCCATCGGCTCCGGCCGCCTCAATCCATTGATTGAATTCATCCCTCCATGCCTGTTTCTGCTCTTTCACAAGCCAACTAGCCGCCTCCACGTCCGCCATCATGTCCTTGGCCGATGCAAAAGTCCTTTCGATAACGCCACTGGTAGGTCTTACATAGCTCTCTGCAGGGCGCTAAATCCACTGAAGCGGTCGTCTTCTGTTGCTGACAGAGGCCCGCCTAGTCCAACGACGAGTCGCGATGGGTGTCTCTCCATAGGTATGTGACGGCCTCATATTGAATATAATCCATACTGCCCCTTGGTCCGCCCGCCCGTCTGACCTGCGACTATCCTACAGCATCACGTACAAGGACCCCAAGGGCACCGAGCGAACCTGGGAATCCGCTGAACGACGCACTCGTCCCGCCGGCGCAGACATCGATGGCGTTGGAATCGTCGCCATCCTCGACAAGCCCACGGGCAAGGAGATTATCCTGCAGAAGCAGTACCGCCCACCCGTCGACAAGGTCGTCATCGAGGTCCCCGCCGGCCTCATCGACGCGGGCGAAACCCCCGAACAGGCCGCCGTGCGCGAGCTCAAGGAAGAGACGGGCTACGTCGGCGTGGTGTCCGAGACGACGCCCATCATGTACAACGACCCGGGCTTCTGCAACACGAACCTGCGCATGGTGCACGTCACCATCGACATGTCATTGCCGGAGAACCAAGACTTGAAGCCGGAGCTGGAGGAAAACGAGTTCATCGAGGTCTTTACCGTTCCGTTGGCGAACCTATGGGAGGAGTGCAAGAAGCTGGAGGCGGAAGGCTATGCGATTGACGCGCGAGTCGGCACCTTCGCCGAGGGCATCCTGCTGGCACAGAGATTAAAGCTATGATGATAGAGTCTGGTCCGGAGTTTTTTCTTTTTATTAGACTTGGGAAGGCTATCAGAAGGAGGGGTGGATGAGAGGACAGCAATGGGGGCCTGCTCGACTACAGTTTCTTCTCCTGGCGTAGACCTTGCCACAGCGCCAACGCGGCCAGGCACTTGGCATCCCGAGCCCCTTCTTTCCACAGATGCTGCATGGGAACCACTTTGAGCGTAATCCTCTCTCCGTCGGAGCGCTCACCTGTGAGGCGGCCCTCCCACTCGCTCAGCTGGCTCCTCGGGATGCGCTGCTCGTAGCTGTAGATGGTAATATGTTCGTCACACCCGCCCGCGCTCGGGAACATGGCTGCCGTCAGATCTTCCCCTTGGTCTGTAGATTCTCCTTTCTCTATGCATTCCTCTGCCAGTTCGCTGAGGCACGTCAACTCGTCTTCGTGAATCGTAATGCCCAGCTCCTCCTCAATCTCCTTGGCCGCCACTCCTTTAAAGTTGCCTGAGCCGTCCACCATCCCTGCCGGGAGCTCCACGAAGCTCAAGCTACCGGCAGGGATGCGCGGCTGGACCGTCAAGACGACGTAGCGCTCGTCAGATCCTTGGGGAACGTCGTCCGGCACAAGCATGACGAGCATGGCGACGCTGGGGCCGCGCAAGAGGGCTGCTGCGGGGAGAGACTCTCCAGCAGAGTTGGAAACGGTTGCCGTCAGCTTGACGAAGCCGAGGCGGCCTGCTCCAAAGAAATCGTAGGATTGAATAGTGACATTGCGCAGGGCGTATGGATCTGAGTGGAACGGGTGAGACTTGCTTGCTTGCAGTGAGAGAGACTTGGTGAGTGTGTCGATCCAGCTCTATGCACATGGTTTGCTATTAATGGAGGTGGTAAAGCTTTAAAGCATCTGTCGAAATGACTCACGGTGAAAGGCTTAAACGACGAGAGCTGGTCTTCTGAGAGGCCGTCTGGCAGGCTAAGGGGGATGTTGTGAGCAGTTCTTGTGGATGTTGTGTTGGTGGCCATTGCGCGGGGATAGAGGCGAAAAGACACGGATGAGGCGTGTTTAAACACGGGTCGAAACAACATGCGAGGGATTGGAAAGATCCGGCGAGGATTGAAGGTGGTGATGGTTGAGAATTGGGGAGATGTGAGGCTGCGTCTAAAGAAAAATGTCGTTGCCTGCAATTAGGCATTCATCTTAGCTATGGCCCTGTGACGTCAACAGGTAACATTTTGGTGCGAGATGATAATCACAACCATTGTTTTACAACATAACAGCGAATATCTCAGACTTTCTAACAACATCATGAATAAAGTAATATGGATATTTTGAGGTAATTGATTCTTAAATTCCAATTTTGGTTTATCGAGACTTTATTTAACAGGTATCCCAGCAAGCAACCATAGCATTGTGCTCTCACGCCTCATTGTCAAAATTCACATGCGCCAGCTCCCAGACGCCCCAATACAAAACACGCGCAAACAAAGAAAAGAAAAGAATATTCGCATCCATAATCTTACACAGCCCAGTACACGTCGATCTGGACTGACTCGATGCGGTTCGCCCACCCGGGAAACCTCGCCTTGCCCCAGACCGTAATCACATCGCCCACCTGCAGCTGTCTTACAAACTTGCCATCGCCTGTGCCACGTCCTCTGCCTTGCGCCTCGAGAGCTTTGCTCCGCTCGGAGTCAGCTGGGATGTCGTCCAGGTAGGACCACGTAACGACGTGGTCTTGCCACTGCCTGAGGGCCGTCTGATTCCGCTGAATCTCCCACTCGGGTGAGTGAAGCAGCTCGTGGGTGTAGTTGTAGCCGACTGGATCGGAGGATGTCTGTCGGATGGGGGGTTGAACTGGTCGAAGTGAGTTGACCGAAAGCGCAGAACCATCGACTATAGCCAGCTGTCAGCTTGTTTGTACCCTAATGTGGATTGAAGGAAGAAGGCATATACTCACCTGCCGATTCAGCGTCAAATCTCTCCAGCCCAACGTCAAACCACGTCCATGATCCGGAATAAGGATGGTCACCCTCCTCGGGACTGCTCACATACCCTTGGTCTTGGCTTCTGAACTTGAAGACAATCTTTCGCGCAGGGTGAGCTAGCCGCGGGAGGGGATATTTGACAGACTTGGCGAAGAAGCTGGCATCGAGAGTCTCGCCCAGAGGTCGAGGGGTGGGGAGAGTCGTGGTGTAGGGCTGATCGTTTGCGTTTTGTCGAGCTCCGGAATTCAGCAGTCCAAGCGGATATGACCGCAGCTGTTGTAAAACGGTTAGTAGCTGTGAGGTGGACAAGCTACACTCATACTCAGTGGAGGGAGATGCTTACCAGAAATCTGTTTTCTCTGGCCTCGGAGCCGCCCATGACGCTGATTCTTTCGTCCAGATGCGTTGATGAATGGATCCAGTACTCTGCCATGTCGAGTATGGTATCAATTAGATCCGCAGGCAGCTTCTTGGCGCGGTACAGCATGGCCTTGACCACGGCGACGTCGACGATGCTAGGTTGATAGCCTGACTTGTCGCCCTCGCTCTGGCGTCGGACGGGGCTGTCTCTGGGAACTTCGGTGAGGCTGAGTGCTCTGAGAGCGGACCACACGATGCTGGGAACATTGGCGGCCATGGTGTCGGTTTGAAATGTAGCGATGTCTAAGTCTGCTCAAAATGGTGAATATCAATGGCGGGTGGTTGTAAGGAGCTAGAGAGTTGAAGACAAAAGCGATGATGGAAAGAAATTGATGTTATCACTGTATGGATAAGATACAGTTAGTATGATTCAACGTTGTGTTTTTGTAGGATCATTGATGAGATGCTCTGTTCAGGGAAGAACGCGCGTTGTAGTACGTTGTTATGTCCCGTTATCATATCAGAGGCATCGCATCACATCATTGTTCCACATCATCGAATCGGAAGCTTGAGCGTTGCGTGACGTCAGCGCGGCAAACAGAGCCAGCGTTAGCGGCTGTTCAGGCGCCGTTAGTGGCTGATATGCAGACAGTAGGGGCTCAGGTACATTTGCTCACCAAGACTGTGCGAAAGTACATGTGCCTCTACACGTACCCATCAAATGCTCAACATGGAAGCTCCATGTATGAACGAGGGTCTGCCTATGCCGATAATTGTGTGATAATACTCTTTCTTGTTATTCTTTTATTTATTTGGCTTTGTTAATTCTCCTTCAAGCATTGCATTGGATTATGTACATTATCCCAGCCATATCTACTGTACGGAGTACCAAGCCACCAGCTCATGTAAGCCGCTGAAACAAGATCAACGCTTCAATGCCTTGCAAGATGCATGCAGATCCTTTGAACCTTGGCCGTCCTTGAATACATCAAAGACAGGCTGGTGGTTTATGTTGCGCAGTATTGAAGCGGCACACTTCTCTATCTGTAAACGTCTCTTCAAGAATGCACAATCTCTGTATGGCTGCCGAGTGAGCGTCCCTAGTAGTACATGTATCGTGGCAATAGCAGATGCTAGAGAAATATAGCAATAATCGCATATAATAGACGAAAGTATCGATAGGTGTACATACTCAAGGAACCGGATATCTAGTTCAATAGTAAGAAACTAAAGGTATTTTCACTGCGTCTTATCACGACACATAACCAGCATGTAGTTGCTGGGCTGCTACATACATGTAGCCAACATGTGGTGACGAATAGCCACTCCCAGAGTATATCTTTACATTTTCCCCAGGGCAATCCTCAAAGAGGATCACTCCGTCAGGCTAATCACGACATGACATGTAAGCATACATATACTTCGCATGTGCGTATACTTGGCAGTCTCGTAATGAATTCTTCCTCTGCCAAAGGTGCGGTAACGAGAACGAGCGAGGTTTACAGGTGTACGAGTACAAATCCCAGATCGTGCTCGGCTGAACACATGGACGATAAACTGCCCAGCACTACGCAGGCAATCTATCTCAAAGAATAGGTCTCCCGTCAACGTCGCACTCGTATCGGCAATTTGCAGATGCATATGTTCCTCTTGCATTGTGTCCTCTGTTTGCGAATGCAATCCTTAATTCCGCTGTGACAGCTGCCAAAAGTATCTGAAACATACTGGCTCCAGTACGGATCCTGCCGCTGTCTCCAATGGTGCAAAATCTTTCTCGGCATCCGGGTCTTGGCAAAGTGCAGGGGTTGATGGTTTCAATGTTACTCTACACAGCTCCAGGAGGTCCCGATTTTACGTACAAGCCAGGCAGCGGAAGATAGAGACGATGGAAAGCAATCTTGCCATGACATGAGCCACGGGAGAATAGGAAAATAAATGTTTTAAGAGCAATGCAGGAATCTCAGCCTTTCTTTTTGTTGCCACAGAATTTTTCTCTAGGTAATAATCCAAGGCGTGTTGGCTTATAAAGAAGCCTACGAAGGTCCGGTCTCGTATATCCCCTTTTGATCGCCGGATGTGCAGATATCCCCTGCCTGCGCGGCGCTCATTTTGGCAAGTCCAAAGTTTTCTTACAACATCATGCCCCCTAGGTCTAGGTATTTAGAACAAATCCCGCAGAACAGCTACTGGACCTAAGGGCTCGGTCTGGAAGCGATAGAACATTTGGGGAACCTCTCGGCGTACACCGACAGCCACCCACTTGCCTCGGTATATTGCCAATACCCTGCCTTTCTCCGGTATATTGCTACCTACTCATACTACCAGTGTTCTTAATACTTTTCATTTCCGGATAATTCATTACATTAGCGCTTGAGATCGCAAAATTATAATTGCAAACACTCCCCTCCGGCTATCGGTCATCATAAATCCGCAAGAGGCAGCTGGTATGGAATATCGAAGCATTCGGATCCGAGTGACGGCTCCGCGGAGATCCCAAGCCAAGACTCGTGCAAGGAGAACATGGAAGTCCTCATATTCTTTGAAAATAACACAACCTACTAAAGATTTTTACAATCTTGTTCCGGAAGAGGATCCTGCAATCCCCAGTATCTTCGTAGGATCGACGACATGCTCAACATGTTCCTATTCCGAAACCACGGCCTCTCCGTAGTCCAGAATACACCGATGATAGGTAGATTAACCCAATGCGTTTCGTATAGCTCCGTATATGTAAACTTGAATGCTGCTCTTTGCTACATGCCCTGAAGCTTGTTCGTTTTAAGAAGGTAGAAGACGATAGGCATCAGCAAAACGCCGCCGGTATGAGAGCCGAAAGGTCCAAGCGTTTTGTAAATACCTATTTCCCGATCGAACTCGGTATTCCGTATGCAAGTGTCATATCTTCGCCTCGTACCTTGCATGGAAAGATGGCATGTACCCATAGAAAGACCGAGCTGCATCGAAAGGTGAAGAGAAGTGGAACTCTCCGCAATAGGGCCTGTCAAGAGATGCTTCATATTGTTTAAAATGCACCTTGGTTTCCCAGTGAAGAAGGGGGAAGAGATCATTCAACTCTATAACCACAAGAGGCGGGTTATACTTTTTATTGGTGAAAATGAAGAACGCTCTAGCTTTTGCTTCAGCCTTGGCACTGGCTGGATATGCCGACGCAGTCCCAGCAGCTTCGAGCACTACCTGCGTAAGTTTTCACAGTGCTCCAACACGATACACATAGTTTCATCTCACTAACTTCTTATCATCTCTTATAGTGTCGGGAGCTTTCTCAAGCCCTCCCATCCCTCTTCTTCTCCCCCTCTACATCACAATACAACACTCTCATTAATGCCCGATGGTCTGGTACCTCAGTCCTGCATCCAGGCTGCGTCGTAACTCCCAAGTCCGCTCTCGACGTATCCAAAGCCGTCAAAATCATTGTCAAGAACCAATGCCAGTTTGCCATCAGAGGAGGCGGGCACAACGCCAACCCAGGCTTCAATAGCATCGACGATGGTGTCTCTATCGATCTCAGCTCACTAAATTCCTCTTCGTTGGCAGAAGATCGCTCATACGTCAGCATCGGCGCTGGTATCACTTGGGGCGAAGCTTACGACGCCTTTAACAGCAGCAACATTGGCTTTACGGGCGGAATTTGCGAGGACGTCAGCGCCGGTGGTGTTAGTCTCGGCGGCGGCCAGTCTCTCTTCCAGCCTAAGCGAGGATGGGCCATTGACAATATCCTCAACTACGAGGTCGTGCTTGCTTCTGGCGAGATTGTGAATGCCAATGCCACGAGTTATCCGGATCTCTTTAAGGCGCTGAAAGGAGGCAACACCAATTTTGGTATCGTGACGCACCTCAAGATTGCTTCCTTTGACTTTGATGGGCTTTGGGGAGGGGAAGTCTTTGTTAGTTTGAATGGACCGCAGGCTAGTTACTCGGAGGTGCAAGACCAGATGAGCCAGGCTTTGGTTGACTTTACGGCGAATAACCACCTCGATACCAACACGGCTGTGCAGCTCATGACTGTGTACTTGGCGAATAATCAAGGTCAAATCGTCAACGCTGCCTTTGGAAACACCATTGGCGAGGAGAATCCCGCTTCTCTGCAAGAATTCCTAAACATGCCGAACCAGGTCAAGCACGATGTTGGCCACATCAAACTTGCCGATTTTGTGCACCAAGTCAGCGAGTTTCAGGCCAAGGGATATCGGTATGTTTCTTCTTTGCCTTTCTATTTGAGAGTAAATCACCCTAACTATCGGTTTATAGTCAAGTCACTTCCAGCATAACCTTTTCCAACGACTATGCCACCGTTCGAGACATCTGGAATGTGACTGATGAGATCTACAACGGACTCGAGCATAAAGACCAGGTCGATTGGATGATTTCGTTTATCCCCCAGCCCATGGTCCAGCAGTCATACGCAACTCGCAGTGGCGGCAACAGTCTCGGCCTCCAGAGTGTCACAGATGACCAGATCGGTAAGCTTTGTATTCCTTGTAAACTAGCATACCGTAAACAAATAAATAATGGCCATGCTAACATGTTTCTCTCATAGTGGTGTGGTTGACTTCGCGGTGGACCGACCCCAGCCTCGACAGCATGATGTACGCCGCCCGAGACGACTTCATTGTCGCAACAGAGACTGTCGCAAAGAAATACGGCACATATTCCCCTTTCCTCTACATCAACTACGCTTCTCCTTCGCAAAACCCGCTCTGTGGATACGGAGTCGACAACTTTAATTTCTTAAACACAACAGCGGCAAAGTATGATCCTCATGGTGTCTTTCAGAAGCTGATGCCGGGCGGCTTCAAAGTCAGCAAGACGACTTGCTCATAAAGCGCAAAAGAATGAACAGGGGCTTTGTTTGATGGACAATATATAATATATAATAATTATAATGAGTTAACGAGTATGGGGATATTCAAATAACAACAAAGTACAGGACATGCACATGGCTTCATTCAACACTCATTATATCACAACGTAACCGGAAGCTCAATGATGATGTTGTAATTGAAATATGTTCATTCCCACGACCAAAGCTGAATTATATGCAAGATTTTTTTTGGAGTTGAAAAGAGGAACCCAAGGGCGCAAATGTGTGTGGTCAAAAAAATATAGTAGTGTAATAAAAAGTGTCCATAAATGCCATACATCCCCTTTCTAGCTCAACACCTAAACGCCATCCATAAGGTCTGGAGGCAAAAAAAGTCAAACACGAAAGAACAAAGTCATTGAAGACCCCTTTGGAAATAATTAAAGACGCAAAAACGTTCATCCACGCGCTGTATGAGCCCCCAGATTGTCCCTCTGAGTTAACAAACAATAAAATAAAAGAGTCAAAAATCACCGCTTTCTTTCTTTTTCCCATTTCATGACGATTTTTTTTGCCCACTTTAGACTTCTCCGCCGGGGAGTCCCTGGTAGCCCGAGTGGCTCGCACTGAAAGTTCGGATGGGAGCTGTGCTGGAGCCTCGCTTGGGGCCGGGATGAGACGGGGCGGGCGATCCAGGGCTTCCGGGATGATCCCCTCCGGCGACATCGCCGATTTCCTTGTTGAGGAACGGGGCGGGCGACTGCATGGGCGACTCTATGTTGACGGCTGACCAGCCCTTGCTGTCCAGGGGGCCGACGTTTGCTGGGGGCGCATCAGAGGTGACGACGCCTTCTTTCCTCATACTGCGAGAATCGTAGTCAGTATACGCGTCCGGATCAACGCCTTCGCGCTTCAGTTTGTCGAGTTCCATACGGTCCATCTTTTCCATTTCGGTGGCCAGGCGGGCCTCGCGGGCGCCGTCTCGGCGCTGCTTGATGCAGTACCAGAGCAGGGCTCCGATCAGGACGGCGGCGACAACACCGGCTGCGACGTAGACGCCGATTCTGGCGCCGGCGGGCAGGTTGTTCCACTTCTGGCTGATGGACAGCTTGGGTGTTTGCACTTCGTGAATGGCCTTGTAGGCAGTGGAGTTTCCGCTTGTGACTTGGTCAGTATACAAATATCATGTACAATGTGAAAAAACACTTACCCAGTAACCTTGATGCTCTCCCATGAGCCGGAAGTGTCGCCATAGGCGTACTCGGAACCACCGCCGTAGTCGGTGATGCGAGCACTCTTGACGTACATGGTGAAGGGACCCTGGTCGTAGCTGGTGTTACCACCGGCCCATTCACGGGTACCCTCTGGCAGAGACGGGTCACCACCGGCCCAGATACCAAGAGAGAGTCTCATGGGGGTCTGGGGGTAGTTTCGGGTCTTGTTGGCGGCATCGGGGGTGAGGTTGCGGACGTGCTGGCCGTCAATGTACCAGTCAATGCCCGTCTTGGTCCAGACGGTGGTGTAGTTGAGGAAGTCGGCCTGGTTGTCGCGGGTGGTGTACACGCCGGCATTGTGGTAGTCCTGGAGACCCTTTCCAAAGTAGTTCGTGGAGGCGGCGGTGTTGTTGACACCGAGGAACTCCCAGTCGACCTCGTCGAGATCGTCACTCAGCCACATGGCAGAGCTGACGATGCCGACACCCGGGGCGACCTTGAGGAGGAGCTCGACACGGCCGAAGAAGAAGTAGAAGAGGGTTCGGATGGTGGGCGAGTCACCCTGCTTGTTGATGGTGAAGCCGGCGCCATTCTCGCTGTCATAGGTGACGGATCCAGCGGTGGTCTCCCATAGCTCATACGATGGTGTGGTGTTGAAGTTGAAGAGGTAGTCGGTGCCGAAACCAGGGTCGGAAGGACAATCGGTTGAGTTCAACGGATTGCAGCTTGTGGAAACCTGGGCAGAGACGAGGCCCAGCAAAGGGGCGGCCGCAAGGAGACCGCTCAAGTACCGCATTGTGGAAGCTGTAGTTGAGGTGTGTGGCAGAATGATGGGTATATATTAAAGTTGCAAGGCTTTCGATACGCCGAAGCAGAACAGGATGGGGTCAGATACAGTGACAAGGAGTGTATCAACCGTATATGATATGATGTGATGTGAGAGAGACAGTAACGCTTCCTCTGACCCTGCAGAGAAAACAAGTTGGCTTTGTTGCGGAGAGAGTGTATGCACTGTTGCTTTTCGAGGCAGCAAGTGATTTGAAGCAGATTGTCGCCGGAGAGAGTGAGCGGCGATCAAAGCGTCGAGTTTCGACAATGAGAGGACGAGACAAGTCTCAACAAGCACCGAGACGGCTTAGGGCCCCTGAGCGATTGTCGAGAGTCTCTGATGTTTTGCAGAGTTTCAAAGAAGGACGAAAGGTGAAGAATTAAGGACGGAAGAAGGAAAAGAACAAAACGAACGAAAGAGATTGGGATTAGGGGCTCCAGGTTGATTTGATGCATTTGCATTGAGACGGGGAAGAAGCCCCGAGGGGTCCGCAACGGGTGTAAGGGGTACGAAGCCTTGCCCGGCCGGGGGGGCAGCAGAGGAGGTACCCGATACATTGTACTTGGACGGCGGGTCTACGGCCAGCAAGCAGACTGGACTGGCTAGGTCTAATAGCAGTTGAGGTCCAGGGTGGTAATTTCAGCGGCCTGCAGCGCCTGACACGCCCAGAGACGGGGGAATTGATAGCCCTGGAGCCCTGGAGGTTGATGAGGTTGATTCCATGGAGGGCGTCTCAAGTCATTGATCGTGCACGTTGACGGTTGATGTGAATGGGAACATTGAATACGAACGACACAGACGCAGCAGCCACTCACATGGAACGAATCAACCAACTCCTGATTACTGTATCTGGCATCACAATATGCACGTTGCTGCAGACACAGACACAGGCAGACAGAAGCTACTGCAAGGGGCCGATTCATGTGTGTACAGTAGCATCGAGGCACTAATTTAAGCTGCTTGGCTTAGTTCTTGACCCAAGGAGGCAAAAATGCTCAAGAAGCTCGACGGAACTCCATCCATGGAAGAGAAAAAAAGGAACAACTGCGAAAAGGAAACAAAAAGAGGAGGGCCAAGAGTCGCGCCAGGGACCGATCCGGCACAGCGCGCCGAGCCCGCTAAACCGACACGGGCATAGATGCTGGGGGGGCTTATTTCCCCTGAAAGATGGAGACGTGCAGTATTGGGTACCTGCAGCCACAGAGTCAACGATGCGGAGAGAGGAGGTAAAAGGTACACGGAAATACCAGGAAACGCGACAGTGAAGCTAGAGGTTCGATCCCGGCATCAATCATCTTAATTGCTGCTTGTAGTGCTCCAGGGCTACCATTATAGAATCAATCCATTAATACCCCAGTCCAGGTATCGAGTACAATGGCCCAGTGGACACTCAAGATCCAGCAGTTTGAAACCGTCAGTTCACGTCTAATCAATGAGAGGGAGCTCTGTCCGCACTGAACCCACCCTTTAACCGATTCTTTGCAGCCATGCCGGGTTATCCATTTCGCAATCAAACCAGCATCAACTGCGCCTCCGCAACTGAATCCAAGCCCAAGAGAGCAGCTGTCAACGGTTGAGTCGGCAGGCAAATTCACAACTCGAATGCTTTTCGGCAATGCCATTTGTCCATCTATTCAAACTGGTGGCATCAGCAGAGCATGGAGGCCTTGTATATAGACAGCGGGTAACAGGTAAAGGTAAGAGGCAACTGGTCACAGGTACAACCACAACAGGCACTGGAATCCATCCATCCATCCCACTGCTGGGCCCCCTGAACCGAAATATCCCATAATAGGCACAATGGTCCATTGATATCCTCACACGCCTATTAGTAGGACAATATCGGCAACACAGTAGAGCATGTACCAAGTACCACTCGTACAGCGCAGATGGGTATCACGGAGAGGTACTCGGGTACAAGGCATTGAATTGCCGGCACGGGCTCAACCAGCAACAAACGAAAATACTGAACACGGCACTCTGCGATCCGAGTCGGCATCAAGATCCGAATCGGCATAGGAAAGAAAAAATATGAAAAGTAAACGAAAAATGGAATCTTGAGAGAATTCGGCATCATTTTTCCAGAGCACAGCGCGATGACCCGATGCAACGTGCGGATACAGTAACTTTTGTCCATCGCTAGTCGAAATTAATTACCAAGACAAGAAATGTCGGCAGTTCGCCGGCTAAACGCCGCAAGCTTGGCATCATCAAACTTTGGCCCCAAAACTTCAATATCGCAATATCGCCCAATCGCCAACCATTTCCCACAGAACAGGCTCGAGTTCGGCCGCTCGCCAAAACACACCCGCCAGCCCAACATGTCCATGTTCCGGGCCAAGAAGCTCGACCTGGGCTGCTTCGTCAAGGCCCGCACCATTCGCGACCACACCAAGCGCAAGGTCTTTGAGGAACACGAAGCCGAGAGGTAACTTCATCAAACCCCCCCCCCCTCGGCCAAACAACAAACGCCGGCAAACAAACCCTTGGCCGTGCACAAGTTGCTAATCATTGCCTCTTTTTTCTTTCTTCTTCTATTTTTAGACAAGCTCTTCGATACGTGATCCGCAACACGACTTTGCCGCCCCGAACTCGTGCCACGGCTCAGCTGCAGCTGTCGCAGATGCACTGCTACACCCGGCCCACGCAGATTCGCAACCGCTGTATAATGGGAGGCCAGGGGCGTGGTGTGCTGAGGGCGTTTAAGATGACAAGAGTACGTCCTGTCCTTCGTCGAATTGATTTGTCTGGGTGCTGGTGCTGGTGTTTGAAGTTGGTCGATCCCATAAGCTGACATTTGTTTTTCTTTCCCTTGCAGTTCAATTTCCGTATGGAGGCCATGGCGGGAAATCTCCCTGGGGTGAAGAGGGCAAGCTGGTAGACGGGGTGGGAATCTTTACGACGCAAAAATCATGATTATATGTGACTTCGACTGTATAAATCTGTGTACGATATCACGGGGTCTCTCTGGGAGACGCAACTTTTGGGCGATAGAGCTGAGGGGATATAAAATAAGGGCAAAGAAATCTTTCATCAACCAACGCCAAGGAACCATCTCATTTCGGCCGTGATTCTGCTGTGTTCTTTTTGAAGCTTTGAAGGCAAGATATATGCATTGACTCTACTAAGGAGGAGGCGCAAGCGCTATTAATCGCATCTACAAGTTATATATTGCACGGCCGTTATTTAACTTTGGCATCTTGCTTGAACAGCTTATGCATTGCTGCTTAATGGCTATTTGACTATCAATTGCTGTCAAATTAACTCACCGGAGAATATACTGGTACTTCATAACGGTGAGGTCGCCTGGGCTACCCTGGATATATTTATTGCAAAGAGATGTCACTTGTCAAAAACAGGCCAGCAACAATGAATTGATTATAAAATGATAGACCAATGGCATTTCTCTGCGTTCTTAAATAAAGTGCGCTTCCAAAAATGTTGTCAGCAAATATTGGTGGAATTCTGTTGGCCAGTACCAAGAATCGATTATAGTAAAATAGCTATAAGTGACGCCAAACTAAGTGAGGCTGCGATACTGCATGTGGCGTTCCCCACTTCGCCCCCCAGGCTGCTGTGCTGCTGTCATTCTAATCTTCGATTTTTGTTTGTTTTGTTCATTCTCAGCAGCCTTGATCCTGCAACTCATCCTCGCCCTGCCATTTGCACCGCATCAACTGAAAGCATTCGCAATCGCACGACCGCCATTCACCTACCAAAATTCCACTTGTTCAATAACGAGTCGCAATCATGGGTGGCGGAGATTTAAACTTGAAAAAGTCGTTCCATCCCGGTCTACGGCGGAACCAGCAGGCCGTCTACGAAGAGGAACAAAAGGCTCTCGCCGAGCGCAAACGCACCCAGCAGCGCATCAATGAGATCAAGGAGGAGCGCGCAAAGGAGGAGATCCAGAGACAGCTGGAGGCTGCGGGAGGCACCAAGAGGGTTGATCGCGTCGACTGGATGTACCAGGGCCCTACCGATGGCCAGGCTGGTACAACCGAGGAAACAGAGGCCTATCTGCTGGGCAAGAGGAGGATCGACAACCTCATAAAGGGCACCGACCATAAGAACCTCGAAAAGGCTGCTGGACAGGAGAGCTTCATTGCGCTGCAGAACGCGAACAGCGCGCGCGACACAGCGGCCAAGATCCGCGACGATCCTCTGCTGGCCATCAAACGACAGGAACAAGCCGCGTACGAGGCCATGATGAACGACCCCATCAGACGCCGCCAGCTCCTCTCATCCATGGGCATCGACGATGGCAAGAAGAAGGACAGAGATGGAGACGGAGACGGACATCGGCGGAAGCATCGCAGACATCGGAGCAGAGATCGTGACGATGACCGGCATTCACGACGTCGTCGCCGCGACGATTCCAGATCTCGCAGCCCACGAAGACGTCATCACCATCGAGACGATGATTCAGAATGTGGGGAACGCCGCCACAGCTATCGAGAGAGACGACGTGATCACTCAAAAGACAGAGATTCCGCACCTAGTCGCCGAAGAGACACATCACAAGAGCGCGAGACAAGACCACATGGAAACGATTCATATCGAAATCGTGATGGTAGTCGCGAGCTCCGATATCGACACTCCGATTCCAACGGCAGAGGAGACCGTCCGCGCAGGCGCTCGCCGGCAAACGCACGCCCCTACAAGGAGCGCGATGACCCTAGGCAAGAGGAGCAACGAGCGGAAGAACAGGCACGGAAGCTGGCTGCTATGCAGTCGGCTGCATCCGAGCTTGACCAGGATCGAGAGACACGACTGGCAGCTCTCGAGGAGCGGGAACGTGCCGCCAGAGAGTCCGACGACAAAGCTCGAGAGAGAGGAGGAGATCGAGGCTTCGTCAACGGCCTGCATCGGAAAGCAATGAATATGGATAATCGAAGCAGACGCGGACATGCACGGGATCGAGATTAGTGATATAACATGATGATATTGGCGCATGGGCATATGGACGACATGATTCTAATGTGAAGAGAAGCTGCATTGTATTGTGTCATTGGATGCGGATATTATTCGGCGTTCTGGATTGGTAAACTGGAATACAAATGGCGAGTCATGATTGAATCCTTTTCTCGCTGTGATATCACATCACAAGCATGGTTGTTTATAGTTATTGGCAGCAAAGATGATGTCGTCAAATTGGCGGCTCAGCTAGCTACCCTTTTTCTTGTCCAATTTCCCTCTCAGCCGAAGTGACACTGATAACCAAATCATTCAATAACTGTAAACGAGCGGAAGTGTTGCTGTAAAGGAGTGGAGATGTTCATTCTCAATCTTGGCCATGCCAAACAAAGTCCTACACAACCCTTGAAATCGGACAAGTATCATGAGATGTTCTTTTTACACCTCCTTGAAGGTAAACTGCTGGTTGTTGCCTCCATGGTAGGTATAAACGAGGATGGGAGTCAAGTCCGCCTGGTTGCTGCCAGACACGTCGAGGACCTTGTTAGGATACGCCACGTTGCGGACACTTTATATCAACTGTTAAGATGGACTGGCACTCTGCAGGATGAATGGCAACTTACAAATAGGCGTCGCCTTTGGAGCTGGCCTTTACAATCTTCCAGCGGGCAACGCTGTTGCACTCAGGGGCTAGCTTGGAGCCTCTGGCGGTCATGTCGTCTCCATCTATAACGTTGGGAACAAAGGAGGTCAGTCAGTGAGTTTTGCTCAAAGTGCCTTTAGAGCGTCTAGCTCTACTATTGGTAATGGAATGGATGTGACGTACTCGGAGCCGTGATGTAGGTGTTGGTGGCGACACTTTGGATGCTGTATTCCTCGTGGGTGATTTTGGTCATGCGCCACTGCTGGTTTTTGCCGCCATGGGATTGGCTATGGAAAGAGAGTTTTTCTTGAGTTGGCTATTTTGTTGAAGGCGTTTATGGTGATGGGGAGATTGAGACTCACTATTCGATGACGCGGCCGGTGGGCTCGGATGCCTCGAGGTCGATGGCCTTGTGGCTGTTGAGAGAGGTGTACACGTAGTAGGTTCCCTCGCCGAAAGACATTTTGATAGAGGCAGTGAGTGATGTGGAATATTCTTGATGAGAAACTGTTTTGTTTGCTGTGGTTGAGCTGGTGAGTGTGATGGGGATTGTGATGGCGATGAGAGAGGAATACCTCCCTTCTTTATACTACTTTTCGATTTGCTTGGACTCCATGTTCGGGATGTTTGTTTGTTAGGTTTTACGTCAAAGGTTCTGTCGTCGTGTTCCGAACATGACACATTGTACGTCGTTCAATTATCGCCCAGACTCTTTGCAATTTGATGCCATTGGCAAACGAGAGGAGCCAATGTTTGGATCCCTCTTGACTGGCCATCCGTGATATCATCCAGCCAGCCACTTGTTCACATATTGGGATACAATGCTTGGGAGAATGCGGGGATGAGGTATGCGGTGACCAAGGCCATCAAGGGACTCGAGTTGATGTTTCGCAAATTAGCAAAGAGTAATGGCGCGTCTGAAACAGACTATTGTTTGAGAGCTTTCGCTGATACTAGTTGATGTGAGTTGGTTTGCTCTGCAAGGTGTATTACACGATATATCCTTTACGAACGGATAATTAACCCTTTTCACGGCGCTCTACAAGATATACTCTTCATGATTATACACATGATTAAACAATGAGTTTGTATCCTATTGTAACTCTTGTTCTTCTTCATATTATCATCCAATTCAGTCACTACGACACGCTGGATGAAGGCGGGGAGCTCAGCAATTGACTGTGGGAGGCTCCTCTTTGGGTAACCACAAGTGACCGAACTTCTCGTCTTTGGCCACAAATTGTGCTAGTCCAATCCCACAGCCGATAACCGACCATAGCATCGTATTTGTGACTCGAGTTTCCCCTCATTATAATACTCGTGTGTTACACTTTGAAAGCCACGGATGCAGGGCAAAGTAATATTTATGCATAAGTTAGCTTAGTTACATGGCCGAGCAAGTTGTTTATTACTCAGCCCTGTAGAGGCGCCGTTACACCTGTGTCATATTGATCCATACGGTTTTCGCCATGCATATATGCATTGGATGATTTGCAAGCCTCTTTCATAACCTGGAACAAGGCTTCTCAGAATAGATGTGGTTGGTTCCCTCTAGCCGGCCCCCCGTTGTAAAAGATTCCACCTGTTCTTAGGAGTCCATACAAGAATTATACGGGACATATGCCAACTTTAAAGTCAGTTGACTGTGCTGTTGAGAGTTGCGATATTCGCTTTGACCGACTCTGTATTGCGGCCTGTATTGCGGCGAAGCGAACTGTATTGCGGCGAATTTGTGCACCAGGCTGTTTGTGGATAGCAGTAGTAATATGCAGGATACCAATGACCAGCATGAGAGCATGGTTGGCAAGTAAAAGCCCGGTAAATATTTTGTCTGTGTTGAAGGTTAAATGCCTACCTCGGTAACACGGCATCTGGATGCGGAGACGATATGCCGCTGGGTGTAAGGGTCGCCGTATGCCCAATCAAGAAAATATTTCACTTTGGGAAGGTTGATATGTTCTTATTTCGCCTCACCTCTTATTAGGTAGGTACTTACGAGTTGTTGGAGGGGTGCATGGTAGAAGAAAATTGTGATTCAATGTCGACAATTGTCAGAGCTCAAGAGACGAGAGAGTGGTATCTCTCTGTCAACTCGATTTCGTCCATCTCCGGCTCATGCACAATGACTTGTGACATCTTGGTGATCAAAATGACTAACAATAGGTAAGCAAAGAGGCCCCGTTTCGAAAAATAACTTTACAGAATAGACTTGCCTTTGTGTCGGTGCATCGAGCTGGTAGTTCAGCTAGTCGAGTTTACATGGGTGTAACCTCGCCTCATCAGGAATATTTACGTGGGACTGATGCAAAACTAGGCAACGTCTAAGTGGCATCGGATACATCCATGCTCCGACTGCTCCCAACTGGGAAGCACATATCGTCTGACCCATGAGCTAATATGTGCTTGATTACAAAGTGGTCATCTTTTTCACCTGGATTCACTGGTCATCATGCCTTTAGACAGTTTGACCCTTCATCGGTTGGCCTTACAACCGCTCCTGCGGACTACAGCTATCCTCCCAAACAGTCCGTCGGGCTAATACTTCCCCGTCATGGAGAATATAGATGGAATATACCGGAGTGCATATTTCTTAGGCTCTCGAGATGTATGACGAAAACTTTGGAAGTGGATACTCTGAGCTCCGCCAACAGCTTGCGGTTTCGGGGTTTCCCGTGTTTGCTTCTCTAGATCAGGCAATTTAGGTGTCACACGCAGAGAAAAGTGCAGTAGTTATGTCTAGTCATCGTTTGTTGCGCGCTCTGGGGTGGGCGTTGATGCTGATGCTTGAGTATATATAGCTTCGCTCAATAGTATGATGGGCTGTTGTGCTATTTGCCTTTCTGACTATTGGGAATAAGAGGTGGGGATATGAGCATTTACGACACCATTTCGGGAGACCTCTTAATAATACTATTGCCGAATAGGTAACTGGTAGAAATAATTTGTCTTCAGCCCCATGATCAGGAAGAAGCTTCCCAATTGTTGTGAAACCAAGCCAAAGGACTCCTTGTGCTGCCAAGTCTGGTTCCGGGGGCATGAATTGACTCAGTATCAAGAGTCAATCCGTAATTGTAGACAACAGATCACAGAGAAGTTGACTTTGGAACAACGTGCTTTGAGCACTCGGTACTCCGTAGACAACCTACATGTACGAGGACACCAATGATTCGCTAAAAATCCCCATATACCTTGGCTATTTGGGACCCGAGGTATCATCGCCCCTACTAATTTTAGGCTTACTGCCATGTTGCCGCCCCCTTTCGGACACCTTCAGGTTACTTGGCGACTAGGTAGGTTACAGTTACCTGCTCAATGAGGACAGCAACTGATCAACCCGAAGTGGAGAACACCATGAAGATTTAAAGTCCGGCCCTGGCCTGGCAACTCTTGAGTCGGGTTTAGCTGGCTTGGCACGCGACAACAGGGGCCATTAGGCTTCCAGAAAGCTTTTGCCTAACCATAGAGTATACCCCTCCTAATATTGGAGTTGATACTCTTCAGTGATCAGTTATGGTATAGATCAAAGGACAGGCGGTGGAGCCATGTTATGATCGCTCTTCTCCGCATGAACTTAGCTCCCTTTGTAGAATATTACTCCGCCGTGTCCGAAGGAGGATTTTGATTGAATAGAGACAAGGATCATGGTAGGAGCGGGAAAGCTCTACAGGAAATGTCGTAAACGTTGAATTCTCCTTATACGGATAGAGCAGTAAACCATAGATATACAGTCATTATTGCGAGAGGAGCTGGAGTCTTACCCCTTGATGGGATGGGTGAGTAAAGACCAAGCTTGATATAAGCGTATATTGTTATTGTACACTGATAGGCGCGCTAAACCAGCTCAAGTTATAGTTGACCATCCTTTCGGAGTAGCCTAGCTGAGTTAATTCCAACTCCGAGTGTGGGTTGTGGACCTAGGCTGAATAGTATGTTGGACACCGACCCTGCCGCTGACATTGCCTGTCTGATGATGCTCGGTATATACAACGAAAATAGAAAATTTATTGAGTGCTATATTCAAAACGGGTCATACATGCAGCCTTACTTGGGCCGAGAGAGAGAGTAAAATGGGTCTTGTTTGTAAGAAACTTTATGTGAGGAGACAATGACCTAGTGACGTTTGTTTCTTCCAGGGGCCCCCTTTAGCCTTGAATCTGATCCGGGGATTATACCTGTATACGAATCTACCTATGTTCCTTATGGTAAGTACGGAACTACGTCGGCGATGCCAAGCAAACAATGTCAGCAACAGTGCGGCTGATCTCGGAGGCGTTACTCGTACCACATGCATACCGCAGGATTGGTTTCAAGGATCTGATAATGTGACTATACGGGGTACAAAGAGGTTATTTTGATGATGGACCGGAAAGAATATAGAAGCGTCCCATGTATAGTATGACCCATAACAATCCCCACTGATACATAGTACAAATATCTAGTCATTGCATCTTGCTTCGAGTCGAGTCCTCCCGAAGAGTGTGCTCAAGCAATACATTGGTTACCTTTCATAGTTCATCATGTTGTTTTCTTCTGTCCAAGCCCTTGTGGCTGTTGCCGGCCTCGTTGGCTCTGCCCACGGTGCCGCCATCGGCGTCGAGAAGCGTGCTTCAGCGGGATGCTCGAGAACTCACGACTGGGCTGGCCAAACACACCAGTATAGCTTTGAAAGCAGCGGCGGGACTCGGACCTACCTGATCCATCTTCCTGCAAACTACCAGCCAGGCTCCCCCAAGCCTCTGATCATTGCCTACCACGGCTCTGGTGACAACCCGACAAACTTTGAGAAGACGACCCGATTCTCTGACCCATCCGTCAACTCTAACATGATTGTCGTGTACCCGCAAGGCGTCAACGTTCGTCTATTATATCATAGACTCGATAATTACTAGATTGTTCTAACGAGATTATAGGGAAACTGGCAAGGACCAACCTACGCGACCCCCGGCGTCAGTGACAAGGTGTTCACGACCGACCTTGTCAACCGGATCAAGGACAACTACTGTGTTGACGAGGCCCGCGTGTACGCCGTTGGCCACTCCAACGGCGGTGGCTTTGTCAACACTCTTGCTTGCAGCCCTGACCACGGCGGCCAGTTTGCAGCCTTTGCTCCCGTCTCAGGCGCCTTTTACACCGACGTCACCGGAAACGACAACTGTCACCCGGCTCGCTCGCCTTTGCCCATGTTTGAGACTCACGGAACTGGCGACGAGACGATTCCATACAACCCTACTGGTCCAGGACGTGGTGGACCTCTCCCTTCGATTCCCGATTGGCTCTCGCGATGGGCTTCCCGCAACCAGTGCACCACTTCGGCTACTACTGATCTCAATTCTGGTGTCCACGATACCAGGTGGAAGTGTGCAGGCATTGACAGCTTGCTGCGACACATCAAGATTGATGGAGGGAGCCACGCGTGGCCCCCGGTTTCAAAGGTTGACGTCTCGAAGGAGGTTATTTCGTTCCTTTCAGTGAACTTTAAGCCATAATATGCTGCTCTACGCGGATGGATATTAGGCAAATTCAAATGTATATCTTCAATGACCAAGATCAATTGTACATAGGTCAAGACTAGCTAGGATACTTGATGTTTAATGAAACTAAGAAAGTGGATGATTAAATCTTTTGTGCGAAACGGTCTTTTTTCTTCTTTTTTCTTCAAGAGTTGATTATAATCTCTGTGGTATTAGTCGGAATGCTTGAGTTTTTTGATGCATGTATCGTATCATCAAGTATTTAATTTGTTGGTCGCTCGCAGCTGGTGATACGCAGCTTACATGAGTACGCTGCATCTTTCTTCTACCCTAGGCAAGTATTATATGACGGAATTGCTCCTCATCCAAAATGGTGTAAGTTGGCACCGTGTTTAGATCTCTGAGCAATCATCCCTCTAATCACCCATCAAATAGCGACAATACGCTTTAACATTTAAGAGAAATTTTCTCGTAATATTGTTAAAAGGTGACTTACTGAGTTGAGATCTCAACTTATTTGGAGCACACAAGTCAGCATCAGCACTGTACACGCTAGGTCTATGAAAGCAACATTCTAGTTCAGATCGCCATTAACATCCGCAACTCAAATTGTCTTCTACAGTCTTTACGTGCTAATCTGGGCGCGGAGTGGGCTCTATGTGCGTTTATTCACAGTAGTGGCAATGCAGAGATCTCCATACAATCGATGGAAGCATCTGGAGAAACGGATTGAGTTCTGCACTGGCTGGGGATAGTGGAGTCAGTTTCTTCCACAAGGCCTTCATTCGTTGAAACTCCGTCGACCCACCACGGCAAGTGAGTTTTTGACATGTAGGGCGCAGATGGTCATGAAGGATGTCGTTTGATGGAGCAAATGTTATCAGCGCCACCAAGCCATTGGGAGCGGCTATAATGCCCAATATCCCCGAGTTTCGAGATTCCATCTTCTGGTATCAACTTTATCGAGTTATTTCATCTAATTGAGCAGAATCACCCGTAAACTCCCGCATTTTATATGCAGTTGAGTGTGTCTAGCCTGGGGCCATGGCAGCAGAAGCGTCATCCATCGAACTAAAGAAAGCCCCGCCAAACACTCTATCCGCAGAGACGGCTCTTACTCCAGAGCAAGGACCTTCTGAGAGCAACTACAATTCAGACCGGGCAATTATTTCTGGAGATGATGAAAATCCTCCCACCGGCGTAGCGGAATTCTCCCTACCGCCTGTTGACAGGGGAAAGGATGCATGGGGTTTCTTAGCCGCTTGCTTCGTCCTGGAAGCGTTGGTATGGGGTGAGTGAGGACGGATTGTCTCTTGATGTGCTGAAAGGATTATTGCTAAATAAAATTGATAGGCTTTCCATTTTCGTTTGGTGTTTTTCAGGATTACTATCGCACGCATGAGCCGTTTGCTGGGTCATCTAAAATTGCCGTCATTGGCACAACTGCAATGGTAATTGTTTACTTGTACGATCCAACAATTAGCAAGGTAAAGAGGCTAACGGTATTTGTATCAAATAGGGCATCATGTATCTCGATATTCCAATCATCATGGCCGTCCAGCGCATATACCCAAAGCCAACCCGTTATGCGCCTGTCGCCGGTCTTTTATTCCTATGCCTTGCTCTCGCCATCTCTTCCTTTTCGCAAAACGTTACGCACCTCATCTTGACCCAGGGAGTCCTCTACGCCATCGGTGGCTCCATCTGCTACTGCCCCTGCATGTTATACATGGACGAATGGTTCGTCAAGCGCAAGGGCTTCGCTTGTATGTATTTGCAACTTTTATAAGTATTCAGCATTCCGCTAACTTCATTATTGACGGCGTAATGTGGTCTGGGACGGGCCTTGGCGGTTTTACTATTCCTCTTCTTCTCGAGTTCTTCCTTAACAAGTACGGATTTAGAACCACGTTGCGGATCTGGGCTCTCGCCATGTTCGTTTTGTCCGCACCATTGGTTTGGTTCATTAAGCCGCGACTACCCTTTTCCGCTACGGCTCACTACAGGCCGTTTAACCTCAAGTTCCTGGCAAACCGTTCTTTCGGCATGTACCAGCTCACAAACATTGTGCAAGGAGTTGGATACTTTCTCCCGGGTATCTATCTGCCAACATACGCGCGGGTATACCTCGATGCTGGTGATTTCCCGTCGGCTTTGACACTATTGGTCTTGAATGTCGGCTCTGTTATAGGATGTGTCGCCATGGGTACCTTGATTGATCGTCTGCATGTGACGACGTGTCTCGGAATAGCGACTGTCGGCACTGCTATTGGTACCTTTTTCCTCTGGGGACTAGGCAGTAACTTGGCCTCTCTTTACGTATTTTGCTTCGTTTACGGCATGTTTGCGGGATGTTATACCTCTTCATGGCCTGGAATTATGTCCCATCTCATGTCAATAGGCAGCGGATCTAGGGAAGAGAACAGCGGGAGTCGTTCCACCTATGACCCTCTCATGGTGGTCGGTTGGCTCTCTGCTGGGCGTGGTATTGGCAATGTCGTTTCAGGGCCATTAAGTGAGGCGCTGCTCAAGGGAATGCCATGGCAAGGGCAAGCTGCTGGCGGGTATGGTAGCGGATATGGAACGCTGATAGCATTTACGGGCGCAACGGCTGTTGTTGGAGGCAGTACTTTTCTGTTTCGAAGGATTGGATGGCTGTAGATAAAAGTTCTTTGCTGCTTGTGATGATCCGGGCGGAGGAAAAGTAGGTTACACATATAGACTGCAATATGGATAGAACATGGTTATGCGATTTCAAGCTTGGTGGATCACGATACGGATATTGAGTTAGCGATGTTGGCTGACACCACTGGAAATAGAAATAAAATAAGGGTATAAGGTTTTCATGAATCATTTTTTAGTCTTCATAAGCACTAACATAACCGAACCCTCCCAGCCATTTGGATATATCCGCCGTCATTACAAAACTCCCATCACCATAATACGATAGCCCATTACCCGCCACCTTTTTTTCGTGTCCTTTTCAAGAATCTGTAGATTGTAAAGAATCTTTACCATTTTGGCAATTCTACTCTCTGAGAAGTCCTGCGGCTTGGACCTGTCGGAAGACTTCATGCTCGTTGACATTCGAGTTCTGGTTCGCACGCTTCTTTGCAGCCCATCCTCTAAGTCCCGGGACCTTGGACATGGCACTCAAGAATTGGTTCTTCAGAGGCAATGATCCAGTCTTCTCCTCGTAGATGAGGAGAGAGACAGTCAAGACCAGGAATGCCCAGTAGACGTTGTAAGCAATGACGGAGCCATAAGTGGCGGTGTTTTGCCAGCCAAGGATGGCGTTGAAGACATCCCAGCCGTTATCGGTTTCGGGATTGCAGCAGTTGACATGCCACACGGTCTCAGTAATGTCGTAAGAGTATTTATTTTATTATACCTGGCTTCTAAACATTCCCTAATAAGACTTATGTTACTTTAAATATTATTAAAAAGCGTATTTCGCTCTAATAAGACTATGATATCTTATATTAAGGGGGTTTTCTTCTTTACTAGATTCCCGGGGTATAATAAAACTGAAAAATTCTTCCTAAAGTTTGATGTGAAGATAAAATAAGATAAAACACAAACCGTTCTATATTATGATCCCAAAAGAAACGTGTATTTGACTGTGATTCAAAGCCCTATCCTGTGATATCAGGTGACTATCTCGTGATTGTATATAAGCTCTTGTCTATTAATGTACTATCCAAATCCTTCCCACATCCTGAAACTTTTCCTCTTTTCATCTTCCAACCCCTAAACTACTTGACAATCCTTGTTTTCCACAATAGTAATCCTCCCCTGGACCCGAGTGGAACGGCCTTTTTCACCATCCAACTCTCAGACAGGACTCCAACGCTCTTATTTCGCACAGTGGTAGTTCCACTTGGATCCGAGTGGAACGCCCTTTTCATCATATAACACTCTGACAGGACTCCAACGCTCTTATTTCGCACAGTGGTGATTCCACCTGGATCCGAGTGGAACACCGTCTCTTCCTTCTCTTACTTTCTCGGCCCCATTGTCTGAATTGACTCACCAATTCAAATTGATCAGAAGCTACCTCGATACAAATCAACAGCTACTAGTTATGGAAGATCTCTTATTCGAGCAATTTCCTCCCACTCCCCCTGGAACGGAAGACCAACTGAAGAAAGCTGTCATCTTACAACACAACTGGGCTTATGATGACTCCGCCGACTATGTCCCATCTTCCATACGCAATCGAATTCCACACCATTTGAAGACAGATGGAAAACTATATCTAAGGAGAGGTACAGAGGGGTTCATGTATCGAACAAGCCTGAATCACAAGTGGGGGGTTGTGATCTTTATCATCAAATCTATGGTTATCCATGGTACGCTCTAATCATTTTCAAAATGTACCTTTCTCTAACAAGTAGACAGTTGCTGTTCCACTCAACTATCTGACCATAGGCGTGGATTTCTTACCATTGTCTCAGAAAATTGCAACCTCCCAGCCCCTCCAAAGCACAGCTTTTCCACCACCAATTAACTATGCCAATCATGGAAACTCAATGGACGCTTTCATTCATGCAATTTGGTTTACTTTGCGCTCAAGAATACCAGATCTTCAAGCGCTTACTCCTGGATTTGACTTCGTAGGCTTATTTTTCGGACCTGACTTCCTTCACAACATCCAAACAATCCTCCGAGGGTTTGTCCCAGACGCTCGCCGTGTTTTCAAAGACGGCAATTTTTCCCTCGATGATATTCTTAATATTCCAAAACTTACGAGTACTTGGGCCCCAACTGGCTCTATCATATACATTCGGCTTTATCATAAAGAAGACCGAGCTAGTTACGGCAGTGCTATTTATGTTGGTCAAACTATTCAACTACAAAAGCGTCACAGCCAACATAATACAGAAACATTAACTTCACGCGCAAGGCATTACCAAATTGCACGTCAATTCACATTAGAAGAACGTCACATGATACCTATATGCATTTGGGAGGATGATATCCCATTCCATGTTTTAACCATGGCTGAACAAACGGTAGTACTTCTTCTCAACTCATATATGACATTTACCAATGATACACTATCGCCAACAAATTCTTTTTATCCATTTTTCCAGCGAATTCAGTTTATGCGTCGTCTTGTTCAAGATCTTCAGCAAAGGCTGCCATGGGCGCCTAATATTACACTCACGGGCTTGAATGTCGAAACCCCTCTGATCTCTACGAGGACCTTCCGCTATATTAGCGCTATCCCTGGGCTTCAATTTGTCGAAAGCGCCCAAACTTTTACCCGCTATCGGACTCCTATTGCATTCTCGCGCAAAGACAACTGTGCTTGCGTTTACCGTCTCTCAATGCGAGATGGCGTCAATAAAATACGTGTTAGTATAAGCATCCCAGAAGCAGATGTCAATTCCATGCAGATTCCCAATAACGGCTTTTTAATATTCGAAATTATGGACAATGGACAACCTCATCCCAACCCATGGATTAGATGTCCAGCTGTTGGGCCATTTGAAGATTTTATACAAGCCTCGGCTCTTGGTATCCGATTTGAATGGTATAATGAAAACCAGAATACCTGGCTCTCTACAACTGTTCATAAATTTGGGAGCCCCGGCATGGTACAAATCGCTGCCAAGGAAAATAACATACGTCTACCTATGTCAATCTGGCTCAGTGCTATATATATTATTCAAGCACTTGAAGGAATTGTTTATTCAGACTACCAGCCAAACCAGGGATTTTACAAGCGCCTGACCTTTGGCTCTGTCCATGTAAAGCAGCTTCAAACCGACCACCTAAAACAAACCTACCAATGGATACACAGACCAGAAATATTACGGCCTTTCCCTAAAATAGCAACATGGCAATATAATTTCTCTCTAATGGTGAAGCGCTTTTCTTCACTCTCGACATTTATCCCCCATGAACCTGTTAATCATCTTGCAGATATTAACAGATATAATCCTGCTGGAGATAACAAACCCCTTCGGGTACAATTCAGAACTAAATGCGACTTCTGTATCCTTTCATCTACACCTCATCACCTTCCGTGTATACCGGATAACTCATCACCTTATGGACAGGTGTGTATGATATGTTCACTATTTAACCGCCCTTGTTCGTTTACAAGGCCAGCAGAATTGATTGAACTCTGGGGACAAGAGACGCCAACTTTACACCCCAAAACTCCCTTATCTTTATATCCGACTGGACCACACCGTTTCCTAGCCTTTTATTTAGTCAGGAGTCAAGGTGTCCGAGAAGTCCAAGAGCCACGTGAAAAAGCTTTAGGGCTCTTCCAAGATCAGCAGATGGCTATATTAGATGAGGATACGGATGATGATTAGCTTATTACACTTAGCAAACTTTAGTAATAAATGATGCGCATATACTATTATTTTAAGAGCCACATGATAATTAAAATAAACACTTGCTTTACATCACATATCTGCAGCATTTAATTACGCAAGGGTTACAGATCATACTTCCAATATATTTTCTCTAAATATGTGAAACCGTAAACTCAATACACTTCTCGCAGTTAGCAACTTCACATGGTACAACTACAATAACACTTTCTACACTTTCAGATTCATGATCAGTCTCATAATCAAGGCCTGGCTTTGTGGCATTTGGCAGATCGGTTAGCGGTAGTTGTGGGGAGCCTTCGCTGTCTGGGATTTCTGACAAGAGAGATTCAGAAGGAGGGATCTCTAAATCTCCACTATCTCTCACCTCTGACAAGAGATGTTGGTTGGTTGGGAGCTCTGAACAGCTATCCTCACTATCTTCAATCTCTAACTGGAGGTGTTGGATTGCTGTGGCTCTCGAAGGGGTATCTTGATGATTTATGAGTTCTGGGAAGAGTGTGACATCGTCTGTTGCTGCCTCCTGGATGTCTATGCGGTCGACCTCTGTTCCTAAGATGCGATTTTCCTGGCGTACATAATTCTGTCGTGGGGGTGGTGTTCGTTCTACAGGACCATGGGTCGCGTTATGGGCCTTGCATTATATTAGTCTTGGAACAATCCAAACAAGCGCGACATGAAGCTCTAGAACTATCATGTCAGGTAAGGGGAGGGAACGTTCCACTCCGGTCCAGGTGGGAAAATCCCACTAAAGCCCCAGTGGAACGAATTAAACTCACCTGATGGTATCCAGACTCAAGATGTCTCTTTAATAGATGCAAATGCACAAAATCATGACCAAAACATCTGCTTCCTATGACACGGCAGATATAGCCTTCCAGCTCCCAGTCCAGATAAACATTGGGCAAATGAGCATATAGAGGCCCATATAGTTGCTCACGTATTATCGAACTAGCTGCCGCAAGTCGTTCATCCTCTAATTCTTGAAGCGTTTCCCCTTGTTCTTGATTAGCCTTCCTCTGTAAGAACGCTTTTGAACAAACCTTACATGGAGTTGCTTCCCTTGCTAGCTCAAGAGGTGGGGGCGGAGTTGGCGATGGCAGGGGTGGCTGATCTGGTAAGCCTTGCCATTCGTCTTCAGTCTCGTTGAATACCTCCATTGCAATGATCTTAGAGTTTTGAAATCGTCTCAAATTTGTGAATGGGAAATTTTAGACATACGTTTTGCTTTGCGCTTTGGTGTGTGCTCGCTTATCCTACTGCATCAGCATGTAGGAAGGAGCGTCCTTGGTACTAACATCCTGGCACGTCTAGTATCGTGACGGGCAATGTCAATAAGTCACCCGCAACTTGACCGACAGACAAATCTTCCTTCAATCCACGTCTAGGAGCATATAAACAATTGATTTAAGCGGCAAAATGGATTTTTCCCTCTCATGGCTGTCCAAATGCAGAGCTCGCAATTTTTGGAGTCCCACAAGTATGACATTTTGTTAAGGTAGTACACCAAATGGCGCTTGCGTGACTAACCGTCCAGATACGCATATCCAATAGACCACACGAACACCGATACGGCTGGCCGTTTTACGCTTTGCCCAATTAACCCCATGAGCCGTTAAGTATATCGCGATATTCAACATACCTGTCACTCTCCAACTCCAACCTCCAAGAGACTAATCCATTGATTTAAATACGCATTCTACTCGGACCCGAGTGGAAAGCCCTTTTTCCAACCTGAACCCGAGTGGAAGGCCCATTTCCTCGCAAGATGGCGCCATCCAAACCCAAGAAGTCCACCGCGAGAAAGCCTAATGGTGATCAGACAGAAGACGTAGATGAGGTCACTGACCTCGTTGCTGCCGACTACACATTGAAATAACAAAAAGCTTCACGCTGCAACTCCTGCAATGCCTGCCAATAACATCATCGATGAGTACCAACGCGCACTTGCGCGACTGAACGCCGTGATGGATACGCTCGAACCCACCGTTGGCCATTCTCGTGTGTTTTAATCCCATTCTCTACGCTATGCTTTCATTTTTGACAATACTTTTAGACTGCTGGATTATTCACCAATTTTGCAATATATCCCTAGATTACGTAGAGAAAGTAGCGGATATTTAGGAAAGACTGTTGCTTAGTTAGCGTTGGAATATAATGCAGAGGCTCTACGAGCACCAAAACCTCGTTAACGAGCTCGGATTCTTTCTTACGGGTTTGGGATATTGACTGTATTTTTAAAGATGGATTATGGATTATGGATTTTACGTATTAAGATTAAGTAATTGGGGAAATATATAGTTAGGATAAGGGTAGTTGTGATAATAATTTGAGAGCCTTTAGAGTAAGTTTTGCCAAAAAAAAAAAAAAAAAAAGAAAAAAAAATTCCCCATGTATTATTCACCTGGTACAAAATACAGTAGCCAGACTTTATTGGAAGTGATTATTACTGCGTTAGAGGATAGTTTGCTTAGAGTCCTGGAAGTTCCTTCTGGTGTCCAGATACCTTATAATAATACAATATTCACTTAATAACTAAATATATTTCAGATATATATACTGTAAAAGTTTTAATCTTTACTAAATCTAGTAAGTAACCGTACAGTAATGCGGTTGTCTCTTGCCTTAGTGTTAAAATGTCTAACTGCATTTTGCTGAGTGTAATTTAAGAAGCGAACTCAGTTTATGTAAATACCGGAGGATTTTTGCTCTTGTTGACTTTTACTATTACTATACCCTTTACTAAAAAACACCCTGCCTCGTAGATGTATATATAATATTCCGCCGCCGCTAACCGTCAGATATGCGTATCTAATATACCCCGCCAACATTATAACTTACCCTTTTGGGTTGTGCTTGTAAAGTCCCTATAAGTCTTTAAATGTATTGTAATATTTAATATAACCACCCTTCATCCTAAGCCTCTAATATATTAACAAATTAATTAAAATCCGCATTCTACTTGGACCCGGGAGGATTTTTGGTGGTTAGGGCTAGCCCTGCCCTATTGCCTTAAAGTTGTTCCGTTCCCGGGACTATAAAGGAACTTCTCCCGCCTTAATTAAACTCTCCTTCCTTTTTATTTTTCCTCCGCACCTTCCTTCCTTAACCTAGATACTATTAATAATTCCCACCTGGATCTAAGTAGAAAGCGGTTTTCCTCTTAAGATAATGCCTTCCGCGGGAAAGCCCTTTAAGCCTAAAAAGCCCTCCACTAAAAAACCCGCTAAGGCTAAGGCCAAACAGACTAATAGTAACCAGGCAGATAATATAAAGAACGTAAAGAACGCTATTAATTCTAGCAACTTTACGCCTATCCTACAATGCAAAGGAGTTATAGAATAGTACATAGAGGACATCGCAAATAAGTTTAATATTATTAAGAATACTATCCTTACCCCAGATAATAACTAAGCCGCAATTAAGTAAAATAAGAAAGCTTAGGATAAGACCGGATATATTAACAAAGTCTATGTAATACTTAAGTAAAACACAGAGCCAACTAATATTACCCCTTTAACAAGGTATAATAGCTTTAATAATAAAAGATCTTTCGTTAACTTTATTAATATAGTTAATAAGTATTTTCTATAATAGGATTTTACTTATGCCTAAGAGCTTTTTCTTTTTCTTAGACCTAAGTAGAATCCCCTTTTCTATCTACTTTTTCTTTAATATAGTACTTTACTAGTATCCTACTCTTTCTTCTACTTAGGTCTAAGTAGAAGCCCCTTTTCCCTCTTTTTAATTTATTTATAGTTTAGTTATTAAACATAAGGAGGCTGACTTTTAACATAGTTTATAATATTATTCCCTTAGGTCTTAGGTTATTATAAGCTAAATTCTAAGTTAAAGTAGCTAAGTCTTTGTTAAAAGAGTATTTGCCTAATCTAACGTCCGTCCTATAATCCCTCGATGCTACTTAGGTTAACGCTTAATCCAGAATTATTACACTTAGTTCAGAGTCTAATCCACAGGTCCTAATCTAACCCTCTGAGGTAGTTAAGCAATATACTACTAATAAAGCACTTAGGTTAGTAGTTAACGTTACTATTACGAATTTACAGAAGCCTATGTTCTTACCAATTACGCATGCTGTTATTTTACATATTAATAACAAAGGTAATAGTATTTATATTGTAGCCACCATCCTTATCATTACTACGCAAATCCTTCTATTCTCCTTAATAAGCTAGCATAAGGAGATCTAATACTGTCGAAATAAAAGCGCCTATTAATATTAGTACCCCACCCCCCCTGGATACGGAGGCAACTGTTAAACTATTGCAGATTTATTTAGCCTTAAGGACCTCTATTACGCTATCGTTATAGTATATCTAGTAATATACTGCTAAAAGGATAGCATAATTTCCCTTAAGGCAGGTCGTTAACCCCAGCTGTAAGGGAAGTAGCCCGGGTACTTTAATAATTAGCGATAGATCCTTGATAATATATATGGAATAGAGGGAGCTAGCTAGCTATCTGTTATATAACTTATGAAAAATTTACTGCCGGTAATATAGCCCCCCCCGCCTGTAACTTCACAAAGTAGTATACTACGACTATTGCCTATTACAACGCTTTTTAAATAGCGACAGTAACCTTTTTTGCAAAGTCTACTTAACGCATAGCCCTTATCTACTCCCAGACAGGCGCTATTGCATTTTTAAAATTACAATAAATAGCTTAAAGTCCAGACCTTTTTTATTAAGTATTTAAACGCTAGGGCGAATATCTATAAAAAGACCTTTATTAAGGACAGCTTTAATCTTAAAGACACTAGACTGCTATATAAGACGCTGGATCTAATCTTAATAAAGACCTAGAAGGTCTTATTAGGAAAGATTTACGCACTTTTTAATTAGGATAATCTAGACGAAGTTTTTACCTGGATTAAAGACTACACTACGTCCTTTACTTCGCTTATCAGCAAACAGCACCTTATTAACTTTACTAAATAAAGTAATACTTCTACTGTAATATAGGAATATATTACATTATATCTAGAAAGCGAGGAGGTGCTAAATAATACCCTTATGTACATTTACTTAATAGACACTTTCTTTAATAAAATACCGCTAAATAAGTATACTAATATTTAGTATATATATACTTAATATAGAATTAAGCTATATCTACTTCTTAAGCTATACCCTAATAAACTAATTATGTAATCTCTTAAACTGCACTAGGTCGCAGGTATATTCTTTCTACTTAGATCTAAGTTACCTTTTGCTACCTAGGCCTAAGTAGAAGCCGCTTTTCTTTCTCTCCCTTTTTCTTACCTAGACCTAAGTAAAATCCGTTTCCGTCTTTATATACTAACCCTGGTATAAATATAGGTATAATCTCCGAGAAGTTAAATACCTTAGGCTACGTCCTACTCAGTAATAAAATAGGCCTAGGTAAGACCAAGGTATTTATTATGATAATTAAGTACTAAGCACGTAAGCTGGAGGTTAAACTATTATTTTTAGGTAATAATAAGATATTTTCTTTCTTACGCTTATAGTTAATCCACCTGCTATAATTTACTAAATAGCCGAAGAGATTAAGGAGAATTTCTCTAGTTTTAACGTACTAATGTATTACGTAATACCCAGTTAGGCTGGTAAATTGGGAAAAGCGAGAGTTATATTAAAAAGGTATTTTATCCGGACTTTAAAGAAGTTATCAAACTCTAATCCTTAGGTAATACTAAAATAGTTCTCCTAGCTAATATTTACTAACTCTTTTATAGACCGTATGTATTATTATTATAATAACTTATAATATACTGTAGACCTGTGAGTAAGTTAAGATAGAACATTAATTTATTTTTATTAACCGTAAGTAAAAAGGCCCTGCGAAAAAATATATAAAAATAATAGCTTCTCCGCCTTAAGATCCTCTTGGTAATGTTAATGATGAGTTCTAAGTAGGTGTTATAATTACGGAGGATTTAGACCTAGAGCTATCGGAGTTGGAGTTAGATTTGGACAATTATTATATACCGGAGCAGATATAATAAAAGGAGGCCCGCGGGAAGCTTAAGAAGTATTACAAAGGCTTTTATAAGTTAAAGGGTAAGAGACTTTATTTCCTAGCTAAAAATAACTATTGTCCTACTAACAGAAATCTAATTAAGTATAAGCTAGTAAATCCTAAGCTATGTATAATT